ATCAAATGATAAGGTGTTAAGTCGTCGGAATTACATAAAAAACATTTTGTTAATAAGCTTATATAAGTGTTGTTAACATACAGCGAATATTTATTTAAACAAAGTTGTGTTATAAGTCATTTTACATTCAAATTTACCGAATACAACATATATGGCTGAACTGATGGTATTTCAAATATATCCAAGTACCACGAATGATATTTACTGCTATATAGGAAGTACTGATCTTTGTTTATAGATTGTGCTATAGCTGATTCCAAAAGTTATGAGTAGCCTATTTTCCAATCTTGAATATTGTCTTGAAATAGTAGTTCTGATACTCCAAAAAAGTTGAAGATAGTTTCTAATTTATTATACCATAGCTGTTTATTTTTTTGAAGTTTACTTTGTCTGATATTCTCATGATATAAAATAATCAAATTGTTATCACTATTGAATTTGACTCTATAATAAAATTTAAAAATTCATTTTAATATAAACAGGAATGACCATATACGATTAGTTTCATGACGTAGTGCATATCCGGGTATTGTCCTTTCTAACTGAAATAATCTGCGTAAATAATAAATATGAAATAGTTCTAATTTATAGAAATAGTCCAAGCACCAAATGGGACTGGCATAAAATAACATTGAATTAATAATCGAATTGTAAAGTTTCATGTGTATTCTTAAATCAGAAGTTTTCAATCTACTGCATAAAAACAAAAGATTATCAATTGCTTGTTTGACTTTATTTTTAAGTTTAGAAATATGCGATTTAAATGTTAAGTTCCAATCAAAGTTAATTCCTAGGTAATTTATCTCATTAACTGTTTGTAGCAAAACATTTTCATGATAAATTTTTGTTTCGTTAACAGATATTTTACTGTTGTTCCAAAAAATAATTATTTTAGTTTTATTTGAATTAATTGCTAAATATTTAGACTTAAAATGCAAATTTATTTGATTAATTTTCCTTTGGAGAGAGATTTTTGTCGGTGCTACCACAACGAAGTCTTCCACAAAAAGAATATAATGAAATGCTTTGTTGCCTATGACTATACCATCATTTACTTCAGAAAAAAGATTATCTATGTCTGCTAAATAAAAGTTAAATAAGTGTGGAGATAATGAATCTCCTTGAAGAATACCACATGAGTGTATTAATGGTGAAAGAATATTCTTACCCTGCTTAATCTTTATTTTATAATTTTGAAATAGTGTTGATATTGTTTCTGTAAATTGAGAACTAGCACCACTCTCCTTAAGTTTTTGTTGTAATAATGGTACATATACTGAATCAAAAGCCTTTGTAATATCTATAAAAGCTGCATACACTTTTCTATGTTTTTTATACAAGATATATTTGAATAATCATTAGCAAAGTAAATATCGCAAATTCGGTGCCTTTATTTTTTGTATAAGCAAACTGGAATTCTACCTCTAACTCATTGGTTTTGATCCAATATTGAAATTTTTTTTTCAAGTATCGAGGTAAAACATTTTCTAAGTGTAGATAACAAAGCTATAGGTCTATAATTTTCTGGAGTCATCTGGTCTCCCTTTTTATAGATCATCGTCATGATTATGGAATTCCAAGATTCAGGATAGGATAATGTACTGTACATAACATTGAATATTTTCAATAATTTTATTTTAGATTTCATTGGTAGCATTTTTAAAAATTTGGTTGGTATATTATCATCCCCAGGGGTGGTATTGTTCTTTGTTTTTTTGAATTACTTCATCAAGTTCATTCATCGTCAAGTCAGTGTTTAAATATTTGTCATAATAGATATTTCTTTCCATTGGAATTTTTGAATTATTTATGATGAAACTTTGATAGAATTTCTTCCACTTTTCAAATCTTATACAAATGTTGATATTTCCTAAATTAGCTTTTGGTCGAAATCTTCGGATAGTATTCCAGAATACTTTGCTATTATTACTATTATTAATTAAATTTAATTCAATTCTACAAAGGTAGTTTTTCTTTTTTGTTTTAATTAAGTTATTGTAAATTCGTTTGGAGTTTTTATAATTAATTAAATTTTCTTTATTAGGATTTTGTCAATAAATTTTTTAATTTTGTTGCTTTCGTCATTTTTCTTTGTAACAATCGCAATCATACCAGGTTTTTATATTTTTATTTTGTGCATATTTGTTATCCTTGTTTAATATTATATAATCATTCATGATATCTATCATCATTCCATATACCTCTCCACAGTTATAATTAGTTACTTCTAGCATATTTTTAAATCAATTTTCAATTTCGGATTTATAATTGGCCAATTTATACTTTATCTTAAAGTTGTAATTATATGTATAATCCGAATTTTCAAAAGGAAATAAACGGAATTTTGCTATTGTAGGAAAATGATCTGAACCATCGAAATTCGTAGTCCGAAATTCTACACAGCAATCTAAGAGTAATTCAGAGCAAATTGTGAAATCTATGGTCGACGCACCCATATTAGTCAAACAAGTATGTTCCGCTGGAATATCCTGTTGAGTTCTGCCATTAAGAAGAAACAGTCTGTGTTCTGTTAACAACTCGATAAGGTTTTTACCCAATCTGTTGGTTTGCTTATCTTTCGAAAAACGTTTATTAGATATATAGAAATTGGCACCTTTATATTTTGAATCTATTAACTCACCAATTCTCGCATTAAAATCTCCTATTACCAAAGTGAGCGGCAAAATATGACTCCAACTTTCTAATGTTTTAAAACTATTTTTTAAAGTACATAGATCGTCAGGCTTAATATAAGCAATTAACAATGTTATTAAATTATTAGTTTTATTTACCAAAGTAGGCTTCTGTAATGAGATAAGAAGTAGCATATAATTGTTGAATTTTTTTATGTCTATTATTTTACCAAAGTTCTGTTTTATAAGAATACATATTCCTCTGCTAGGACGACCCGGACCAGTAGGTTTCTGTGCTTGGATCGTTTCCACTATAAAATCATTGAAAAATCTATTATTATAATACAAATTCGAAGTAATCCAAGTTTCTGTAATTGCTAAAATATCCGGCTCGTATTTAACGCAAAAATTATTTATTAGTGATGTTTTATTTTTTATTCCTTGACAATTCCAGTTAGCAATGGAAATTATTTGATTATTCTTTATAATTCTGTTATATTGCGTATATTTTTGCTTAGCTTGATATCAACTATCTATATTTATTTGATTATCATAAGAGTAAAAATTATTTACATAAACCAGCTTGCTCAATTTTAAACTATATGTTGTTATATTTTTTTTTTTTATTGTTAATATATCATTACGGAGTTTAACTTGGTCTTTTTGTTTTCGCCATTCATAAAATATTGGGAGTAAATTTTTCCTTCTTAACCTTGAGTTTTTAGTTAAATCTGGGGATATTTGCATATCTTCCCATTCTTCTAATGCATTTTTTTGTTGTTTCTTCTGAATAAAAATATAGAAGAATTTATCACAAATTTGCTTATTACTGAATGTTATTCTTACTGTTGTATTAGGTTTCTTTGTTAATAAGTTTGTTTCTATTATCTCAGATTGGGATATATCATGAATATTAAGTACATTAATCATAAAGTTATATATCTCTGACGTAGATATAGATTTCACCATAGGATATGTGTATACAATTATTATTTTTTAATTATGATCATTAATTAAAGAATCTATTTTAAATTGCATTAGTTCATTTTCCCTTTTTTGATTTTCTAATTGTTGTAAATTTTTAATTTCTTTCTCCATATATATCTGTTTTTCCTTAGTCTCACGTATATCTTGACATATTCTTTCTGCATCTTCTTTTATATAGGCCATTTGTTCCAACAACTTATCATTTGAAGCATTTATCAAATCTGATATTTTAGTCCATAAGAGTGCAGTTGAGGTGTCAAAATTATTTGCCAAATTAGTAACAGAATTTGAACCAATATTAGGTGACTCACCTGTTGAACCCCATAAATTCTGCTGTTCAGGTTCCATGTTTTGATTTCCTTCTTGTGAATCACTTTTCGATTGTGTTCCATAATCCGTAATAAGTTTAGAACTTGGAGTACTTGGTTGAGCTTGTTTGTTCTCTGTTCTCGTTCTAGTCAGTGGAGGTCTTCCTCGCCTAACTGCAGATCTTTNATATATCATGAATATTAAGTACATTAATCATAAAGTTATATATCTCTGACGTAGATATAGATTTCACCATAGGATATGTGTATACAATTATTTTTTTATAATTATAATCATTAATTAAAGAATCTATTTTAAATTGCATTAGTTAATTTTCACTTTTTTGATTTTCTAATTGTTGTTGTAAATTTTTAATTTCTTTCTCCATATATATCTGTTTTACCTTAGTCTCACGTATATCTTGACGTATTCATTCTACGTCTTCCTTTATATAGACCATTTGTTCTAACAATTTATCATTTGAAGCATTTATTAAGTCTGATATTTTAGTCCATAAGAGTGCAGTTGAGGTGTCCAAATGACTTGCCAAATTAGTAACAGAATTTGGATTAATATTAGGTGACTCACCTGTTGAACCCCATAAATTCTGCTGTTCAGGTTCCATGTTTTGATTCGAGAATTCCTTTATTCCTTCTTGTGAATCACTTTTCGATTGTGTTCCATAATCCATAATGAGTTTAGAACTTGGAGTACTTGGTTGAGCTTGTTTGTTCTCTGTCCTCGTTCTGGTCAGTGGAGGTCTTCCTCGCCTAACTGGAGATCTTTGCATATTATTATTTTTTTAAATTATTGCTTTTTTCCTTTACCTGAACTTAGATAATGTTATTTTAAACTTGTTTAATAATAAGTTAAACAAATAGACTATTATTCACCACTTCGCTACACAAATGAGAAGTTCACAAAAAAGTCACTCACAGCGTCGACATCCAAACACGCCCCCTTCAATTTATATTATTTGAGAAAGAACTTTTATTTTCAAATTTTATAATTTATTTATCAATAATAACAAATTATTCTAATAAATTAATTATAGGATATTTATATCTGTAGTATGATTTTGAATTGGATACATTTCAAAAACAAGCCATTTTGCATCTTGAGAATAATGATAATGTGTTTGTTGCTGCTCATACATCTGCTGGAAAGACTGTTGTTGCAGAATATGCCATAGCTCTTGCAATGAAGAGTATGACAAAGTAAATATACAAAAAGAAAAATTAATTTAACAAATTAGTTATGGGTATTTATAAATAATATATAATAAAGTGTTTTGTTAGCAATCATTTTATTTGTATAATTATTTTATTTTAGAGCAATTTACACTTCACCTATTAAAGCACTTTCCAATCAAAAATTTAAAGATTTCAAGAAAACATTTGAAGACGTTGGCCTGTTAACAGGTGATATTCAGCTAAATAAAACTGCTTCTTGCTTAATAATGACTACTGAAATTTTAAGGTAATTAAATTTTAAAATCAATATCAATCAATCAATAAAAATCAATATTTTTATTAAAAAACGATAGAAAATATTTAAATGAATTTAATTGTTCTTTGCATATTATTATTTATTTAAGTAGTAAAGGAAAAAAATTATAAAGTTTTTTCGAATTCCTTGTTTTACATTGTGATACTTATTCTTCAAACTGTAGTAATTTATTTTTTATTAATTATTGAAACCACCTGAAATTTTTTTAGATCAATGCTTTATAATGGTTCGGAAGTTGTAAGAAACTTGGAATGGGTAATTTTTGATGAAGTGCATTACATTAATGATTCAGAGGTAAGGTGTGATAATATTGATACCATACATTATAATAATTATATAGCTCAGTTTTTAATTCTTATTGATAATTTTTATTTATATTGAATTCATTAAAAGTAAATTGATGAATGCATGTAAAATATGATTTCATTAAATTGCTAGTATAAAATGATACTTGTTTAAAGAAAATTTAAGAAATTTGTACTGATTTTATGAAGGAACATAATTATTAAAACTGAAATTTTAAAAAAATACTAATTATCATTAAATTCAATTTCTTTAATTTATTTTTATTACTTATTTGAGCTTTCTTAAAATATTTGAATATATATTCTTTGAAGTCATTCATTTTTTTCTTCTAAATTGACATGAGAAAATATTCAAAAATAAATAAATAAATAAATCACTCTGAACTGAAAAATTAATTCAAGTAATTGCTTATTTAATGCACATTGCTGAATAACAACAAAAATCCTTTCTAATGATAATTTAACAAATGATTTTTCCATATTTAAATTTTAAGAAGTAATTTTTTTATAAATCTTAGAAATTTTGTCATTTATTTTACATATACTAAATTTTAAAATAAATTTTTTAAATATCTAATTTATTATTTCTATTAAAATTTTAAATAGAGGGCGAGCAAAAGTTCTCTCACCTTTTATGATGGGTTTGATTATTGGGAATAAATTCAAATTTTGAATTCAATAATCTCTTAATGTAGTCAAAAGAATTCCAAATTCCTATGGCTGCTTTTGAAGTTTTTTCAGATGTTCTATTGACGCACTAACTTTAGCACATGCTTTTACTCCTATTGATCTACTTCCTGGACAATTTTTTCTTCTACGATATAATAAGTTAGTCATTTTTAAAGGGTTCTTTCTGCAGTAAAAATAATTTGTTGTTACAATTTTATAAGGGGTGATGAGACTTTTGATTTAACTTGTAGCAAATTATTAATTAATCCTGTATAAAGACGTTTTATTATTTAAAAATTTTACATATTTTACATTCTTATTAATTGTAATTTTAGCGTGGAGTTGTATGGGAAGAAGTCTTGATTATGTTACCATCACATGTTAAATTAGTGCTTCTGAGTGCCACTGTGCCTAATACATTAGAATTTGCTGATTGGATTGGGTGAGTTGATTTTTATACATAATTCAAAAGTTTACATAAGTACATACATACATACATACGTACATGCATGCGTGTATATTTATTAATTAATAACATTTCATTATATATATATACAGTACATATACAGTAAAATAAATTCCCCTTTTTGACCATCTCTGATTTATGCCTATCTTCAAATATGTGACCATATGTTTTTGGTCTCTTCTCTACAAATAAGCTTCTGATATATGACCATTTGCATAAGGCTAGGCATATAGTTACTTCAAATACAATTTCTTTGACACATGGAACTGTTTTCTTTGTTCTATTTCCATGCACAGACAGATTAGGATCTTCTGTGCCCAGGGATCCCAGAAGATCTAGAGCTCCTCTATGTAATTTTGAATTGTAACTACAGAATTCTTTATAAATTATGATGAAGCAATTTACCATTGCAATTGCATATATTATTTTTCCATTTTTAAGGCTCTTGAGACCTGGACCCTAGTCTTATTCTTCACATGCCTAGTGGGCAATCCAGCAGTTTATAGAAATGTTATTATGATTATCACTAACTAATGAAATGTTACTTCTTTACAGTAATAAGAGGATTAGGATAGGCAAGGTTTTTGGAGACTTGCATTCCTTAACAGAACTGTAAACAATGAATTCCAGCACCAATTCTTAAGCAACTAATGTTTGACTTTATTCAAAAGTCATCATCGACTACATTACTTTGAAAATCAAAATGCTCATGGAATGTCTTTATTCAAAATTGATTGATTTGATTTGGTAAATCAAACTATTAGTTACAAAAAAAACTTTTTTGAAAAAACAGTAGCTTTATCATTCATAAACTACTTTTGAAATTTGTTCTTTAGTGTACTTGGTTAAAATATCTTAAATTTTGAATAAAGAATCCTTGTCTTTGCAAGTTGCAAATTTTGTAATACTATACCTTGAAATAAAGGTTATAAATGATATTCTCTGTTTTGAGTTCGTCTTCAATATGTGATCACTAGTTGATTTTTTCAAAGAATGGTTACAGATGAGAGGTTTTACTCTATATATATTATTATTATTATTATAAAATGTTATTAATGAATGTGTTTATTAAGGATTTTGATTTGAAATGCTGTTACTATGCATGATAAAATAAAACAGTATGGCATGACTTTTCTAATACTAGATTCATTACTTTTGAATTACTCTACTTTTAATATAATTTTTTAGTCATTAAATCAAGTTAATTTGAATGATCTTCACATTTTTAAATGTTTTTATAAATCATTTGAATTTAACACAACTGTTTAAAAGAAATATTTTCACAGTAATAAAGAATCTTAGTATTATAAATATCAAGTTACATTAAGTATAATATTATTTAGTTAGTTTTATATTATGCATGAATCCATGGTATTTAATTCATTGATATCGTATCCAAAAATTCATAAGTCTTAAGATTCCTTTTTTTATGTTTTATTTAAAATATTATTTTGTTTGTATTTCCTTAAGTTTATATATGGTGAATTCACTTGAAGTATACCTATTAGTCTGAAGTGGATGATAATGCCAAAACATGTCACTTCTATTTCAAAAGCTGAATAAAAGTGACAAATTATACATTAGAAATTCATGGTTAGTTTAAAACTAAATAAGCAATATATGTATTTGTGACTATCCTTACTACGAATCATATGCAACATGATAAAAATTAATTTTGAAGCAATCATCATGTTTTATTGAAAGGCATATCAAAATTTAATCTTGAATTAAGATTTTTATTCTTAATGGATCTATCTAAAAGAAATGTTATATGTTCCTTAATTAAAGTAGGTCAGCCTCTTTATTATTATCTATAACATCAGTTTAGAAGTGTTAACTCTCACTGTTCAATATATTTTTTGTAATATATGAAAAAACATATTTATATTTATTATTTATAATTTTAAAATGTTATGTTAATATAAATTTAATGTCAAATTTGAATATATATATATATATATGTATTATATTACATTAATTTCATTTTAGTCAATATTAATTTTACAAATACAGAAATACAGTAGAGCATCGATTATCTGAATCAATTGGAGACTGGGGTTGTTTGGAAAACCGATTTTTCGGATAACCAATTATGTACGAAAAAATACATTAACCTATCCCGTGTTGAAATTCGTTCAAATCCTGGCCTGTCCTTAAGTACCCTCTCATGGTCGTGCCAGTGTTGCCAGCTAAAACATGCACACCAACAAAAATAATAATGGAGTAATCCAAGACATAGTCAAAGATTGCATCGTCACAGCAGTAATGGAAATTTAAATTTGCCAACTGGAAAGCTTTCGGTTAATTGACATTTCAGTTGATTGATATTCAGATAATTGATGCTCTAATATATATATATATGTATGTATGTATGTAAAATTAGCATTGACTAAAATGAAAATTATTTTTACATTAATGATTCTTACATGATTAAATTTAATTCCATTGTTTGTGGATTTGTTTTATGTTTTGTTAGAGTTTTAGAAGTGAATGAGGATTTTTTTATTACTGAAACTGTTTATTCTAACCATACATTTCTATATTCAATGGTTGCCTCAACAGTGAGAAAACGATGTTTCTAAATGGACTATTGAGTTCTCTGTTGAGACCACTGTTTCACCATTGAGCTTAACAGTCTCAACAACCTGAAAGACTGTTGAGTATTCAACAAACTAACATGGCAGCTTCCATGAAACAAATAAATTTTGCTTATAGAAACTATTGATTTGCTCTTGCTGTGGATGTTGTAATAGTGGACAGATTAATGAATGATCAGTATATGATAAAACATGTGATTTCATGATTATGTTGGATAATTTGGTCAATATTGAAATATTAAGCTTTTCTTCAGAAACAAATTATTTCCATGAATTTGTCCAAAATTGATTACAACTGATAGACCCGTATAGAAGAAAATGATACAGCTAAGGGTTCATTTAAATAAAAGGATTTATTCAAATAATGGTTAAGTGAGTTACTTTAATTATTTAGCAAAACAGTCACAATTGTTGCCTTTTCCTTAAGTCGGCCATCATGAAAAGTGCCTTTTCAACAGAAACATTTATTTTTTCTATAAAATGGCATCTGATCATTTAACAGAGAACTCAACAGTTGATATGTATTGAATTTAGAAATGTACGGTAACTAATAAATTCTTCTGGAATCTCAAAATATATTTGTTTTGATTTCATATTGATTTATTGAAGGTAATAAAAGTTATGATACAAAAAACAAACGAATATAATTTTACATTTTGTTAATGGACAGTAAAAATTAATAAACACTAATAATATAGGAAATTTTTTCCATTAAAATAAGAGGCAAATCAGAATTTGGAGTGATAGAAAACTAACTTAAAAAAAGAAGTTTATAATATTTATTTTATTTGAATGTTAATGAAATGTTATTTGAAGATTATGAAAGAATGAAATGTTACATTATGAATGTTGTTTTAATGTTAAAATACAGAAATTAAAAGTTTACAATTTCTAAACTTTTTTTTTGTTATTTGCTGTTATAAAAATTTTCTTTGTTTAAAAGTATTTTAATTTTATATCTGATGAAAGATTTAATAAGGGATCCAAATATGTTCATATTTCCAAAAATATATATTTTTTTATATTCAAATAATAATAAATTGTGTTACTGTTAAACTCATATATATATAATTAGAAGAATTATTTTATACCAAATAGAACAAATAAATTTTAAATTATTACTATTTCAGGAGGATAAAACAAAAGAAAATTTATGTAATTACAACATTGAAAAGACCAGTTCCTTTAGAACATCATTTATATACAGGTAGTGGAGGAAAATCAAAAGGTGAATTATTTATGATTGTAGATGCTGCAGGAAATTTTAAGACACTTGGGTATGTATTCAAATACTATTGCAAATATTACTAAGTATTACACTTGTATAAATTTGATTAAAATTGATGTAATGTAGATATATCCTATAAAAATTTAGATTGTTTCTCAAATAACATTAACATTAATGTGTAGATTAAAATATACAAGAAATCTTCTAATTCATTTATTTTTATATTAATATTGTCTTAAGAATAATAATAATCTTTTCAAGCATACCAAAAAATAAGAATTTGTTATTAATTTCGTTGACACAAGATTTTATATTTAAATACTTTTATGGGACAATATATAAGACATACAATGATGGAAAAGATTATACAGCATGATCTATTTGGGTGGGGTTAATTTGAAAGCTGTGTCATAAAAACACATTAGTTGTACTGTATTTTCGCAGAATGATTTGCATGCTGGTCTATCCAGGGGAGACCATGAATTCAGATATTTCCGTATGGTAAAAGCCGGTATGCCAGTTTAAGTGAGATTATACGTCTCTCTCTAGAGGGCTCATTAAAAAAAACGAATGAATTATGTCATGTAAAAACAAATGAGTTTTTATTCCAAAACTCTGAAACTGTCATCATTACATCAAAAACTACAATTATATGTTTAATTTCTTCATTTTGTCTTTTTCCTAACAATAAAATACTCGTGGAATTCCGAAAGTGATTTTTTTATGTGCATTTTATTGTTATTTGATTCAAAAACATATTAAATAAACATATTAAATTTAAGAAACTCTCCATAAATTATTTCAGCTTACACTGATTAACATCTGCTTTGTGTGAAATTTGAGAGGAAGGTGTTATTTTAAGACCGGGGTAGATGGTCAGTGTAGCCCACACTGTACTACTACCACCACCACCATCACCACTACCACTACTACCATTACCAATAAGTCATTAGTTGTTTTATTGTTTTGTAAACAAAAACTCTCTTCTCCATTTTAAGTCAGTCAAATTACAATGTTATTATTTTATTGCACTTGAAAGAATGGTTGCTTTAATGTTTAATTAAAAACTAGTTTTGTTAGATGCGATTAATTTTATATTTTAGTCACAGTTTAATCGACATGCCAATAACCCCGGGTTTCCTGTATGCTGGTTTCCCGTTTTTATGCGGCATGCTGGTCACTCACGAAAATACTGTATGAAATTTTAATTCTGCCACAATGGTGAGTAAAACAGGAATTTCATTGGATAGTTTTGTCATGTGACTAAAGAGAAAATGGCATTGTCTTAAATGGAGTTAACTCTGCTGCACAAATCATATCCAATATTACCTGAAAATTTACTCATATTGTTTACAATATATACAAAGTAATATCAAACAATGTGTTTATGCATTGTGTATTGCAAAGTCAACTAAAGGACAACCATCATAGACTTTTCTTCAGGCTGTGCATCAATACAACAGAGCTTCTTTCTAAGGATCATGCTTATGACTACTTGAATATTGGCTTTATGACTGACCCTGTTTCTTCAAATGTACAATACCAATGCAATTATACTTTGGTGCTTACCTGAAACCATAAATATGACAAAACTTGTATTTTTTTCATGTTTATGGTTTCAGGAAGAAATCAAAGAATACTGTTACACACTTAAACTTTGCATACTAAAAGACAAAGTATGTTGCTCCATGATCAGTGCCATTTTTACTTTTATCGTGAGACAAAACTGTTCAGTGAATCTCCCACCTTACTTTACTGTTCAGGCTAAACTTGAAATTCATAGAACTAATGTGCTTATTATGATGAAGGCTAGGATGTCAGGCACTACAAATCATAGAAATAGTTTTAAAAAATCATATAAGTTATAATTTTTATACAGTGGGTGATCAGTTAACGAACAGTTTGGACTGTGAACAAATCAGATAACGGACACTTTCACAAAAGATTTTTATGTTTGGACAACAAACACATGTTCAGATAATGAACACCTCACAGAACAATCACAAGAAGTAGTGATGTAAAACAGTGAATACCAATTGGTCTTCCCTTGTCTCCAGGTGACAATTCAAAATCTTCTGGAGCTCAGGAGACAGCAACATCAATGCTGAATCTGATACTGATTGGATAGTATTCCTCCAAACTTTGAAACTCTTCCTTGTAAAGTTTTATGTCGGTTTTTATTTTTGAAAGGCACAAGATTAACTGTCCTATTGGATATTCTTTAACACCAATTTCAAATTTCATCCGGGCTTCACATTTACATAATTTTTTTTTGTGCGCTAGTTCATTGCTGTTTTCTGAATTTTTGTGAGTGCTTTTCTGATCTTTTTATTTAAAAAAGAGACTGATAATATTATGGAGCATAAAAGTAGTACAGGTTTAAGAACTGTGCTCCCACAGAAACCAAGCAAGAGATAATAGCTAAGGTAGAGATTGGGCAGAAGATGTTGCTAGGCAGTATGGCTTGAACAAGTTTACAGTAGGCATAATCTTAGCTAAGACAGATATAATTAAGAAAACTCAAGCAGCTAAAGGAGTAATGAAAATCATATCTGAGAAATAAAGAACATTGAAGAGCTCATATGGAATTGAAACTGATCTGACAACAGATGAACTCTGAGAACTTTTAAATGAAGAACACCAAGAAACTCAGCGAGATGTGTTTTCTTCTATAAAAGAGGAAGACCAAAGAGGACCAATGCTGACATCTGCTATTAAAGATCTTTTCAAGAAGTGGGAGGATGTCAGAGCAGTGGTAACAATGGTTATCCAAATGGCATCCAAACCAGATACAGGTTAATGGTTAAACAGGCTTGGGGATCTCTACAACGACAATACTATTAATTACTTCTAAAAAATCCTGAAGAAGAGAGAAAAACAATTGACATTGGACGGATTCTTTAACCCCCACAAACGGAAAAAAACATAACTGATAAAAATGCAAGACTGTGTATATATGTATTTTTATTATCTATATATATATAAGCAATTGATCGCATATTTGTATATCTGTAAGTTGTAATGGTATGCCTAAAATGCCCACTAAGGGTGCCCTAGCAATAATTTTAAATTAACAATAAATTATTTTTATTTGTAATAGGAATTTATTATTGATATGAATTTATTATTTATACCATGGAATGGTATAAATAATTATTACATTCCTTGCTTTGCCTTATTATATGCCTTGGTTAACCTTGCACCGCACATTTACAACATGCTGTGACTCAGTGAGTGTCACACATTGACTCACGGGAAATTTGTTGAAGAAATTGCAGATACATTTAACATCAAGGTTTACCAGCGACGGTAAATAAACAAATTGAACTATTTTAAAGTATTTATAGAATGTTTAATAACACTAAAAAATTATTTTTAATTAGCTTCGTGTCTCCTACCGTACGATATATAGAAATCCTGTTTGCTGTTTGTCTATTGATTTATTAACATTAGTTTTTAAGATAAAGAATTGTATGTATTTATATATATTAAGTGCATCAAACGTTTAAATATTAATAAATAAACCTTAAAATAATATGCATCGAACTTTCATATATTAAGTGGATCAAACGTGCCTCATGGAAATTTGTAAGGAATGCGCACTAGGGGGCATTCCAGGCTACTAGTTACATAAAAATAAACGTAGTAAGAAAGTATATAACTTTTTATTTTTTGGGGTCTTCAGAACGAATTAATCAAATTCCCATAAAAATCTATGGTAAATCGATAATTGGTTAACAAATAATTTGGGTAGTGAACACTGTCTTGGAACGGGTTATGTTTGTTAATCGATCACACACTAATTTTTATTGTCTAGATGTCCTAGCCATAATTATGACACAGCTTTCAAATTATCTCTATCCAATTGAATTACCTTGCATTTCATTATTCAGAAGACAACATTTCAAGCAACTTTATGAAATTATACCTTAAGTAGAATCTGAATAAAGTGTTTATAATTTTTAAATATAGTAGAATCCGTTTGTTGTAATCACTTTGCACTCATCTATTCTTATACTAACAACTGACTGCTAGCATTAAGCAGAGAAAAGTAAATAAGATATGCAATTAGTTAAAATTCTGGTTTTATTGATGCTGTCATTAAAAGAACATATTGAAACAATTGAAAGACACATAACAAATGTTTGTTAGAATTATTATTATTAATTTATTCAGTATTTTTTGTTTGCTGTTTTCTGTGGTACCATTTTTAACAACAACTAGCATATAAATATGAACAAACTATTGTATTGTGAGTAAATAATAATTAAAGTGATTAATGTTTAAAGCATTGCATAAGATTGATAATGATAACTGATAATTGATTGTGTGAAAAGACAACTTAAAAATACCTGTTTACATGAAGATAATGATAACTATAACTGAAATTTTGATTAATTAATGATTAATAAATGAAGTTTGATAACTATATTTCAACTTATATGTTTTCAGACATGCTAATTCTGAGAACATTAAAAGACTGCTAAGAATATCCATGATTACAATATATGGATTCTACTGTATATCAGTACTAACTTAAAATGAATAGTTCTATCTCAAAAACAAAAGTGCAAATAATTTAACAGTTTTTAAAATAAAAAAAATATATTTAAATAACTGTGAATGCTATATGTAACTGACAGACTAAAAATTACAGTACTTTGTTATATAAAAAAATTGTTAAAATCAAAATATTTAAAATTCAGTATCAAAATGTAGTTTTATTTGGTTGGCATAAACTATTAGTTGTTGACTTTACTAAAATATTATAGATACCAAATCATTCCCATTAATTTAATCTGAATATTTATAAAAAACTTAATTTTATACTCATTTGGTATCAGTTTTTTTAAACTCTTTTGTTTATGTAAAACTTTTATTTTATAGTGTAAATAATCATGCATTTATTTTTATAATTAATTATAAATATTTTCAATTTTTATAATTATATATTATGAACATTTAAAATTAATAAAAATGAAAAGAAAAAGAAAAATTTTGCTTTCTTCTTTTTCATCCTCTTTATTTACTAAAATAAAATCCCATTAAACACATTAATAGCATTTATGACAGGATATTATTAATCATTCGTATATTTTTGAGATAGTGAAATAGGTGAAAGATTAATCTTCTGATGTGTTAAATAATGTTCTAGTTTTATATTTAAAAAGTACTGATTTTGCATTTTATTTAATTAAAAATGTAATTTTTTTTATTACTTAAGTAGTTGTTAAACGGTATTATATCTCATAGAAATATGAATTTTATTTTTAATCTTAGATTAAATAAATTTTGTTACAGATTTATGATTTCTTTTGTGAATGTTTATATCTTAGATATTACATGTTAATTAATAAATCAGTTTTTTAGTTTATTTTTTTTGAATCCTTTCAGTATATTATAGAATTATAAATATTAAATAATAATATACAGTGGGTGAACGGTTAACGAACATAATCCGTTCCAAGACTTTGTTCACTATCCGAATTGTTCGTTAATCAATTATCAATTTACCATATGTTTGTATGGGAATTTGATTAATTTATTCTGGAGACCCCAAAAAATAAAAAATATATACTTTCTTACTACGTTCATTTATATGTAATAATAAAAATACATATATATGCAGTCTTGCATTTTTATTAGTTATGTCTTTTTGTTTGTGGGGTTAAAGAATCTGCCTAATGACGATTGCTTTTCTCTCTTCTTCAGGATTTTCAGAAGTAATTACAGTAATAGCAATGTAATTGTAGAGATCCCTAAGTCTATTAACCTCAACTTGGTTTGTATACCATTCTAAGACCGTTGATCTGACATCCCCAACTTCTTCAAAAGATCTTTAATTAACAGCAGATATCAGCATTAATCCTCTTTTTCATAATAAAACATATCTCGCCGAGTTTCTTGGTGTTCTTCATTCAAGAGTTCTTGGCATTCTTCTGTCGTCAGATCTGTTTCAGGTTCCATTATAAGCTCTTCAATGTTCTTTATTTCTCAGAAGTGATTTTTGTTACTCCTTTAGCTGCTTGAGTCTTCTTGATTATACTGTATCTTTCTTAGATAAGACTGAACTGCATCCTACCATAGTTTTGTTTGAGCCATACTGCCCAGCAACATCAGACATCTTCTGCCCACTCTCTACCTTTGCTATTTTACCTTTCGAAAATAAAACTCGATGCAAAACTTAATGAGTACCCGCCTGACAGTCTCGTGAATACTATAAAAGAATTGTTTCTGTCAGAAAAATAAAAGGCTGGAATTACAAGCGAGAGTTTCAAAGTTCGGAGGAATACTATCTGATGAGTATATTCTGGGTTGAGCGTCAATGTTGACGTCTCCAGTGCTCTGAAAAGCTTAGAATTGTTGCCTGAAGACAAGGGAAAATCAATCAGTATTTGCTATTTTCGTCACTTCTTTTTATGTTTGTTCAGTGAAGTGTTCGTTATGCGATCATAAAAATCTTTCGCAAAAGTGTTCGTTATCCGATTTGTTTGTTAATTGATCTGTTTGTTATTCCATCACCCACCGTATATGTTTTTTTTATAAATCTGTGAACTTTTAATCTGATTCTATTTCTCAAATTTATTTATACAATTTCCTAGTTACAATGCTGCTTTAAATGCCAAACAAGAAAGAACAAGTAAACATCAACATTCATTTGGACCTAAAGGTTATCGAAACAATGTTTCTGAAAAACAAGTAAGAAAATATTATATTCAATAAAAAATTGAGAGTAAGATACAATATACTAGAAAAAAAATCTGTAAATTTTAATAATGAAGTTGAAAATAACACACTAAATTTCATTGTATATATTAAAAGCTGCTTGGCATTAAAAATTATTCTGCAAATTGTCTATGATTTTTCAGAAAAATTGACAAACTACTGATTGGTAGTACTTTTAAATATTTGTAACATTATGCATTAAATAATAAAATAAAGATGAAATTAATTTACATTAAATTGTAATTTAAATTGATTTAATTTAGTAAATCACGTTAGAACACAATTTTATATTAAAATATACTTTTAATAAATTTAATTAATCTGATATAGTGTATAAAATATATGTATTTAGATAGATATATTTTTTAAACTATGTTATATCTTGATGAATTATAATTTCTAAAAGAAAATAGCAAAAGTGATCTCATCTTAAATTTACAACTTCAGATTACTTTACTGGCATTCAAATATATGCACAAATCATCACAAATTACAGTAAAATGTTGATTTCCCTAGCATTTTCAGATTCTAATGTCTATTTTCAATGAAAATTTGCTATAAAAACATTTTTTTTAAACAAAAAAAACATCTACTTTTAATTTTAAAAAACAGATGATTTGAAGTTGTGAAGTTATAACTGAATTAGAGTCAAGACTGTAAGCTCATTGTAAACATCTAACATTTTTGAGAAATTTAATTAACAATTCAATTTTCACTTATCTGACTAAAATGTATTTTGATATATATTCTTTTCAGTCAACTGCTGACACCTCAATAAAATAATTTCTAAATTTCTAAAACAAATTGTAATTAGCATTTTAAATACTGTGTTAAAACTAATAAAAAGAAATCATAACTATTAATATCTTTGTGTATCAAAATAACTCTGTAAGTAATTTCAATATTAATAATTTGGAAATCATATTTATATAATAATAATAATAAACTGACTAACTAACAATATCTGTATGTTACAAGTATAAAAAGAATATCACTCAAAGATAAATTAGCGTCTTAGAGGAAAAACAAAAGCTGATAATTTTTAATCTTTGATATTATAAAAAAATGAATATAATAGAATAAATATTAATTTTGTAGATTTAGACTGAAGAGATGATAGAAATGATGCAGTGCAAAAATGCACTGCATCATTTCTATCATCTCTTCAGTCTAAATCTTCAGTCTCTTCAGTCTCTCTTCAGTAAAATGTAAAAAATATATCTCTTTATCTTAAAAAATTATTGTGAGAGCTCCATTGTAATTTCTTTATAACTAATTATTATAATAACAAACAATAATCTATTATAAAGTTTGAAACTGTTTAATATTATTATTTTATCAAATTTAGGTAAGCAGTTCATAATTTTGATACTTAAACTATATAATAAATATTAAAAAATATGATATTAATGTAAAATCACATATATTTCTGTTTTAATTTATTAATTTAATGATAGATAAAATATAAGAAAAATAAATTATTTAAATTTGCAATAATGTGTTTCCAATATATTTAATAATTTCAGGATAAAAACACTTACATAGGATTAATTGAATATCTTCGTCAACATGATAAATTACCAGTTGTTTGTTTTACGTTGTCCAGAAAAAAATGTGATGATAATGCCCAGATGCTTTCAAGTGTTGATCTAACAGTAAAAGAAGAAAAGGGTGAAATACATAAATTTGTGACTTCATGTATTTCTAAATTGAACAAATCTGATCGAAAATTACCCCAGGTAAGATACAAAAATTAGTATAATAATTTTTATTTAATTTATTACTTAATAGTTTATGATTGGATTATATAATGTAATTAATTCATAAATTTATTTTATGCATTATGTGTTTCTTTGGTTTAGGTTGTTACTATGCAACAATTGCTAAAAAGAGGACTTGGAGTTCATCACAGTGGAATTTTACCTATTTTAAAAGAAGTTGTAGAAATGTTATTTGAAAGAGGACTCATAAAAGTATAAACAACAAATTTTTATTGTAAAATGTATTTATTTATTTAAATAAATGAAATAATTATGAATGATATGTTTTAGATGCTGTTTGCTACAGAAACATTTGCAATGGGAATCAACATGCCTGCTCGAACAGTAGTTTTTGACAGTATTAAGAAACACGATGGACAGAATTTTCGAGAATTGCTTCCTTCAGAATATATACAAATGGCTGGACGAGCAGGAAGAAGAGGAAAAGATAGTGAAGGAACAGTAATTATTATGTGCAAAGCAGATATTCCTGAAACATCAGTTTTATATAAAATGATGTTGGTAAATAACTTTTCTCATACATTTATTGATTTATTATTAATTTTTTCCATAGTATCGAAATACTTATGTGACTTTTCCTGGTTGATGTAATTATGACAGTTGATTCTTCCATATCCAAACTAATATGGGTGGGAGTGATCCGGATATTAAAAAAAGTTGAGATAAGGGAGTGTGATAATTTTTAAATAAGATTGTAATATACTGTATATGGGGGGGTGCTTCTAGCATTCATTGGTACTGGAGCAATTTTAGTGTGAGCTTGTTTTGAAGAGTTAATAGGAATTTAAATGATGGATATGTTATGGATTAAAGTCTATTTAATATTAATAATACAGTATTTGCTTATTTTGGCCGGAGTTGAGCAAAATCACATTCCCCACTGAAGAGAGGTCAACCACCATTAATGAGAAGTAACAATGCTGTTAAGATGTCTAAACCGACTAATTTGGAGAACATATTATGTAAACCAATGTATGCTTCGAGGGAGAAGGAGAAAAGTGAGAAAACAGCTGAGGAGGTGAGTGAATTTGATTTTGAATCTACATTCATGGACTGTTTGGAGTCAATACAGAGAGAAGACTGTCCGATTACCTCAAGTTTACGCCAAATGACTAAATTAATTCAAATTTCACATGGAGCTATAACAACTAATATTATAAGTTAAAACAGAGATAAGCCGGCTACATGAGGATAATGAAGAATTTAAGACTAGGCTTGGATTAATGAAACAGAGAGTTAATAATTTAGAAATAGCATTGCCTGAACTAAATAGGAAATTAGAAGCCCAACAATATTTGGCAAACGATATTATAAATACATCAAATCAGTCTAATTTGATATTATTCGGATATCCTTTATCTGAGAATATGAATATTAGAGAAAGTCTGGGAAGATTTATTGAGGAAGAGTTGAGGGTTACCGAGTTTAAGATAGAAGAAGTAATAGATTATTATGTAATAAAGAAAGTAGTTCCAACGATTTTAAAAATCACACTAAGTTCAATTCAGAGGAAAAACCAAATATTATCATTGTTTTATAAGTATAAAAAAGAGTCCTCTAATGAGTTATATGGTAAACTACGTATAACTTCTGATCTCACCCGAGAATCTAGGGAAAGTAGATAAAAAATAATCCCATATTATATAGAGGAGAAGAAAAAGGTAGACCAATTTTGTTATGAAATGACTGTCTAATATACAACAATAAGAAAATTACTTGTAGTTTAGCTGAGAACTGTTTGGTGGATACTGGTTCTTTTTTAGAAGTGGAAATCAATTAACTAACACAGTAGCTAAACTAAATAGTGGAGTTGGTAAGAATAACAATATTAATTTTATGAAAACAAATTTCAGATACCAGATAAAGAATCAAAAATTAAGATTATAAACTAGAACACTGAAGGGCTTAGAAAAAAACTATATTCTACTTATTTCCAAAAGTTAATGAAGCAATACGAGATTATTGGTTTGGAAGAAACCTGGATTATGGAACTAACTGCTAAAGAGATGGTATTCCTGCAACCCACATTTAATTATTTAACGGCCCTAGCTACAAAAAAACTGGGAGTTGGAAGACTGAAGGGTGGAATCATGTTATTGGTGAAGAAACATCTGGAAGATTGGATTTATTCTTATACTAGTGTTAATTTAATATTTGGCATAACTAAAATGGATGGTTTTAAAACAAATTGGAGTCCCAATAATTATATAGCAATGATGGTCCACTACTCTCCTCCATATGAGACCCATCAGCCACCACTCTAAGATATTGAGAAGATTTATTCATATTGCTCTCATCTTACAACATTATGGCTTATCCTTGGGGACTTTAATGCCCATGAATTTGATTCTAAATTTACAGGGTTTAATCCTATAGTTTATAATTTAAGAAGCAGCAATGACAATAAAATTTACCCCTACAACCTATCCCCTCTCATTTCTTTTAAATTAATAATACATTATAGTACATTTTTTTAATAATCAAATAAAAAAAATTAAACAATAAAAACAAACAATGAATATTCTGGAAAGTTTTGGATTACTTTAATAATTTTTAGATCCTTCCATAATATTCTATATTATTTCAGAAGCTTTTGGACGTTTCCAGAAATTTTAAATATTTTATGATTAAAAATAACTATGTGAATTTTTTTTTTCAATTTTTCTTTACCAATTATATTCTGAATAACTTTTTATGTACAAATAATTTTATTTTATCAGTTTTTATTGAATTATTATATGAAAAAATTATTTTAGTTAAAATGTTCTACAATATTTTTATTTAATACTTTATTTATGTTCTAGAATGAACTGGGCCAGAAGGTTCGAAAATGTTTTGGAATAGTCGAGGACCATTATGTGTATGTAGTGGGGATGGCTTTTGGCAAAGTGTGATGCACATGCTTCAGTTGATTTTTCATAAATAAAAGTGTACAAATAACAGAAAAAAGTGAAAAGTGAATAGTGAAGTGTGAAAAGTAAAAATATAAAAAACAATGCCAAAGTGTAAGAAAGAATTTTCACGGTTTTGAATCATATCGCAAAGGCAAAAGATGGCGCAGAGAAATGAAACCACGGAAGAAAGAGAAGTACGTCTAACATTGCTAAGAGAAAATTATCAATGAAATAGAAATAATCAGACAGAAGAGCAACTTGAAAATTATAGGGAAACACATTGAATCAGAGAAAGATTACATAGAGGAAGAGAAACAGTCTTTTATATATTAAAAAAAAAAGTATATTACATATAAATGTACAAACAAATAAAAACCCAGCAAAGCAGGTGCGGGTACTTGTAGCTAGTTATATATATAACAGTTGAACTTTTTAGAATTTATACTTCTAAATCTAGAGAAATAAGAATTATTATTTTGTAAAATTTTATATTAAACAATTTAATCATATAAGGTACAATTGCAATATTTTATAAATAAAATATATATTTATATTTTATATATAAATGAAAACAATGTTTTGATTAGTATTTTTAAGTTATTCTATAAATTTAAATTAATAAATTAATGTCAGATATATATTAATGTTATTTTACAAAAATAATAATTCAGATGAATTTTAATACATAGCAATAAATAGTTATTAAACCAATTGCTATTGAGAATTTGATTATTTAAATCTAGTGATGTTTAGAAATATTCAAGCTTTTGGTGTCTTCTGTTTTGATTGATGGTACAAGACAGAAAACATGAAAGGTTCTTTTTGTTGGTCTCAAAATACAGTAGAGCATCAATTATCCGACCCCCAATTAACCGTCACATCGGTTAACTGACCGTTCTAGACGGTAAATTTCAAATGTCTGCTAGTGATGTGGCATTACAATATTTGGCTATGTCTTGGCTACTTTAATATTATTTTTGTTAAATTTTTGCGTGTTTTAGCTGTCATCAACAGCTCGACCATTGAAGGGAGGCCAGTATTTAAACGAGACTTAATTTTCTAATTATGAGTGGTTGTTTGTTTCATGAGCAATAAAATAATTTTAAAATAATTTTTAACGATACAATAGCGACGATTATTTAAAAAAAAAGTTTGTTAGGCTAAACATCAATGAAAATTCAACGCAAAGTTGGTTAATAGCAATATACTAATAAACTAATTACATGGAATATACTAATATCCTAATATACTATACTAAATAATGTATTTTTTCCTTCTTTTTGGTTATCCGATTTTTTCAGTTATCCGACCAACCTGTGTCCCCAATTGAGTCGGATAATCGATGCTCTACTGTATCATAATTAGTGAAAATACTTTGTTTTTTAAATTAATATTTTATATTTTTAGGGTAAACCTACAAAATTAGAATCAAAATTCAGATTGACTTACAGCATGATTTTAAATCTTCTTAAAGTTCATAATGAAAATTTAAGGGTGGAAGATATGATGAAACGGTCATTTAGAGAGGCATTTTCACAACGTAATGTGAAGGAGGACGAGAAAGTTCTTAAAGAATTAATTGAAACTTTTACACATTTGGAAAAATTGGAATGTGAAATTTGTCAGTTTGACATAAAACAATATTGTAAAATGGTCCAGGATTTCTATAATTCAAAAACAAACTTATTGGTATGAATGAAGCTATTTTTATTTAAGTAAATTTTTATTTATTTCAATTATAAAATAAATAAAATGAATATTTAAACTTTTCAGAAAAAGATTTTTAATAGTCAATTTGGTTTGAAATTGTTTTCTCAAGGAAGATTATTAACTGTTAAAACTTCATATCATTCCAACACTTTTGGTGTTATTCTGAATTCAGATAAAAAAGTTCTTAAAGTTTTATTGATGTGTAAATATTCATCAGAACGATGCAAGTCAACTACTGATATTCTGGATATGGACGAAGCATCAATTAAACAATTACCCTGGTTGCCAAAGTTATACGTTCCTGAAAGTGTATCAAGTTATCATATAACAAGTATATCGGTGAATGAAATACAAAAAATATTCAATAAAGTAATTAAAATAGATGCAAATGAGATATTCAATGATTGGAATAAACAAATAAAGTAAGAATATTAATTACTTATTTAAAATTTAAGCAAATAATTTCTATAATTTTTAATATGAATTATTTATTCCAAAATTAACAATTCTGCAGCAGAAAAACTTGCATAAACTATTTGTTTTAAAGTTTTTTGGTAAATAATGAAAATGTTTTTTTTTTTGGGCTGCAATTTGAAACATTTATAAAATTATTTTCTATAAATGGAGCTGGTAATTAAAACTTTATTTTTAAAGTTTTTATTTATATTTACAAATTGTATTACTAAACTTTTATATATAGTGATATTTCTCATATCTTACTGAACAAGATTATGTTGACTGAATTTTTTTATGAAATAATTATCAGTTTCATGTTGATTTTTATATTAGGTAAAATATAATTACATAATTTAATTAACTTGGTATACAAAAACAAAGTATCTGTATCAGCTATTTTTCAATTATTTAAATTCATAAGATTTTGTAATAAAATTCTGTTAATTTTAAATTGAAATTTTAACACTGTTTTATCTATTTAAAATAACTTTATGTTTATTTAAATAAAATTAAATTTATATTTACAATTTATCTTTTGTAAATAATTTAAGACTAAAAAAAATAATTATTAAATTTTTTGATAATAGAAATGATAATGAAATTCCTGGAAAATCTATTAATAAACTTGTTCAAAAATTACATCAAATGATTATGGAAAATGAAAATGGTTTGCCTCCAGTAGACATCATTAAAGAATGTGGTGTTAGAGATATTGAATTGTTTGAAAGAGTGAAAGATATTCTACATACATCAGAAGTTTTGGAAAAATTTACTTGTTTAACTTGTGTGGATTTCATTGATCATGTAAGTCAGAAATTCAAATATTAAATCAAATAATATATTTTAAGTGAATTTAAGTTTAAACAGTAAAATGAATTTAAGATAAACTATAAATCTTTTAATTATAGTTTGTTAAGACATTCAAAGAGATTGAATTAGAAAAGAAAATGAATAACTATAAACTGAAGTTGTCTGAGAAAAGCCTACAGTTATTGCCTGAATACCAGGCACGAATCAGGGTATGTAAATTATTACCTGACATAATTATTGTTTTATAAACATTTACAGGCATACCTCGACTTACGTCGGTTTCAAGTTACGTCGTTCCCGATTATACGTCGCTTGTTAAAAAAGTATATGGAAAAATAAAAATCAAGTTTAAGTCATTTTATTCGACTTTACGTCTGTCCGCCACAAATATTGAAGTCGTAATATCACTAGATAAACGTTTAAAGCACATAAAATCATATTAAAATATATACAAGTATGTACTGTATTTACAGTACACGCATTCGTAAATTTAGATTACTTTTTTTGTACTATATTAAAAACTAAAATTTATTTGTTTGTAAGCTTAAAATAGATTTTTATTAACCATATATTATTTAAAATGCTTTCCTAGTGATAAGTAGATTCGGAGACAGGTAAATTCGACTTACGTCGTTTTCCTGGAACCAATTAACGACGTAAGGCGAGGTATACCTGTATATCCTTAAATATTTTAATATTTTCAATGAAGGTAAAACTATGAATGAAGATTTAATTTCTGATTCAGGCAGAGGTTTACTTAGTGTTTTTGTTCAAAGATTTTTAAGCTGTGTATATTTAAAGAATGTTAACATTAATTAATTATGTTATATAAGGATTATAAAGCATATCAATACTTTTCCCAAGAAAACAGTTTCAATTCTTGACCTGTAAAGTTAACTGGCTAATACTGCAAATTTCCTTATGAACAAATTAATCTAAAGTTCAATTATCTTTAAAAAATAATAAATAAAATATAAAAACACATTTTAGAAGAAATATTTTGCTGGTAAATAGACCAGCTAAAGCTAGTTTGAAGAGAATATTGCATGTTTATAATAATTAGTGTGTTTGTATTATATTGTATTGATTTTATTTATAAATAGACTGTCCCAAGTTTATCAAGATGAATATATCTTTTTCTAACTATAAAATTTTGTACTAATAAATATTAATAGTAATTATCATCCTTAATGTATTCTAGGCAACAAATTTTACATGGTTAATGAATTATAATTGACTGCAAAAAACACTTGAATTAACAAGAATTGCTCATGCAATTAATATATATCATTAGATTTTTTCAGGTTCTACAGGATGGGACAAGTAAAAATAATAATAATAATAATAATAATATCCATGAACCATACTACAAATACATTCCACAGACAGTATTGGAACACAACATGCACAAAATGTATTACAACAGAGCCATAATCACAGATAAAACAATTTATCATAACAGACCAGACATCACACTCATTGACAAACACAATAAAATCACATACATTATAGATGTATCCATTCCAAACATTCACAATATACAAAACACATTCACTGAAAAAATTAGCAAGTGCACAGAACTCGCCCAGGAAATAAGGCATTTGTGGAGGATGGATAGGGTGCTTATTGTACTTGTCGTTCTCTCCCATACAGGTGTGATACCACACACACTACACGAAAGCCTGGGAACATTACAATTGAGTAGAAATACATACATCACACTACAGAAGGCCACTATATTGAATACATGCCATATTGTTAGGAAATTCCTGAATACAGACACAGACACTGACACACTTATTTAATTTTAGTTTTGTTTTGGTTGCTATGCCTTGACTCTGGTCCGGCATAGTACACAGCCACCGGTGTCAACCGAGTATAACCCACTAAACCCAACATAATAATAATAATGTCTTGTAAAAATTTGTGTAAAAAAAGAAACAGTCTTGATTGAATTTTAGAAATATTACTAAAAAACATAAATGATGTATTCTGTCAAATAAAGTAATAAATTATTTACAGATGAAAAAATATGCAGATTTATATACAGCAAGTCCTCACTTAACATTGTTTCATTATAACAATGTTAAGAATCATATCATTGATGAAAGATATGAGTACATTTGTAATTATTTACATTTATCACTATTGAATTTTCTTTATAAACAATAAAATTGATTCTACATGGTAGGAAATAAATGCTGGAAGTTAAAAAAAACAATCCAATTAAAATATTATTAATCAAATTATAATTTGTTTATATAATTTAACCTATAGTAAAATTGGTTTTGTTATATGTTGTTTTTCTTAATGCTGCAGTTTCCAAGAATCTATTGATGACATTAATTAAGTGAGGACTTTCTGTATAATAAATATTAATAGCTGATCAATAGATTTAAAAATACTAGAGATCGATATATAAATTTTAAATGCTTACAAAGTATATGTATATTAAAACAATAAAAATAAATAAACAATAGAAATGGAATTTTGTTTTTCTGCAGAAATATTTTGTATAAACAATTAAATTTCAATAAAATTGAGTTTCTTTTTATATGCTTTACTTAGTACTAAGACTAAATTATTAATAAAGTTTAAGAATAAAAAAATACGCATAATTTTAAATTTATTCTATTATATTTTATTTCTGTTTATTATTTATAATTATAATTGCAGGTACTTCAAGAACTACATTATATTGACAACACAAATACCACTGAAATGAAAGGAAAGGTTGCTTGTGCAATGAGTAATCATGAAATTTTTCTAACTGAATTATTAGTTGATGATGTCTTTAAATCACTGAAACCTGAAGAAATTGCTGCTTTGTTATCTTGTACGGTATTTCAGCAGAGAATGGATGATGTTCCTGATGAAGTTTTGCCTTTCTCCTTACAAGAGGTAAAAAGAAATATTGTTCTACTATTAATAAATTTTGTGTTTTAATTTATTTTTATGAATGTGTATCTATAGGGAAAGGAAAAATTATTGGCCATAATACAACATATTGGTGAAACTCAGGTGAAGTGTGGTTTGAAACAATCAGAGAAGGAATTTTCAGACCAGTACAATTTTAATTTATGTAATGTAGTATATGAATGGGCTAAAGGCACAGTAAGTATATACTAAATTTAAAATTGAAATAAATAAATAGTATACATAACTAATTCAGAATATCTTTTTAGACGTTTAGCGAAATTATGAACATTACCACCGTACAAGAAGGAATCATTGTTCGTTGCATTCAACGATTAGATGAAATTTTAAAGGATGTCCGAGCCGCAGCAAGAACAATAGGCAATCCAGAACTGGAAGCTAAAACAGAAAAAGCATCTCAAATGATTAAAAGAGACATTGTATTTGCTGCTAGCCTGTACATCCAATAAATAAAATGTATTTATAAAATTTTTTTATTACTTTTAATCTCAATACAAATGATATAAAGTTAAGTTGTAATTAATTTTAAAAATGTATTTACAAAAATTGATTTATTTTCTCAAATCTAAAAATAAATAAAATTTATTTATATTTTTAAATTCAATTCCAGTTTTTATATACTAATATCTCAAAGTAATAATGCTAATACTAAAAGTAATAATTAGTAATTCTATACAACACCACTATTAACACTTTTACATTAATGAAATACAATAAAATAAATCATTTTATATTTTTAGAAAGTATGGTTTATATAAAAATAGAGGTTATGTTCATTTATAATACAAATTTGAGGATAAATAAGATAAGGAAATGTAACATATGTACAATCTGCCAAGGGATATGCTTCCCCAGGGGATTTCTGTGGAAAACTGGCTCCTATTAAGCGTTAGACTCATGAAAAAATCTGGAAAACTCCACATAGCCAGCTCATGGTTAGACACAAACCTGGATCCAACTACCAGTGTTTAGTGGTTTTATCTATTTGGCTACTGATGAGCACTTACAACACATACACACTTAAAATATTGCATTAATGGTGAATTACATGATATCATTTTTCTATTATTCTTTTTCTTCATATTCTTTAAAATTTCATTGGAAAATATTTCTTAAGCCATAATTTTTGTGTTATTTTCATCACTTTTCAGACTTCTAAGATATATAGTTGAAAATGATTTATATCTGGGTAATGGACAGAATTTCAAATTTGAAACGTCTTGAAAATATTATGATCTAGTATCAACAGTCCAAATGAATTTCATATTAAAAACCATAGCAATTGACTAGAACTAGAATTGTGTTCTTAATGATATACCATTATTTAAAATTATAAAATTTGTTGATAAGTTTTAAATTTGATTAACTCAACTAACAGTAAAAGACTGTTTTCCTGAATAGTTAATTCAAATGCATTATTTTGGCCATTTCCATCTTTGGTGGAAATAAATTGCCTGGTTTATACTGACAAAGCAAGGAATACTCTTTAATCAGTATTCTGAATAATTTTTGAACAAACATCAAAATATATCTGATTTTATTGAATGTGTAATAAAAGTATTTATTACATAATGCAGAATAGGCTAGTTGCCAGCCCACAGATCACATCTGACCCAATCAAAATAGATACTTGATCCATATTATTGATACTTAAAAATTGTTATTTTTCATTAGAATTCTTCCATATATAATTTGCCACATTTTTTGTGCTCAACAGCAATAGCGTAAAATGGATATGTTCTTGAACTCAATGCTTTTTAATCAGTTTTTGTACTTAGTTCATCAATATTTTACTTTGTTGAAAATGTTGCGAGTGCCACAAATGAATCATTGCTGAGATGGATAGGCACATCATAGGATAGAATAATGTTATGAGTGAAATTATTGTACAAATATAGTCTATTTTTTAATTATTAAGAATTCAAAATGTCTTATTTTCCACTAATAAATTACTTTTCCAGCTTGAAAGTACAATTTGTTCCTGAAACAAAACAATTGGACCACTTGAATATAATTTAATATATAATGTTACCAAATCATTTTAAAATTTAATTTGTTAAAATATCAATTATTTCACTTTTCTTAGAAATAAATTTCATAATTCTTTTAAATAGAGCAAAATTCTTTATGGACCTTTGCTTATATTTTAGGTAAATTTTTCCAGAATCATTCATTCGAGAAACATTATTTACACAATATTCAATGGTTAGTTTAGTATCTATCAAGCATATCTAAAAAATCTGATTATTTTAAGTTAGAATTGAAAATATAGCATTTGGCTATTATAAATTGAGCAATGATTTACATTTATTCATCTATCAATGTAAAAATTATTTGTAAATAAATTGAAAATCTAATCAAAGTAAAAGGATCAAATTCTGGCAAGCAACTCACAGAAATTTTTTATGGATGATCAATCCTGAATATGACCCTGTCCCTCCTCAACTGGTCGCAACCATTGTCCAATATGGACAATATGGAAAAATCCGTATTAGTGCCCAAATTATTTATATAATATATATATAAATATATATTGGAAAATAAACTATAATCTGTATCAAAGAATTGTTTTCTTTTACTGTGTTTTTAGTTGTGAAAACAATTACATCTCACATAATGTTATATAGATTGAACTTTTAAACTAAAAATAGTATGTTTGTATAATCCTGTAAAAGTTCTTCAAAAAAATTTTGAAGGATGTTTCTTATTGTATGTTAAATTGATAAATAGTTCAATCAAGGAGAGGAATTTTAGGTGCAAAAATTGCTGGAAAAAAACTACAAAAAAGGTATTAAAAAACGACAGGAAAAGGTGCATGTTTATCTAATTACTTCATATACTGGAACATTTAAAAACTAAAATAGGATGAGATTTAAATTGAACTTAAGTGAAGTAACATTTTTCTGTTCTTTATTTTTAGCACATCACCAAGCCTATATCAGAAACTTGTAGTGAATGATCTTATGTTTTTTGATTGATTGCTTGATAAAAGTCATTTATTTCCTATCTCTCAAAAGATGCTTATTTAATGAAAAGCATTTTTCTATGTCTACTGATATTAAAGGAGCTAATTTGGTGAGTAGTCTGTATAGGAACTCACTTTCTATGGCAACTTTCTCAAAATCAAGATTTTTGCTTAGACTTGCCAGCAGTTTTTGTAAATCCTTTTTCAAGTTGTTAACTTCATTGACTTTCCGTTGCTTTGTTTATAGACCTTGCTTTTCAAGTTTAGTTACAACTCCACCAGGAACTTGTTGACATGGACTGAAAACAGTTTACTCTGGAGGTTAGTGTTGAGGGGTAGTTTCTGTACATTTGAAATGACTTTAGAATCCTCACTTAAAGCATTCATGAAAGTTGAAATTTGATTTAACTTTTCACAGTGGAATGCTGTAACAACAATCCATGAACAAATAATTCATCACTGGTATTGGAGGCAATGGAAGATTGGCTAATTCTTGGTATATCTTATCTGTGCAGGATACATTACTAGGATCTTGAAATCTGTTAGATTTGTGAGGCAAAATTCATTTCTAACTCTTTCATGGATACTGTGAATTGCATGAACTATTAAGTGACATGTTTCAAATTCTGATGAAGGCCTTAAGCTACGAAAATGCAAGAAGCATGTAACTTGCTTCGTCTGTTACAATTTACACTTTGTTGTAAGCAATAGTCGGTCACAGGCTTACAATAATACTATTGAAGAACTGCATGACTGTTTTTGAATTAGTTTTCTCAAGAAACTGAGTTTTAAACAACATTGACCTAACTTTTTTTCTATTAAGTAGTGCAATTAAAATGTTAAGAACAAACCTGTGTATTTCAGCTGTTGTTTTGAGATGTAGTTTCATTTTTCTGTACCTTATTCTTCTTGTGTTTACCAGTTTTAATGTGTCTCAATCTGTTTTTGATGTTTTCATCTATGCTAAGCATGACAACATAAATTTCACACCTTACAATTATAACCCATAAAGTCTATCTGTAGCTGTCTGATCCTTTGAGTATTCTTTTGCAATAATTCTCAATTTATCACTTGTCTCTTTGGATTTCTGTATTTTACAAAATTATGCTTTCATAAAATTTGATTATGCAGCTAGTTAATCTTTCTGATTCTCATGTGATTCTTTTCTTCCCATTGCAGAGTGACACTGCTGTCTTTAAGATGGGAGACAGTTTTAGACAAAAAGTAACCAATAAGTGCAAAATGCTATAAATGGTACTATGTAAACCCCTACTAAATGCCTCTAACAGTTATAGTAAGTGCAAAAATACAGATTAAACTCAAGTCCCGCTAAGTTTAAAAATTAGTGAAGCATCCTAAATTCTTTTGCCTAACAATAACACAAACAATTGTTATAATTTCTGGCATTAAAATGATGAATTATGAAGATAATGAGCTTATAAAATTGTATTTAAACATTCCCCTAATTTAAGTATTTTCTTTGCTGGACAACTATACAATAAATGTATTGTAACTTTTATTCTTTATATAGAAATTTATATTTGCTAAATCAAGCAGAATTATTGATATTGATTTTAATAATAATAAAATTAATGCTCATAATTTTGATAAAAATGAAATGTTTGTACACAGGATGATCCAAAAACAAATTAAAAAGCCCAAATAAAAATTTTTATCATCAATAAATACATAATAAAAATTTGTTAATATTAATCAAAGTAGTATATAAACACAATCATTCTGAAATTTAACTTTTCCCCATGTAAAATGGCAAGATCTAATAGGTGTTAATTCAGAAAATAAGCCAGTTTAGGCATCAATCTACCACTTTGGGGGACCCAGATTCTCAAATGCAGATAGTCAAAATAACTCAGGAATTTTTTGGGCAGTCAGTCCTTACCAGATACTTCGGACCCGTCCCTCGCCACTCGGTCACTCCATTGCAGGGGCCAACTAAACCCACCAAGGCTCCCAAAAAAAGATCCTTTTAATGTCTGCAGGGCAGAGTTAAAAATATAAGAAAATGAGTTAGACTGTATTTCTGGCAGTCTGTTCAATTCTTATACTTTAACAAACCGTTTGTTTTTTATTTATTAAATGTGAGGACTTATGAAGACCAGAGGGACCATCACGGTCTGGACCTCATGGTACAATCTTTACAGTTTTTACGACCCAATCTTTTCTTCTAATTTACTGAAAACCTCAAAAAGATGAGTGACATGAATCTCTCATGCCCCGTAAGTGTAAGATAATGCTACTGTAGAGTATATTGTACAAAAGATCATATCCTTTTTTTCTGGATTCAACATAGAGTACAAGTCCTCAAAATAGAGGACTTGTACTCCATATTCACTCACACCACATCCATAATGTCCTCCATTCATAATTTGTATTTGGTAAGAGATCTTTGGATACGAATCCTTTTACGAACGGAAAAATAAACGCACCATTACTTTTCGTATCTAATGTTATTCTACTGTGACGTACACATCATTACGTCACTATTGAATAAAATTAAAATAATTTTTTAGTTAAGCAATCAACTTATACTTAAATCTATAATGAAATTTAATTTATATTTTATTTATCTGGAAGAATTATTTTATATAGTTAAATAATTATTGCTTTATCTTTTGTATTTCGTACAATTAAATAAATTTTTATTTAATATCGAGAGATGGCGTTACTGTATATATATTTTTAATAATTTTGTAAATGTTGATAAAATTATATATTGGAAAAAATGATATAATTACGTAATTATTATAATCAATAAAATAATATTTCTCTAAAAATATATTTAATTCGAAAATAAACTTGGCGAAGAACGATCGATCTGCTCATCGAATTTATTATTTCGCACCAACGACGAAATATAAAAAAAATTAATAATATATAAAAATAGACGATGTTATTTAAATACAAATTATGTAAAAATTAATAAATTATTTTGAACCTTATTATTATTTATTTATTTTAAATACTAGATATAAAGTATCGTTAATGCGGTCTTACGATTTTCTTATGTTTGTTTATAAACAAGTTAGTTGTCATGGTTACAATTGACAGTTCATTTTTTAAATATGAATCTCATTTATTATCGACTCGCACACGTATGAAATACTATAAAAGTCGATAGAAAATGAAGCGGTGGGAATATCTTCCAAAGTTTTCCATGTTAAGGTAAATTTCATTAATTATTAATATTTATAACTTAGACGTAGATCACGTGACAAAAGCAACACGTTTTTAAACACGTGTCCTATTTTTCGGGTAAAGGTGGAGGATTTCGACTCTATGACTGTGAATTAAGCCACTTTATGGTGTAAGTCTGACATGCCTTCTACGGATTTCGTCGTAGATTCTATATTGGTCGAACCCCATGCCATTTTATTTTATGAAAATGTTTAAGAGAAAAGTTTCTCCTCAAGGAGCTAAGGAGGAGAAAGTTAAGGATGAAAGTGTAAGTATTTTTTTTCTTTTTTTTACATTTTAATTGTTTATGTAGAATATATCTCCATTTCCGCAATTTATCGTCTTAAAAATGACGTTATATAGATTTTAAAACTTTAAATGTAAAGAATATGACACAAAAAAGTATCGAAATCGATTCTTTTCTTCACTAAAGGCAAATAACCTTTATGACATATATGTATAAGCACACGGAATAAGGTCACACATCGATTCTTATTATTCTAAAGAACGGTTAAAGGTGAGAGAACCCATTTTCTAGTAGCAGAAAAAGAATTCTAAAAGGTACGAGCAATTTTTAATTTATTTCATTTAAAATATATGCTCTCCACCTCAAATCGGTAATGGCTTGCCCCTGTAAATCATAGTTTTCCTGCTAGCAACGGAGTCGTGCCGGTCATCTAACTAACTCCTTCGGGGGGAAAATTTTTGAATTGAAATAACGTGACTTCCGGCTTTCATCGGAAGTTTGTATGTAGTTAATCGGGGATATTTATCTAACACCTTTCTTGAGATCAAGGAAAGACAGACAGATAGGGGACTACAGTGGGAATTTATAGGTCTACAATTTTTTCGAATTGAAGCCCGATTAATATATTTAAATTAATTTTGTTAATATTTTAAGGAAGAATATTTATAAGTATTCATCAAATAAAATTTAACATTAATTTGTTAATAGTGAAAACGAAACCAAAAATAATGCGGCAAAAGCGAACTTTTTTTTTTCTAAACGATCGTTAAGTGTACAGAGATTTATTTTTAACGTCAAATCTTAATTATATTATTTAATAATTACTACGTAAAATGATATAATATTTAATAAATATGGTAATTAAATTATTCCTTATATATTTAAATTATTCAAAATCCGTTTATATCAGGCACACAAACGATTACATCATTCTGCAGATCAATATGACGATGCGTGGTAAACATAACTTGGGTGTTAGCATTGGTATTTTATCTTTAAAAGCGATGTTATATGTTAATTGAATAAGCTTTTATAAGATAAAATTCAAAATAGTAATAAAAACGTAGAGCTGCTTTGGGCTTTCCTGCCGATCTGCTGTGTAAGGCAGTGGAGATAGATTTCTGATAAACGATGCACCATTAAAGTTTTAATAAATTTTTTTAACTCGTTATATCAATGGAAACACAAGCTAACTTTTCTGCAACGTACAGGGCTCTTGAATTTTTGCGACGATGTCGACAACGTTTTCGAAGAGGGGAGCAGGTAATTTATTATACTATGTCTACATCACTTATATCTGAAATTGTTTACTTGCATGATTAAAAATGAATTATATTTGAAATATTTGAACTTGTTAATAATCGTTTTAAATATTACCTATGGTAAACAAAATTCCTTTATACAGATAAAATATATATTTATTTTAACAGATAATATTGATAAGATTGGTGGTGTAATAAATAATCACAAATTTATCAATTGTTTAGAAATATTTTTATTAAATAAATGAATAAGTCTGATGTATGATGTTAATTTTAGAATATGACTGCTCAAACTGCAGAAACGACTCAGAGGAAGAAGTCGGCCAGAAAGAAAAGCAGTCGAAGAAAATCGAAAGCGTCTCTACCTCGGCAATCCAGCAATGCCCCTTCTGTAACTTTCGGAGAAGAACAGCAAAATCGCTATATGACCGCTCAGGGAGAAATAGCATTTTGGAAAAATTTTGCTTATGAAACTCCAGTAAGATAATTTGGCTTTTTGACAATGATTTTTGATATATACTGCATGTATATATCAAAATCATGTTATGCTATGTATATATATATGTCATGCTATGCATATATATATTACTTAATACGGTAATATATTTAGATTTTTATAATTATAAAACATTCTTCATTTTGCACAAAATGCTAATTTATTCATTAGAATATATTTAATTCTTTTCTTACTTTTCTGTTTATATTTTGTTGTCTTTGAATGTTTTTGTATATTTAGTCTATTCTATTTGGTTATTAAAAAGTTAACTGTTAATTTTGGTCAAGAGTCTAACAGAGAGAAGATAATTTGAAAAATATAAAAGTAAAAATTGTTTTGTTAATAGAAGCATCATCATCATCATCATCAAATTGCAATTTTGTAAAAATATGAAATGATGGAAAAGACAATTTGCCAAATTTTCCAGTCTTATATTAATTAATAGATTATGCTTATCATCAAATTGTATATGTTTTGGTTTAGCAGAAAATAAAATCAATATTGGTTGTATATTGTGTTTACTTAATAAATCAACAGATAAAAATTATTGTAATTTCCAATGTATTGTATTCAATTAGTTAGAGGATTTCTCTTAAGTAAAAATATTATTGATTAGGTAAGCTTATCCTAATCCAAAAATCTGATTAAACCTGATATATAATCAAAGAAAATCTGATATATATATATATATATATATAAGATTTTCTTATTTATTTATAGCCCAGAGACCTTAGAGATAACTTCTGTTAATCAAATCTTAATTAGAACTCAAGTAATAAAATTAATTGTAGAATGTTCGAGAGTTAAATTAAATTTTCAAGTGAAAGCAATAAAAGAAAACCAGTTAAAAATTAGATTAATAAAAAAAAATTTACTTTGTTTAAATGCTTATGTTGTACTTGAACGATCGCTTATCTACTTATTGGTTGTTCTCTATACATCGTGAAGCCCGTTTTGTAATAAATTACAGCCAAGTAACTAAAATGTAACTTATAACAACCACCTGTAATCAATCACTTCTAAATAAATAGTACATTTAGAATATGACAGGTAGTAAATTACATTCAACTAACTTTTACTTAACCTTCGAAATATTTTGATGGTGTTTAATCACATCTTTACGGCAAGTTTACAACAAATGCAACTACTGTAACAACAATATCCTGCGAAAAGTAATTAAATAACAATAATAATACATGTAATAATAATAATAATAATAATGATTATTATTATTAAGTCATATTGATTCTACATAACTTCTGAATTTATTTACAAAACTTAATACTTAAATCATTAATGAATAAATATATCATTAAAATCATTAGTGATTTAACGATTAAATAATTATGTATATTTTAAAATAGTTACTAAATTTATATGAAGAATATTATTAAATTTTAAAATTTTCTAAACAATTTATATTTAAAGTTTTACATTGATTAATGTTGATAAATATTGAATTATTGATATTTAATATAAATAGGTTAATTTAATGATAAATATTTGATAAATTTATATTACCAAAATTTAAATTAGTAACAAAATTTCTTAGCATTTTATTCCTTAAAAATATTTAAATATTCTTTTTAAATTATTATACGTAATTTAAGAAAATATCAAATTTAATTAATTATATTAATAAAGTTATATAATTAAAATATAAATTAACTAATGAATTGTGTGTAAGTGTACATAAAAGAAAATTATATTTAAACATTAAATTTCCAAAAATAATAATTGATTTAGTAAGCATATGTGTTCATCATGGTGCAGAAGGGTTGGCAGAAAATTTATTGACAGATGTATATTTTCTCATAGTTTGACCCTTAGCTTGATGTAAAGGAAAAGAAGTGATGATCAATATATTTTAAATTTGTTCACTTTGTTACAAAGCAATTATTAAATATTGATAAATTTATTTTTATTTTATGCATAAGATAAATTTCGAAGAAGCTCGTTAAAACTATTAATAAATTTTCATTATTATTCTTTCTTTTAANAAATTGTATATAAATCTTTGAATTTTTTAATGAAATTATATTTTTGTTTACAATTTAGCTTTTAGTTATAAATTAATTTGCTACAAATAATAAATAGTAGGTGAAAAAATTAGTTAAGCTTTTATTTAATGTGACATATATGTACATTCAATGATTTTAAAGGATTTTGTGACAGAGAATTTGTTAAACAAATGCAAATGAATTATTTTTACATCTTGCAATTACTGTGTATAACTATCAAAAACTTATTATGTATTGTTTTTATTTTATAGAATATGATTCTGATGAAGAGAAAGATGAAAGTAAGATTTTCTTTGGAATTTATAATTATTTATATCTATAGATTTTTATAAACTGCTTTAAAAAGTTTAAATTAAAAGTTAAATTTAATTTAAAGGGTAGACCTTTCATTCGTGTAACACATGATATTAATATGGAAGATGTAGCTAATGTGATGATGAAAGATTGGCAAATTGGAAATCCTCGAATAGTTCTTGTCGTGATATCAAATGTTGTGTCATTAGAAGGTTGGAAAAACAGTAAACAATTGGATAATTTCAAAAAAGGCCTAATTAAAGTAAGTATATTTTGCAAATTTGCTTTATAAAATTATAGTAATATATAAGCTTAAACAAATTTAATATAGGCAGCTAATTCTACTGATCTTTGGATATTTACTCATGGCACTAATATTGGAATTGTGAAAACTATTGGTGATGCAGTCCAGGAAGAATTACTCCGTAGACAAGCACTTAAATGTCATAAACATCCACATCAAACACAGTTACATTTACCGCCATTGAGATTAGTAGGAATTGCAAGAGAAGATCTGTTGACATACAGTGATTTACTGGATGGCAGGGTGTGTTATTTTTCATTTAAAAGTTTATAAAGTAGAACACTGATTATCTGAGGTAATATAGACTGATGCTATCTAGGATAACTGAAAATTTGGAAAAAAATGGAAGATTATGGCCATTTCAGATTAAAAATTATGAATATGAAAGTTTCATATAGTATCACTTTTAAGCCTCTTATTTATGTCTTAGTGAAATTTAATCCCATATAAGAAGAACATTTTTTACATCATTTATTATACAGTTAGTACATACAATAGTTTTAAGAATAAAAATGTGTATTATTATAGTTACATTTTAATATGAATGGTTTGTCTCACATTAAAGTTAAATGATAAAATATAACAGAAACAAATAATTTTGTAGTATTTGATATTGTTTTAAATATTTTTTTAAAAAGTCCTTAGAATTTTTAGTTTTATTGCAGTTCTTCCCTTCTATGCTACAATGTTCCACAGTTACCTCGGTATCATTTTTCATGAGAGGTCTATTCCAGATATTTTGGGCTCTGTCCCTCACCACCCAGTCTCCCTCATTGAACTCATGTTGAACACAGTAAAAATTTGTTTACTGTGTTTACAATTTTATTGTGTGTTTATAGATTAGGGACTCAGCTTGGTTTCCAGTTAGGTTATGATAGATTAGGCTAAATTAGATTAGAGTTGTTAGCTTTAGTTGTCTGGTTAGGTGTATCTTAGGTTATGGTAGGTTAGTTTAGTTAGTGAGTAAGTTAATGTTTAAAATAAATAAATAAATAACAGTTGGGGTCTTGCTCGTTTGTCTTCTGTCAGTCTGTTTGTCTTGTCTAGTTTGTCATTGTGTTCATTTGTTTTCACACTGTCTGACTAGTTGTTAATAGTATTAAGATTCATGCTCGCATTCAGTTGTATTAGTATTAAGGAGATATAAGTCTTCCTACTAACAGCCACTTGGCACTAACTTCTACACTTAGCTATTCGTGGCAGCACTCAATTATTGGAGTTCACTACACTCAGGTTTTTTTTTAGACCCTTCGGGGACTATGGCCTTGCAGCCTAAAAACTGCATGCCATCATCAAATGTAAAGGATACAGTAGCGATATGTGTGCCATTCAGAGGAAACTTACTTTTCTCTACTGTCTATCTCCTCTCTCTCCTCCTTTCCCCCCTTTTCCTTATCCTATTTTCTGCCAGCTAAACACCTTGTGTACGGCTGATGTCTTTCATGTATGTATGTGTGAACACAGTTGTATTTCTGATCTATGAGCACTAAGAGGCTCATAGGCCAGAAATAGCTAAAAAAAAAAAAGAAAAAAAGAAAATTACTCAGCAGTAACCACTCATTCAGTATTCCGAAGGTTAAATGTATTACAGTATTCACATGGTTAATGCATTTATGGCAAAGGTTTTATGAATTATAAGAAAAGTAATGTATTCACTTACAGGTTCACCTTAGATAATCCAGGTTCTACTGTATCTATGATAATATCTTTAATTAAGATACGGAAGTTGAGTTATATTAAAAAGACAATGTGTAACAAATTAAATGCACTAATTCCAGGATATGAGCATGATAAGATGGAGCAACTTCTTCTGTGCTAGAGACCACCTACATCCATTTTCTATTTCCAACTCACTGCAGCTTGTGGAGAGTCTCAGAGACATTTCTCTTACAGACAAGGAATGTATGACCGTATTCGACTACAAATCCTTGTACCCTTTGATAAAATTATCTCCTTGCTTCTGTTCCATACAGGATTTTTTATTTGCCAATATAGAAATTGCTCCATCTTATCATGCTCATATCCTGGAATTAGTGCATTTAATTTGTTATATTAAAAATTTAATAAATTATTTATTCTATGAAGATTTATCTCATAATTAATGTAATAGTTAGTTAAACTTATTTTAATAATGTTATTGTTACTAGTAAAGGAATAATAGCATTTGCTACTACTGTTTCATTAATTTAAATATTTTCAGAGTAATCGTGTTGAGATAGAAAATGAAGGAAATGTTCCAAGTGAAGGAAAGTTTGAATTAAATGCTGATCATTCACATTATATAATTGTTAAAGACAGTACAATTAATAAAACAGGAATAAATTATTTTTTGTTACGTTTGGAACAATATCTAGTTGCTGCTGTAGAGGCTCAAAAGTCTATTAATGATAATAAAGCAGGTATGCTTAATTTTTCTATAGCCAATTAAATATGTATTTTAAATATGATATTTATATAGTGAAATAAAATAGTTTGAATGTATGTTATATATTCAAAGTTTTAAAATATTTTCATATGATATTTATCACAAAATTATATATAAATTTTATTCTTTGTACAAAATATAATTAATAAATTTAATGTGTATAATTGAATGTTTTGGCAATTCGTAATTATTTTATAATGAGAAAAATTACTTTATTAAGGTGTTGAAATAAAATAGAAGTGCATAAATATTTATTTATACCTTTCTATTTAATTATTAATATTTTTAACATGTAAATATTTTAAAATTAGTTTTTAGATTATTTTGATTGGTGCTAAAAGAGGTCATGATATTTGGCATGCTTATGTACAGTACATATATTTATATTAATTACAAATTAATTAATGATANTAAGAGCACTATTCAAATGTAAGTTAATTTTCTGGTACATATATTTATATTAATTACAAATTAATTAATGATAATTAATATGCCCTATTATTGATAGAATATTATTATTATTGATTTATTATTACTGAAGAAAAATATAATTCAAATGAGTTCATAATAATTTCATTCAAATTATATTTCTCTCATACAATTTTGCAAAATTTGAATGGAAAAATATTTCAAGTGTCTTTTAGTGTCTTGAAAATATACTAATTACATATAATTTTAGTATATAGGAAATAACTGAGAAATGGAAAAAGTCTGGAAACTTACCTTTTCAAACAAAATGTAACTTTTTTAAATATAAATGAAATAGAAACTACACTATCCTTCCAAATGTAATAGGATACCTGTATTTGCAAAGTGAATTGGACATTAATTGTATACTAATTGCAAACCATGTTTCCTAAACTGTTTAATATATCTCAGTAGTATCTGTCATTCATTATTTATATGCTCCTCACTGTTAATATGCCTTGATCCAAGGAAATTGCAGAGTCTTAATCATTATTGATTGTCATATTAGTGGTTTGTCTGTTTGTGACATTTCCACTAAAACAAAGGTAACCAGATCAACAGTGGATTTCATGATGACCAGTTGGAGGAGAGAAGAAAGTATGGCATCAAAATCGAAAAATTGGATGACCCAAAGTGTTGACCAAAAGAAATGTGTGGCAGCTGGCCAAGAAGTGTTACAGTATTCATTTTTTTCAGTGTCTAGGAACATACAGAAAACATCCAACTGACTGAAACAAGTGTTGGTGTCATTACTGTTCAATGGAAATTGCATGATCTTAGATATCATGGCTGTGTAGCTGTTCACAAGCTATCCATCATAAAGCCAAATGCATCACATCATCTCAGGTGGCCAATGAACATCTTCATTGGATAACAGAGCAATGGAAGAACATCCTATGCAATGATGAATCATGCTATTCACTGTTCAAGTCAGATGGATGAGCTTGGGTATGGAGAATGCCCAGGGAAAGGCATTTGCTGAGTGTGTTGTACCAATTGTTAAGTATTAGTATTGGTATAGTATGGGGTCAGCCTGTTGGTTTTAGTGGCAAAAACCATGAACAGTGAGGTGTACCTAAACAGTCTAGATAATTATATGCTTTTGACAATGTGCCAATACTCTTGGAATGATCAGCAATACTTCCAAGAAGACAATGCAATATACCTTGATTTAAATCCAGTGCTGTTTTAAGGTGGTTTGAGGATGTTGATGTTTTACAGTTGGACTTCTAGTACAGAGTTCAGACCTGAACTCAATAGCACACCTTTGGGACCAGCTGGAAAATAGGGTCAGAAATTATGCAAACTGTTCATTTATGAGAGAACCAACTGACTGTTTTCAAGAGGAATGGAGGAAAGTACCAGCTAAAGTGTATCAGAAGTTAGTGGAAAGTATGCCTTGCAGAGTATCTGCTGTCATTAAGGTCAAAGAAAGACTCACTAAGTACTGAAATTGCTAATAAAATGTACTATTTTTTGATACTTGGATAGATATCAAATTACTTTTGGAAGATAATATGACTAATGACTATAAGAAATATGAGATTTGTTATTTGAAATTTTTGAATAATGTATAAATTGCAAAATAATGAAATAAAATGTTTTCATTCTTTTAGCATTTAATTATTATCATTATTATTATACTTTAACTGTGAATTTTATGTTCCATTTATATAATTATAGATCCATCAAATCAAGAATACTGTCTTCTTGGTACTATAGAAATACCTGTTGTTGCATTGTTGATACAAGGAGGTTACAATTGTGCAAGATTAGTTTTAGATCATTTAAAGAAAAAATTACCTGTAGTTGTAATTAGAGGCAGTGGAGGATTTGCTGATTTATTAGCTTTTGCTTATTATGAAGTAGAACAGAGGTATAATAATTTTAAAAATTTTCTAAAATAAATTATTTAAATTCAACTTTTTAATTTTTTTACTATTTTCATATAATTATATAGACCATATGGAATAATGGATGCAGAATATGTAGAAAATTTTTTGAAACCAGATCTTTCATCTAAAATAGCTTATGAATTTCCAATTTTCTGTGATAATAATTTAGCTAGGAATATGTTTCGTGATAGAATCTTGGATTGTGTTCGATATGCTCGTCAAGTGAGTGCAACTTAAATGTTGGCTATTAAATAAAAAGCTCATAACTTATTACTTTCTTATTAATAAGTTACAAGTTTCTTAAATTAAATTATATTTTATTTCTTTATAAGCACTTATATTATAATATAAACATTTTTAAAAGCTAATTTTCAAATGTAAGATGATTTATTTTTCTTGTTTTTCTCCAAAAACTAATCTCATTTGGAAACTCATGCTAAATATAAGTTTTTATTTGAAATTAAAAGCATGTCAGTTATTAAAATAAAGAAATAAACAACTTTATGATGATAATATTAAAGTAAATAATATTAATCTATGAAATGGAAGAACTGAATTAACTATTTTTTGTTTAAATAAAAAATATTGTTTACAGTTTGTAAGTATTTAATTAAATATATTATTTTAAAAATAAATTTTTGGCAGTGTATTTGAGTTTTGGCTTCCTTCCTAATAATACAGTATTCAGTCATCAAATTATTAGTTTGAATAGCACTTTTTAACTCTAAACAATTTAAATATAAAGTTAATTAAAAGAAAAAAAATTTTATTGTAATTAAGATGAAACAAATTAATTTTTTTTTAATTGTTTTTAACCATTTTGAATCTTCATAGTCACTCATGCAATTTACAAAATCTTGATGAACACATTTTAAGAGCACTATTCAAATGTAAGTTAATTTTCTGCAAATTAAAGTTTTGATTTTATATATTACAGTTTCTCTATAAAGTGATCAAATTATTTATAATTTATTAAATATAATTTTCTACATTAAGGTCATAGATCTGATAATACAAATTGGCATGCTAGAATGCAGAAAGATCTTTATTTAACATTAGACTGGAACAGTCCGCATGTTGCTTTATCTGAAGTTTTCCAAAAAGACGTATCCCATAATTTTAAGGTAACCAGTGCTTTAAACATTAGATGTTAATTGTTTTAGGGTAGGTTGCATAAAAATATTACTGACTGGTAATGTAGCAGGGAAGATATAGATTACCATGTAAACAATTTTACTAGCTGCTAATATTTTTATGCATCTAGCAACTGACATTATTTTCTTACAATATATTAGTTTAAATTATTGGCATTTCTTATTTCAGTTAGATGCTAGCTATTGTTAAGTTGGTATTGCAGAAAACAGCAGGCAAACAGTGTTGGATAATTTATTATTAATTAACTATAATTATAATTAATACTTTAATCTTTGAATTTTTTGTAGTGTTATTTACCTATCTTGCTTAATGCTATCATTTATTATTGTTATCAGTTTAGGTGAGTCCCAAAGTCACTATAAGGGATTCAACTCTATTATAGTATCGACTTAAAGAAATTTTTTCAATTTATCTGTAATTTAAACTTTATTTAAATTTAAAAATATAAATTTGTTGATTTTCTATGTAGCTATAATAAATTATTTTATGTTTTAGATATTTTTGCATAATATATGTTTGTAAATATTTAGAAATAAATGAAAGATGTAGTTTTTTTTTAAAATATTTTTATTGTAAATGTATTGATTTTCTTAAAATAATTAGGTTAGTAAAGCAGTTTTTGAACAAGCTCTATATCAATCCAACAGAGAAGATTTTATATCATTATTTCTAGAACAAGGTTTTCAAGTACATACGTATTTAACACCTCGTCGTTTGAAAAACCTATTTAAAATTGCTCAGCATGAGGAATTTTTCCGTTCTATATGCTGGGAAGGAATACTTGGTCACGGTGCAGTAAGAAAATTTTAGCTAATTTGATTTTATTAATTTATGTAGTTTTAAGAAAAGTTTAAAAATTTCTTAAAATGTAGGTTACGAAGTTAAGTAAAGACTTTCTTGAAGGTGATCTTAATTGGCTTCTTTATAAAGTGACTGGAATTGTTAATTTTGTAAATGGTCAGGAGCTTTCATTGAATGCAATGGGAATGTATCCACTTGATCCATCAGCAGCAGAAAGAAAAGCATTAGCAATTCTTACACTGTGGGCTGTACTCACCAATCGTGTTAAATTAGCAAAATTGTTATGGAAACATTCTGACCAACCTATTCATCTAGCATTAATTATTTCAATGATGTATAATAGATTATTAATCTATATAGAAGAAGTAAATACTCGAACAGAATTGGAAGGACTTAGCAAGTAAGTTTTTAGAAGTGTACAGCATAATTTTAATAATAATATCAAACATAAATTTTTAACTAAAATTTATTTATAAAGGGAATTTGCTGAAATGGCAACTGGAGTATTAGATGAAAGTTATAAAGAGAAAACATGTAGAACTTATGATGTATTATATGAAGAGAGTGCTGATTGGGCATATAAAACTGCAGTGGATATTGCAGCTGATGCTAAGAATCGCACATTTTTATCGCATCCTTCCTGTCAGAAATGGCTCACTAATAAATTTTTAGGAAATATTTGTGTAAGAGATTTAACATGGGGAGTTATCACAATACCTGTTTGGTTAAAGGTTTGTGAAATTAATAAAGTTGTTTAATTTATAACTATATATATACTAACATTCCAATTTTCTGCTAAGTAATTTTTATATTTATTTACAATTTAACATTCTATCACATCTTAAAATTATACATCTAAAACTTATAAAGTTGCATAAATCATTTTATTGTCTTTTGTATTATGTCGTCATTTATAATTTGTTTGTATTTTTATTACCTGAACTATTTATAATAAATGCACTATTTAATATCATAAATTTTTCTTACAGATAATACTTAGTGCGTTTTTGATTGTTCCAATGTATATTTGGATTAGATTTAAGTCTGATCCTATATTTGCAGATGATGATGATGAATCAGGTAGGTTGATTTCATTCTGTATTTTGTCTCATAAAAAATTACAATGAAATATTATAGTGATATCTAGTTAATTAATCGAATGGTATGTAAATTTTATTAATTACATTACAGATGAAACAATCAGTCATAAACATATAATTGTACTGTATACCATAACAGTTTTTGTTTAATATTTTTATTGGTATATTTCTCATGAAAGTAAAAAGTTGAGGATTATATCTATTGTTGAGAAAATTTTAAATACTTTAATATAGAATATCATAAATCTTAATTAATTTTTTTAACATTATTCATGCAATACTTATCAATAATTACATTTATTAGAACATATACATTTATGCTTTAAAGAAAGAAAAGCTATTACTCTCTGTACTCATAAAAAAGTTTATTTTATCAGTTTAAATAATTTTAATAGCTGAATTTTTTTTTATATTTGAAAGACAAAAGTCTTGCAAAATTAAAAAAACATAGTTTATTAAATCTTTCTGTTGTTTATTAAATTGCAATAGATAGAATTGTTAATCTACTATTATTCAAATTTTATCATAAAATATATGGGCAAAATTATGTAAAAAAATAAACAAGTTGTTAAAAAAACACAAAAATTAAAACTTTAATACGTCCAAGCCATTTTTAAACTTTAAAATTAATATTAAATACACATAAATATTTTAAAATAAAATAAATAAATATGCATAAAATATTTTTATATTTTTATTATTTAATAAAGTAGCATTTTTAAATATTTTAAAAATGAATAAGTGTACATTTGCTTAAATTTTCATTTTTTCAATAATTTTTTACTTTTTCTTAACAACAATTAATTTTAAGCTTATGTATGTTTATGTAATACTGTATGATGCTTTTATATAAACAAGTAAGATTAATTTAGTTTATAAATCTCTTGTGACTTATATATTAGTTTATATATAAAGTTATGAGATTGGCATATATATATAAATTGTATATAAATCTTTGAATTTTTTAATGAAATTATATTTTTGTTTACAATTTAGCTTTTAGTTATAAATTAATTTGCTACAAATAATAAATAGTAGGTGAAAAAATTAGTTAAGCTTTTATTTAATGTGACATATATGTACATTCAATGATTTTAAAGGATTTTGTGACAGAGAATTTGTTAAACAAATGCAAATGAATTATTTTTACATCTTGCAATTACTGTGTATAACTATCAAAAACTTATTATGTATTGTTTTTATTTTATAGAATATGATTCTGATGAAGAGAAAGATGAAAGAGATGGTGATGAAGCAATATTATTAGATAACAAAAGAAATACATTAACAAAGTATAAATTATTATAAAAATTTAAAATTTTTTTTCTTAACGTTACTTCTTAAAGTTACTTCTTAAATAAATTAACTTGTTGTAAAATATATATTCATTACAGAATTAATAATGATAAATTCATATAAATAAAATAAAAGTTAAACAGGTTAAAGAATATAAAACATTTTGAAACATATTCATATGCCCCCATATGAAGCAATGTCCAAAGCTGTGTGCTAAAAATTTTTTTACATTTTGTTTACTTATTGTACAGTGTGTATGTTAAAAACATTTAAGAATATATTATATTTTATATAATTTTTTCTTTGATGTTAACAATAAACAGTAAAACAACTTTTTCATGAAAACAAATAATAAAATTTTCCAAGCAAGAAACCCAGTAAACTTTTATGATGACAGTAGTGTCATTATATTGTAAACTGCTCTAAGATATCCTCCGCAGTGAATGTGTTAAAGAAAATGAGAGATTTTTTAATTAAGCAAATTAAAGAAAACTTATAAAACTTCATGTTAATTAATAGTGATAAATTATTAATTAACATTATAGTACAAGTTTTGAGAAGAGAAAGAATTCTATTGGCTTTACAATTTTAATTTGTATTTACTAAAAAACTTACAAAATTATTAAAATTTTCAAAATAAATTATTTGTAATTGAAAAAAAATGCTATGTTATAATAAATTTTATCTTTTCTGCAAGTTAGATAAAATAAGGCTTTATAGTTTTAATTATTTAGCTTTTCTTTTATATTTATGTAATTAAATTTGAATGCTTTTCAGTTTTTTATGATTGATAAAATTAATTTTAAATTCAAAATTAAAACTAAAAAATAGTTTAATATATTAAATATTATACAGTCAAGTCTGCTTGGATAAGGGAGCATCATGTTCCTTTAATCAAAGTAACAAGATTAACCAGGACCCTTAGTCTCGAGTTTTTCATGTTACAACTCCCAACGTGTTGAAGGTGTCACGTGGTATCATCTCACACTCTGACGTCAAATCGGTAGTCATCAGTTATAACTCGTGTGCTTTCCCATCTCACCATGCGAGTTGCTACTCACGTTGAGTCGAGCATGTGAGATTGCTACATGAAAGTGGAAATGGCTGACAGATACACTATTCTGATGGCAATTAAAACGTTAGAAAGAGCCAAAAGAGTTGTTTAAGAAGGCAACAAATTTTTCAAACACGAGTAGATGCCATTTCTTTTTGTGTCAAGTCAACACTAATAAAAAAATTTTAATTCATAATTGATAAAATTATACAGCAAATTTTTCCAAAAATAAAAAGAAGTATCTAATTCATCAAAAAAGAGAATTAAAAATGATAGTAAATTATATGTATGAATTATTAAGAGCGCACACACTATATTAAGATTATTTATTAATTAGAAGTGTTAAGTTCTGATTAATAAATAATCTTAATAAACAAAACAATTTAAGAAATAGATCAAGGAAGAAAACTATATGAAAAAAGGATTAAATTAAAATACTTTTTCCATTATACAATGGATTTTTTAGCTCCAATATATAATTAATTTTTCAGCTAATTATCTCCACAAATCGAATTGTATTTTTGCTTGTAAATTCGTTGTTGAATTTTCCATTGTTCATTTTCTTATTATTTTCTACATATGTTCTAATATTTCTTTTTGTTCTTTTTGCTTATTTTTTAAAATAAAACCTTGGAGGTTTTATTTTTAACTTGTTACAGTAAAGTTGATTGTCAAACTTGTTACAGTAAAGTTGATTGGTCAAATCATTATAGTCGCAAACCCAGATGCACTGTAAATAATCCCATCGTGCTTAACGACACACGTAAACAAGTGAATATGACCTACTTCTGCTCGCCTTTTGAGTTCACTTGATGGATCTAACTCGAGTCATAGTAACACGAGTGAGTTTGATGACGTCAATTCGAGTACAACACGAAAAACTCGAGACTAAGGGCCCAGGGGATTGTTAATTATATTCAATTCTCTCCACTTTTTTCTGTCTTAAGAGCTGTATGTAACTTATAACATACTTGGAAATGTTAAAATTCATTATTAAGTAATTTTACTGTACTTACAAGTACAGTGTAAATCAAGAGTATCTCCCCTATTTTGAAAAATCGCTACACATGTATGTATTGTTGATAGTTTGGTGAACATGTAACAGTATATGTAGAAACTCTGAAAAGTTCTTTTTAGTCCATACAGATGCTCAAAATGTGCTCTGTGGTTGATATGGCACACATCTACATAGTAATATAGTTCCTGCTACACACAGCTCAGCATGTCTGCTTGGATGTCTTCACAACATTGACAATGTAATGGTGGTACAAACACAGTATCACTAATGTATTCCCACAAGAAAGTCATAAGGAATGAGATCTAGTGGCTGAGGAGACCACTGCAACAATCAATTGTTGTCAGTACTTCCGTGTTTGATCCAGTGTTGTGACAGGGATGTTTTCAAGTAGACACAAACTATGCTGAACAGTGATAACAGACTTGCTAACAGGGAACTCAATTGTACAAAATCCCTTCTCTGCTGCAATGACCACCATTTTTACTCTACTCCATTTAGTGGAAATTACATCTGGTGGGAAATTACATTTTTACTCTACATAATTACATCTGGTGGGAGAGATATGAAGAATACTTTCAGAGTTTCTTTGTATCAATGTGCAGTTTTGCTCATATAAGTCCATTAACTAGTGAGTACTGATTTTTCAAAATTGGGAGAACTTTTTGACTTACCCTATACATATTGGAATATTGGTTTCCATTCTTACTTCATTAATTTTATTGTTCTTTTGAATAATCAGTAAATACAGTATATTTACTAATCACATGACTTTCCTTCTTCCCAGAAATATAGTACACAGTGGTCTAGCTGAAAAGATGTGATAGGGAAATCACATCTCTGTCTGTATGTTTTGTATGTCTCCTCTGTCTCATATGGATTAATTCCCATGTCTGTGTTGCTCATTCATATATAATTTATGAAATCTTTTTAATATGTAATTGCCTCTTATGTGTGTATCTGATAAATCAGATGTTCATTATGAAAAGTCTAAGAAATCTTTTGACTGTCTATTTATTAAAAAATCACCATGGAAGGTTCACTACTCTCCACATAACATATAGCATAGTTTAAAAAGCCGTGTTGCCATGTGCCCACATAACTGTAAGATTAAAGATAGACCCTTATAAACCTTAGAATAATGCTCCCTTATGTGGACTATCACTCTAAAAATACCAATGATAAGCTTTTTAAAACAGACCACTCTACTATCTGATGTGTTAACAGGAGCCCTGCTAATATAAAACGTATGAGAGAAAATCAAGAACACGAGAGAGTACTCTCTTAAGCAAACTGTTCTCTTATCCAATGCTCTGTTAAGTGGCCTTGACTGTATCATCTAATATTAATCAACATATTAAATTTATCTGTTAAAAACAAAGATTTTGAGCAGGAAAATAACATATTTACTATAATTGTAATTATACAATAAACTTAATTAATCTGTATATGTTTTTAATCTATATTTTGTAGATTTCTAATTATAAATGCAGAATACAAATATTAAATTTAGTATTCTTAAAATCACTCAAAAATGTCTTAACATGTCTACATAATAGACATATACAAAAATTTTAGTGTATCTCAGAAATGAGATACACTAAATCAGTGGCACTATTACTTTTACACTAGTTTTAAAATATAAGAGTAATATATTAAATTTATTTTTTATCCTATTATTTATGGAATAAAAAAATGAATTAAATATTTGATAAAAATGACTTTATTAATGCAAGTAAATTGAAAAGTTTTAAAAAAGTATTATGTGATTGAGTTTTTAATTTGCACTTAATGTATGATTTTAGCACTTTTTATACTCTTCTTTACATGTATCAAATACTTTGTATCCTTTTTTCAAATTCAACAATTTTTAAAATTTTAATAATTAGTGTTTAGAAATTATATTTTATATTTATTCATTTACAACAATTTCATTTTTCACTCTGTCATATGTGAAATTTGTCAGAAGTAATATTAATATGAATAAAAGACTAAATTTATTACAGTATTACAGTCTAAACTTTTAATATTTATCTTTGATTGTAGTAATAGTATAGTAATAATTTATTATTCTTTTGGGTTATACAAAATCCTTGTATATTGAAATATTTGAATTCATCTATTTCAAAGCTGAAATTTTTATCATTATCAAGCAATATACAAATGATTAAAATGTTTATATGATAAATTAGAATTCTGATATACAAAGATAATGTTAATAAATTTAATCTTTATTGCAGGAAAAATAGCGTAAGAGAGGATCCACGTACAGCTAAAACGAAATCTCCACATCCAATTAAACAGTTTGACACTGATATGTTTGTGTATTACCGTCCAAATATATTTAAAATGATCTATCTCATGTGGAGTGCACCAATTACAAAATTCTGGACCTTTCAAGTAGGATATGATTAAAGCATTGCATTTATCTTTTTTATTTCATATTTGTTTATTATGCTATAAAATATTATATACTGTGTAATGTTCAATTTAAAAGTAAATTTATATTTTATACTTTATCTTACATTTACATTATATACTTTAAATATCCTAAGTAAGAAAAATTACTATTTTTATTTATAAAAATATTCATTTATTTTAAAAAAATACAATGCTCATAAACTATAATTGGTTATATGAGAGCTCTCCTAATTACATTCAACTTATGAACTTTCATACTTACAATTTGACCATATGTCTAAAATTTAATTTTGCATGGTTTCTAATTGATGCCACCCAAGTGTCAAGAGAAAGTCAGTCTTTGGCCAGTAATAAATAATTAATGCAGATTTATTTCTATTATGTATCATCATTTTTTGTTTTTGTGCAAATTCTGACTTCCCATCACTGCTGGTGAGGTGGTGTTGAAGTTGGTAATGTTTGAGTAATGATATTTATTGCTATTGTTTGCAATTTTTTTTTATAGACTTTTATGACTAGTGCTTCAAAATTGCATCCAAAACATAATAGTAAATCTAACAGTGAAGATAAATGCAAGAAGGTTTGCTCTGTTACCAAGAAAACTACACTTGACATTATAAAACTAAGTGCATTAGATGAAAAAACTCCATTTGAAACACCTGCTACTAAGCAATAGCAAGCAGGTAAATGAGCATAATGTTTTCTTTTAAGTACATTGAAAGATCAAACACCAACATGTGGTTATTCTGTATTTACAAATGTATTTTCTAGATAGTTTTCAACTTACAGCAAAACTTATAACTCATGGCATACTTTATATTGAGACTAGTTTAATATATTTTTAATACAACTTTTACTTGTGTATATCATTCCAAATTCTATGACAAAAAATCCTGATTTTCTAATTAAATTTCATTGATTTTTAGTTGATTAACTTTTTTTTTTTTGAAATAACTAAAAATTCAAATAAATTGTAATATTTAAAGTCATTTGCAATTGCTAAAAGAAAAATATATAAAAATATTTGAATATGAAAGGAATCAACTTAACTATTATAACAAAGTACCTATGTTGTAGTTAAGATTAAGTCTGATCTGTTAAATAATCAAAAGATTTTATCAGACCAAAGAATTTTATCTTATATTATTTATGTAATAATGTATAAATTCTGTATCATTATGTATACATTGATCTCCCCATGTTTGTGAATAATTGGGAGCGAGTAATCCTTCATAAACATCAAGTTCTATTTTAATGCTAAATTTGTAATTCATTCCAAGACTTTGTATTACTGCTGTTTTAAAAACCTGTCAGAAAAATGGATGGTTTTATTAAATATACAGTGCAATGAATTATAGTGAAAGTCATTTTATTTACATATTTAAATAACAATAACCAAACCTTACACAAATCATATAATCCTTGGGACTATTCAATTTATGTAATTATGTAAATGTGATTTAATTTCCAAATTTCCACCAGGAAACTTCAGAGTGGTGTTTAATACATAACTGATATTGTGACCAGATTAATATTGTGAAAACTGTTAGTACTGTGTTGGTGTCAGATCCCACATGAAAAGATCAGCATCAAGTGTATAAAGTATGTTTTTAATGTCATATTATCGGCTATTTTTAAAAAGAACTGTTTTTTATCTTCAAGTTGTTTACCATCTGCCCCTGGCTGGAATTTAAAAAAGGATAGACTTAAATTGACCCAAAATTGTTTGTTTGGTCATTATTATTTAAATATGTAAATAATCCTTTGGACTATATAATTCTTTTTATTTAAGCTGACAAAAAAATAAACAAAACAGTAATATAACTTATGACAGATACCAGTGGCTTAGCTACATATTCAATGCCCTGGAGCAAGTAGAATCGGTGCACCCCTTTGTTCCTCAGAAGAGGTCTGGCAATATTTATTTTGAACATTTAATTTAAAAACATATATCTAATTATTTCGATTCAAAACCTTATTTAATAGCAATTTATTTGAGATTCGAGGCATTTCAATAATAATATATTCAACTTTTAATAAACACAAATATGATAATAAAACAAAATATAATTCTTTAAGTACGGAGTACCTAATAATATTTACTACATAGTATATAAATTGTATTGACAAAATGTGTGCAAGTTTAGTTTCATAATAATACATTTAAAACACTTCAAGATTGATGTTTTCTCGCTTTTTCGTTTGCAAATTGGTCAATTATTTTCTACAGATCAAGTTGACAAGCTATTGTTTATTCAATTGATATAATAGCCAGAGCTAAGACAGTGTTGTGACATGCTGTTTCTTAAATAAGTTTTGATTAGTTTTAGTTTTGAAAAAACTTTGTTCTACTGTTGCTGTCGTCACCTGTAAAGTTAAAAAAATGAGGCATACTTCAATAATGTGGGAGAACCTACTTGAGGATGCGGTGTGAATTAAAAGTAGTTTGGCAACTTTGCTTATAGAAACAATTTCATTTACTTGACTATAAAAACACATTTTAAATTGAAGTAGTTGAAATCCAAAACTAAGCAAAATGTCGGAGAGATATTCCGATTGTAAAAATCCTGATCCTTCTAGAATATTTTTATCAGATGATGCAACAAGATATGCAAGTGATAAGCACTTAAAAAGTGTAATGGTACATATTTGTCCAACGGAGTCAAATCTAATAGTTAATTGATTAATTATTAAATCCAAAAATTTTTTTACCAAAGTTTTTACAACAGACTTTTCTAACTTGGCACCTTCATGATTCGTGCGCCTGGAGCACTATGCTCCAACTGCTCCACGGTAGCTACACCTCTGACAGACACCATACAAATGAGTGTAGTGATTTTTTTTAGCATTGTGCCTGCTGAAACATTCAGTTTGTGCAGGTGCCAACTCCAGTTTACAGTAGTATTTAATCTCCCATTTCCTGAAAGGCCAAAATCTTTAATGATAGTTGAAATTTTGGTGCATAAATTTCCAATTATGAATGATCAAATTCCCAAACACTGATGTCCATGAACATTGAGGGTTTGTGGAATTTTAAATAAATTGGAATTTTGTTTAGGATACTAGTATATATTATTAGATTAATAGTCTGTTTTATGCATTGTATACAGATAATCAAACATCACTATAACCCAATACATTATAAAACTACAAGCCAACCAAGCCAACAATTTGATAATAAATTTAATAATAATAATTTTAGTAAGAGATGGCACCTAACACCTCCCTCTAGTACCAAACTGTTTCATAATTTATTAGTACAGTAGACCCCCCTATAACATGGGTTCATACAACATGGCAAAAGAATTGCAAACGTGTTTGTAAAACATGCTAAAGGAGACTTGTATAATGCGGTAAAACATCATCGCGACTTCTGTTGCGACAGGATTGGTCGAATCTAGACCAATAGCGGACATTGCACAAACCGTTGAGTTTAAACGAGCAGCAGACCTACTAAAAACCATTTATTATTTAACGGCCATAAAAATTGTATTTATATTAATGATGTCTCCAAAGTCAAGCGAATTTTTTGCAGAAAAATAACTTATCGGGAAACATGCGCCCGTTGTTCGATGAGCCGCTCTGCAATGAAAACAAGCTTAAGCAATGGTATCTTCAAACAGTGAGCACTCGGTAAGTAATCCTACAATTTTTTGTTTGTAGCATAGTTTATATGGATTATTTCCAAAAAATTATATGTGATTTGGAAATGTTGAGTCAAATTAGTCTAGAATCGATTAATTTTATGGAAGAAAATCTTTCAAACTGCCGTAGCCGCTAAACTTCACACGTGCCAGGCTGTGATTGGCTCATGTATTTAAGTGACTCGTACAACACGGAATTCATATAACATGGAACATATCTACCATGTTACGGGGGGTCTTCTAGCCCAGTGACATATGGCATTAGTTGGCTTGTAGTTTTATACAGATAATCTTAATTCACATAAACATTAGGGAGAATGAATGAGAAATGAGAATTTATATCTTGAACCAAATATATATATATTTTTCTATTACCAAAAATGTTCTTTTTATATTCTTCATGAAGGGAAATTCTTTAATTTTAATAAAATTTGATTGATTAAACAGTATTCATATATTTATCATTCTAGTTATTCCAGTAATAAATTTCTTGTATTTTGTAGGTGTTTTACATCATTTATCTTGCAATATTTAGTTTAGCAGTGATGTGGCCTTCTTGTGGAAATCAATATCTAGATATTGCAGTATGCACTTGGACAACTTTAATTCTTATTGAGTCCATCCATCGAACTTTCGTATTACATAAAGTAAGATTTAGGTTATTATATTGTCTTCCTTGTTTATTATAATTGTAATATTTGATTTTTATGTTACAGAAATATACAAGTATTCCACTGTTTTTAAAATGTGTAGAAATAATACTAATTATAATCTTCATATTCCTGTATATTGTTAGCCGTATTGTAAAAATTGGATTATTTCTTGATCCTTACAATGGAAGAGTATTATTATGTTGCGGTCTTCTTTATTTTTATTATCGTATTATTGCAATTTATTTACCTATATCACCTACATTAGGTCCTTTGTTATTTAGAGTGAGATTAATGGTAAGAAAATTTTATTCAACTAATTTGATTTATTTAAGTTTTTCATAAAATAAGAGTTATCATTTGTATTTATTTTATAATTTTGTTATAATTAATAAATAAATAAATAAAATTCTTTTATAGGTTTTTGAAGATTTTGTGAATTTTATGCGTATGGTGTTATTAATTATTATCAGCGGAGGAATAGTTATACATGCTGTTTTATATCCTGATTTTCCACTTAGTTTAGAATTATTTAGAAGAACTTTTCATAAGGCTTGGTTTTCTCTGTTTATGACTCCAATTAGTGATTTACAAGGTATGTAATTTTAAAATGTCATCAATTTCCTTTATAAATTTCACAACAAATTTTGAGATATTGGAGGCAATTTATTACATTTTTAAATAATTTATAAATCATAATTCAATATACAGTGGGTGATTGGTTAATGAATATAATCCGTTCCAAGACTTTGTTCGCTATCCGAATTGTTCGTTAACCGATTATCAATTTACCATACATTTGTATTGGAATTTGATTAATTCGTTCTGGAGACCCAAAAAATAAATAATATATACTTTCTTACTACTTTCGTTTATTAGTTATATTTGTTGGGTTAAAGGAATCTGTCTAATGTCGATCACTTTTCTCTCTTCTTCAAGATTTTCTGTAAGTAATTAATAGCATTGTAATTGTAGAGACCCCCAAGTCTATTAACCTCAACCTGGTTTGTATGCCATTCTAAGACAGTTGATCTGACATCCCCAACTTCTTCAAAAGATCTTTAATTAATAGCAGATATCGGCATTAATCCTCTTTTTCATAATAAAACATATCTTGCAGAATTTCTTGGTGTTCTTCCGTCAGATCTGTTTCAAGTTTCATTATGAACCCTTCGATGCTCTTTATTTCTCAGAAGTGATTTTTGTTACTCCTTTAGCTGCTTGAGTCTTTTTGATTATACTGTATCTTTCTTAGATAAGATTGAACTGCACCCTACTGTAGTTTTGTTTGAGCCATACTGCCCAGCAACATCAGACATCTTCTGCCCACTCTCTGCCTTTGCTATTTTACCTTTCGAAAATAAAACTCGACGCAAAACTTAACGAGTGCCCGCCCGGCAGTCTCGCGAATACTATAAAAGAATTGTTTCTGTCAGAAAAATAAAAGGCTGGAATTACAAGCGAGCGTTTCAAAGTTCGGAGGAATACTATCCGATCAGTATATTCCAGGTTGAGCGTTGATGTTGACGTCTCCAGCACTCTGAAAAGCTTCGAATTGTTGCCTGAAGACAAGGGAAAATCAATTGGTATTTGCTATTTTTGTCACTTCTTTTTATGTTTGTTCAGTGAAGTGTTTGTTGTCCGATCATAAAAATCTTTCACAAAAGTGTTCGTTAACTGATCACCCACTGTATAATATTAAAAAATGTATCTAACGTGATAAATTTGATCATATAAATTTTCATTAATAATGACTAATAAAAAAACAGTGGAAAATTGTATTATTGTGGTGAGTTTAAAAGCACACTAAAAAAATAAAGATGTCATTCCTTACTACGTTCTGGTAGTGTCTTAATTCTCAACACTTTAATTATGTGTCAATGCCTGTGATATAAGCATACGACAGATGTCGCAATAATTATATGAATAGCTTTAAAATAAAAGAAAAAAATTTTTTTGGCACTGTCATACTATTGTTTTTGTGTTTAAAATTAAATTACACTGTAAAGTCATCTTTTCTTTCAAATTTTTATTTGGGAAATTCAGCTTTGTTTTTATTTATATACTTTCATGAATTTTTCTATAAAATATAATGGAACAGGTTCATAGGAAAGTCCACAAATTTCTTTTGAATAACTGTGCACATTTATTTGCTAAAATAAACTTTTAAAGTCACTGGCTACACACCAATCTGCCTATGAAAAACTACTACACAGTTATTACTTTTCTGTTCCCAATATAAAGTAATTAATATGAATTAATAATAAAATTGTTTTAACAACACATGATATAAATAATGACTGACTGAAATATGATTACTGTTTCATTGTTGAGTGTATCAACTAGTTAAGTTTTCAATAATTTAACTTCTGCTTTTATTAAAACATACAGTATATGATATATTTATAAATAAGTATCATTTTTACTATAGAGAGACAGGGTTGTCATAAATGGCACTCATTCAATGCCAGTGACCAATGTAGAGCTGGAAAATGTGAGTATTTCATAAATTGAATAAACTATCAGGTCAGTCCATAAGTTCGTGCATATTTTTACCTACAAAAAAGCAACAAAAATTTTTAATTAAATCTTATTTCAATCTATAATGTATTTACCATTATTTTGTACAATTTCTTGCCATCTTGATGGTAGCTTTTTAATCCCGTCTTCGTAAAATTATTTTGGTTTTGAATCAAAATATTCAGAAATAGCCTTTTTTACATTGTTCTCATCCTCAAAAGTTTTTCCTTTTAAAAAATTCTGCAAACTCCGAAAAAGATGATAATCACTGGGAGCAATATCTGGCAAATATGGTGGATGAGGTAAAATTTCCCAGTTGAAGCTTTGGAGTTGAGCAGTTGACGTTGTTGTCAGTTAGCTATTGACAGTTCATGTGGTATCCATTTTCCTAGCTTTGAAACTTTTCCGATTTGTTGTAGATGTCTATGAACAGTTCCATGGGATGAATTTAAACGTTCCGCAATTTCATCAACTGTTAAAGATGGTTCTGCTTCAACTAGTGCAGAGAGAGCATCATCATCAAAGTCAACGGGTCTTCCAGTACGAGCCTTATCCTCCACACTAAAATCATTATTTCTAAATCTTTCAAACCACTTCTGCGCAGTCCTTACACTAATTACAGTTTGATTATGAACAGTATTTAATTTTTTGGCTGCATTTGTAGCATTCTCATCACTTAAAAATAAAAAGTATAAAACATGTCTCTTATATTCATCTGTTACTTCCATTTTAACGAAAATAAACAACTGAAATGTTCCCAATTCTGAACAGTATTATATGAATGAGATCCAATTTAACACTTCAGTGTAAAAAGTATCACATTAGACTGGCATTTTTAACAGCAAAACAAGATTTTTCTCAAGGTCATAAAATACACATGAACTTATGGACTGACCTGATATATATATATATATATAAATTACTTGAAAATATTAAAACAAAATTATTAACAGATGATGATGATACCTGTCCAAATATTGGATTATGGCCTTATATATTTACTATTCAATATTTTGTTTTGTTAAAGTTAATTATGATGACTCTACTTTATGCTCTTTTCAGGTAAGTTGTAAATTTTTTTATAGTATAAAATAATAATTTTAATAATTTTATATATTTATTTAGTGCAACTGCTTCTAAACTTCAAACAGAAGTTGATGCAATTTGGAAATTTCAAAGATATCAGCTGATTGTAGATTTTGCTGCATGTTTAAGATTACCTGCTCCACTTAATGTATTTAGTTATGTTTTAATAGTTTTTCATTGGATAATTAAGTGCTCAACTTGTAAAATCTGCAAGAAAGCTGAAACAACTGCAAGTTTATTAAAATATTTTTACACTTTAGAATAACGTCAAAATAAGTTTATAATTACAAATATTTTTAATATTATACAGGATAATCTTACAGCTCCTCCACCCAAAAACCAAAGATTATCAGAGAAGGATTATAATTATTGGCGTCAATTAGCTCAGGAATATAGCAAGAACCAAGATGAGAAGGAATCAGAAAAAAACTACCAAAAAAAGCAAATGGAAATGCAAGTTATAGACAATTATTAAATTGATATTCATAAAATCTTAAATAATTAATAAACTATAGTACTACAGTTTTAATATTTGGTTTTAAATACAGTAAAACCTCTCTTATTCAGACTTAGTAGTTCAAATTAGTATTTTTTTAATGTGTGTTTTTTTTAAATAATGAATCTACTGATTCTAATCTGGGCTTGAAGCATCTAAGAGTAAGGTAATAGTTGTTAAAGATGTGATTAAGAAACAGCTAGAAAGAAATTGAAAACAAAACTTTAGTTAGTTTTTCTTAAGCCCAAATTAGTAAATGTTGGCAATGACAAGAATGATACTACTACTACTGCAAATCATTGTATTTGTTCACTTAAAATGCACAATAAAATTTGACTTTAAATGAATGTATTTTTTGAGGTTTTACTCAAATACAAAATGCATTTGAGTAAAAACCTCACTCACTCATTCCCCCATTAGTCTGAATTAGTAAGGTTCTACTGTATTTATAAAGTTGATTTATATTTAATTATTTAAATATAAACAAATGATATATAATAGTTCAATTAAAATTTGGCAGTAATATAGTTAATTAATTGTAAAGATGTTACATAATCTGGACTAAAGCTAGGTGGTTAAGTTGTGCCATCTTGTGTTAAATTAATTAATTTAGAATATTTTGAAAGAAAACATTGATTCAGAATGGGATGATATACTTGATAATGTATATCATCCCATTATCTGCACAGTAAGTAGGAGTTGTGGGTTTGAGTCCTGCACTGGATCAGCCTTTTCTTCTAGAATGGGTCAGCAACCTGTGGCACTCTGATTGAATAGAAATGTAGTAAAAATTATGTTTTAATTATTAATTACACATTTAAATGGAAGTCATAGTTCAGCAAAGGCAATGGTACATTAAAAACAAATCTCGTTTGTATATTTCTATTACAGTGCATGCGTTTACACTCCATGTTGCATCTATGTATATACTTCACATGTAAAAACATAATTCAATTAACAACTTGACTTCAAAAATATATATTTTTGAAGTCTGTTATAACCAGATTAATTTTGATAACAAACTTGGTAGAATCAGGTCTCACTCAGAATACCACTATAACTTACATTTGGCACAACACCGCTGAAAGGTTGCCAACCTGTTCTAGAATATGTTAAATTTGATCACTTAAATTAATTATTATTATTTAACCATAATTTGGACTAAAGATATTATATATTATAGCTTGATAAAAATTCAGTGGTATTGTTTGTTGAGTTAAAATATGTTAGAGAATTGAATTGTCTCCTTAATTATTTAAATATAAACAAATGATATATAATAGTTCAATTAAAATTTGGCAGTAATATAGTTAATTAATTGTAAAGATGTTACATAATCTGGACTAAAGCTAGGTGGTTAAGTTGTGCCATCTTGTGTTAAATTAATTAATTTAGAATATTTTGAAAGAAAACATTGATTCAGAATGGGATGATATACTTGATAATGTATATCATCCCATTATCTGCACAGTAAGTAGGAGTTGTGGGTTTGAGTCCTGCACTGGATCAGCCTTTTCTTCTAGAATGGGTCAGCAACCTGTGGCACTCTGATTGAATAGAAATGTAGTAAAAATTATGTTTTAATTATTAATTACACATTTAAATGGAAGTCATAGTTCAGCAAAGGCAATGGTACATTAAAAACAAATCTCGTTTGTATATTTCTATTACAGTGCATGCGTTTACACTCCATGTTGCATCTATGTATATACTTCACATGTAAAAACATAATTCAATTAACAACTTGACTTCAAAAATATATATTTTTGAAGTCTGTTATAACCAGATTAATTTTGATAACAAACTTGGTAGAATCAGATCTCACTCAGAATACCACTATAACTTACATTTGGCACAACACCGCTGAAAGGTTGCCAACCTGTTCTAGAATATGTTAAATTTGATCACTTAAATTAATTATTATTATTTAACCATAATTTGGACTAAAGATATTATATATTATAGCTTGATAAAAATTCAGTGGTATTGTTTGTTGAGTTAAAATATGTTAGAGAATTGAATTGTCTCCTTAATTATTTAAATAAGAATCTGGATAATTTGAATAAATATATTAATCATACTATTTATGTAAAATACTTACTTTTNAATGGTCTGTTTTATGCATTGTATACAGATAATCAAACATCACTATAACCCAATACATTATAAAACTACAAGCCAACCAAGCCAACAATTTGATAATAAATTTAATAATAATAATTTTAGTAAGAGATGGCACCTAACACCTCCCTCTAGTACCAAACTGTTTCATAATTTATTAGTACAGTAGACCCCCCTATAACATGGGTTCATACAACATGGCAAAAGAATTGCAAACGTGTTTGTAAAACATGCTAAAGGAGACTTGTATAATGCGGTAAAACATCATCGCGACTTCTGTTGCGACAGGATTGGTCGAATCTAGACCAATAGCGGACATTGCACAAACCGTTGAGTTTAAACGAGCAGCAGACCTACTAAAAACCATTTATTATTTAACGGCCATAAAAATTGTATTTATATTAATGATGTCTCCAAAGTCAAGCGAATTTTTTGCAGAAAAATAACTTATCGGGAAACATGCGCCCGTTGTTCGATGAGCCGCTCTGCAATGAAAACAAGCTTAAGCAATGGTATCTTCAAACAGTGAGCACTCGGTAAGTAATCCTACAATTTTTTGTTTGTAGCATAGTTTATATGGATTATTTCCAAAAAATTATATGTGATTTGGAAATGTTGAGTCAAATTAGTCTAGAATCGATTAATTTTATGGAAGAAAATCTTTCAAACTGCCGTAGCCGCTAAACTTCACACGTGCCAGGCTGTGATTGGCTCATGTATTTAAGTGACTCGTACAACACGGAATTCATATAACATGGAACATATCTACCATGTTACGGGGGGGTCTTCTAGCCCAGTGACATATGGCATTAGTTGGCTTGTAGTTTTATACAGATAATCTTAATTCACATAAACATTAGGGAGAATGAATGAGAAATGAGAATTTATATCTTGAACCAAATATATATATATTTTTCTATTACCAAAAATGTTCTTTTTATATTCTTCATGAAGGGAAATTCTTTAATTTTAATAAAATTTGATTGATTAAACAGTATTCATATATTTATCATTCTAGTTATTCCAGTAATAAATTTCTTGTATTTTGTAGGTGTTTTACATCATTTATCTTGCAATATTTAGTTTAGCAGTGATGTGGCCTTCTTGTGGAAATCAATATCTAGATATTGCAGTATGCACTTGGACAACTTTAATTCTTATTGAGTCCATCCATCGAACTTTCGTATTACATAAAGTAAGATTTAGGTTATTATATTGTCTTCCTTGTTTATTATAATTGTAATATTTGATTTTTATGTTACAGAAATATACAAGTATTCCACTGTTTTTAAAATGTGTAGAAATAATACTAATTATAATCTTCATATTCCTGTATATTGTTAGCCGTATTGTAAAAATTGGATTATTTCTTGATCCTTACAATGGAAGAGTATTATTATGTTGCGGTCTTCTTTATTTTTATTATCGTATTATTGCAATTTATTTACCTATATCACCTACATTAGGTCCTTTGTTATTTAGAGTGAGATTAATGGTAAGAAAATTTTATTCAACTAATTTGATTTATTTAAGTTTTTCATAAAATAAGAGTTATCATTTGTATTTATTTTATAATTTTGTTATAATTAATAAATAAATAAATAAAATTCTTTTATAGGTTTTTGAAGATTTTGTGAATTTTATGCGTATGGTGTTATTAATTATTATCAGCGGAGGAATAGTTATACATGCTGTTTTATATCCTGATTTTCCACTTAGTTTAGAATTATTTAGAAGAACTTTTCATAAGGCTTGGTTTTCTCTGTTTATGACTCCAATTAGTGATTTACAAGGTATGTAATTTTAAAATGTCATCAATTTCCTTTATAAATTTCACAACAAATTTTGAGATATTGGAGGCAATTTATTACATTTTTAAATAATTTATAAATCATAATTCAATATACAGTGGGTGATTGGTTAATGAATATAATCCGTTCCAAGACTTTGTTCGCTATCCGAATTGTTCGTTAACCGATTATCAATTTACCATACATTTGTATTGGAATTTGATTAATTCGTTCTGGAGACCCAAAAAATAAATAATATATACTTTCTTACTACTTTCGTTTATTAGTTATATTTGTTGGGTTAAAGGAATCTGTCTAATGTCGATCACTTTTCTCTCTTCTTCAAGATTTTCTGTAAGTAATTAATAGCATTGTAATTGTAGAGACCCCCAAGTCTATTAACCTCAACCTGGTTTGTATGCCATTCTAAGACAGTTGATCTGACATCCCCAACTTCTTCAAAAGATCTTTAATTAATAGCAGATATCGGCATTAATCCTCTTTTTCATAATAAAACATATCTTGCAGAATTTCTTGGTGTTCTTCCGTCAGATCTGTTTCAAGTTTCATTATGAACCCTTCGATGCTCTTTATTTCTCAGAAGTGATTTTTGTTACTCCTTTAGCTGCTTGAGTCTTTTTGATTATACTGTATCTTTCTTAGATAAGATTGAACTGCACCCTACTATAGTTTTGTTTGAGCCATACTGCCCAGCAACATCAGACATCTTCTGCCCACTCTCTGCCTTTGCTATTTTACCTTTCGAAAATAAAACTCGACGCAAAACTTAACGAGTGCCCGCCCGGCAGTCTCGCGAATACTATAAAAGAATTGTTTCTGTCAGAAAAATAAAAGGCTGGAATTACAAGCGAGCGTTTCAAAGTTTGGAGGAATACTATCCGATCAGTATATTCCAGGTTGAGCGTTGATGTTGACGTCTCCAGCACTCTGAAAAGCTTCGAATTGTTGCCTGAAGACAAGGGAAAATCAATTGGTATTTGCTATTTTTGTCACTTCTTTTTATGTTTGTTCAGTGAAGTGTTTGTTGTCCGATCATAAAAATCTTTCACAAAAGTGTTCGTTAACTGATCACCCACTGTATAATATTAAAAAAATGTATCTAACGTGATAAATTTGATCATATAAATTTTCATTAATAATGACTAATAAAAAAACAGTGGAAAATTGTATTATTGTGGTGAGTTTAAAAGCACACTAAAAAAATAAAGATGTCATTCCTTACTACGTTCTGGTAGTGTCTTAATTCTCAACACTTTAATTATGTGTCAATGCCTGTGATATAAGCATATGACAGATGTCGCAATTATTATATGAATAGCTTTAAAATAAAAGAAAAAAATTTTTTTGGCACTGTCATACTATTGTTTTTGTGTTTAAAATTAAATTACACTGTAAAGTCATCTTTTCTTTCAAATTTTTATTTGGGAAATTCAGCTTTGTTTTTATTTATATACTTTCATGAATTTTTCTATAAAATATAATGGAACAGGTTCATAGGAAAGTCCACAAATTTCTTTTGAATAACTGTGCACATTTATTTGCTAAAATAAACTTTTAAAGTCACTGGCTACACACCAATCTGCCTATGAAAAACTACTACACAGTTATTACTTTTCTGTTCCCAATATAAAGTAATTAATATGAATTAATAATAAAATTGTTTTAACAACACATGATATAAATAATGACTGACTGAAATATGATTACTGTTTCATTGTTGAGTGTATCAACTAGTTAAGTTTTCAATAATTTAACTTCTGCTTTTATTAAAACATACAGTATATGATATATTTATAAATAAGTATCATTTTTACTATAGAGAGACAGGGTTGTCATAAATGGCACTCATTCAATGCCAGTGACCAATGTAGAGCTGGAAAATGTGAGTATTTCATAAATTGAATAAACTATCAGGTCAGTCCATAAGTTCGTGCATATTTTTACCTACAAAAAAGCAACAAAAATTTTTAATTAAATCTTATTTCAATCTATAATGTATTTACCATTATTTTGTACAATTTCTTGCCATCTTGATGGTAGCTTTTTAATCCCGTCTTCGTAAAATTATTTTGGTTTTGAATCAAAATATTCAGAAATAGCCTTTTTTACATTGTTCTCATCCTCAAAAGTTTTCCCTTTTAAAAAATTCTGCAAACTCCAAAAAAGATAATCACTGGGAGCAATATCTGGCAAATATGGTGGATGAGGTAAAATTTCCCAGTTGAAGCTTTTGAGTTGAGCAGTTGACGTTGTTGTCAGTTAGCTATTGACAGTTCATGTGGTATCCATTTTCCTAGCTTTGAAACTTTTCCGATTTGTTGTAGATGTCTATGAACAGTTCCATGGGATGAATTTAAACGTTCCGCAATTTCATCAACTGTTAAAGATGGTTCTGCTTCAACTAGTGCAGAGAGAGCATCATCATCAAAGTCAACGGGTCTTCCAGTACGAGCCTTATCCTCCACACTAAAATCATTATTTCTAAATCTTTCAAACCACTTCTGCGCAGTCCTTACACTAATTACAGTTTGATTATGAACAGTATTTAATTTTTTGGCTGCATTTGTAGCATTCTCATCACTTAAAAATAAAAAGTATAAAACATGTCTCTTATATTCATCTGTTACTTCCATTTTAACGAAAATAAACAACTGAAATGTTCCCAATTCTGAACAGTATTATATGAATGAGATCCAATTTAACACTTCAGTGTAAAAAGTATCACATTAGACTGGCATTTTTAACAGCAAAACAAGATTTTTCTCAAGGTCATAAAATACACATGAACTTATGGACTGACCTGATATATATATATATATATAAATTACTTGAAAATATTAAAACAAAATTATTAACAGATGATGATGATACCTGTCCAAATATTGGATTATGGCCTTATATATTTACTATTCAATATTTTGTTTTGTTAAAGTTAATTATGATGACTCTACTTTATGCTCTTTTCAGGTAAGTTGTAAATTTTTTTATAGTATAAAATAATAATTTTAATAATTTTATATATTTATTTAGTGCAACTGCTTCTAAACTTCAAACAGAAGTTGATGCAATTTGGAAATTTCAAAGATATCAGCTGATTGTAGATTTTGCTGCATGTTTAAGATTACCTGCTCCACTTAATGTATTTAGTTATGTTTTAATAGTTTTTCATTGGATAATTAAGTGCTCAACTTGTAAAATCTGCAAGAAAGCTGAAACAACTGCAAGTTTATTAAAATATTTTTACACTTTAGAATAACGTCAAAATAAGTTTATAATTACAAATATTTTTAATATTATACAGGATAATCTTACAGCTCCTCCACCCAAAAACCAAAGATTATCAGAGAAGGATTATAATTATTGGCGTCAATTAGCTCAGGAATATAGCAAGAACCAAGATGAGAAGGAATCAGAAAAAAACTACCAAAAAAAGCAAATGGAAATGCAAGTTATAGACAATTATTAAATTGATATTCATAAAATCTTAAATAATTAATAAACTATAGTACTACAGTTTTAATATTTGGTTTTAAATACAGTAAAACCTCTCTTATTCAGACTTAGTAGTTCAAATTAGTATTTTTTTAATGTGTGTTTTTTTTAAATAATGAATCTACTGATTCTAATCTGGGCTTGAAGCATCTAAGAGTAAGGTAATAGTTGTTAAAGATGTGATTAAGAAACAGCTAGAAAGAAATTGAAAACAAAACTTTAGTTAGTTTTTCTTAAGCCCAAATTAGTAAATGTTGGCAATGACAAGAATGATACTACTACTACTGCAAATCATTGTATTTGTTCACTTAAAATGCACAATAAAATTTGACTTTAAATGAATGTATTTTTTGAGGTTTTACTCAAATACAAAATGCATTTGAGTAAAAACCTCACTCACTCATTCCCCCATTAGTCTGAATTAGTAAGGTTCTACTGTATTTATAAAGTTGATTTATATTTAATTATTTAAATATAAACAAATGATATATAATAGTTCAATTAAAATTTGGCAGTAATATAGTTAATTAATTGTAAAGATGTTACATAATCTGGACTAAAGCTAGGTGGTTAAGTTGTGCCATCTTGTGTTAAATTAATTAATTTAGAATATTTTGAAAGAAAACATTGATTCAGAATGGGATGATATACTTGATAATGTATATCATCCCATTATCTGCACAGTAAGTAGGAGTTGTGGGTTTGAGTCCTGCACTGGATCAGCCTTTTCTTCTAGAATGGGTCAGCAACCTGTGGCACTCTGATTGAATAGAAATGTAGTAAAAATTATGTTTTAATTATTAATTACACATTTAAATGGAAGTCATAGTTCAGCAAAGGCAATGGTACATTAAAAACAAATCTCGTTTGTATATTTCTATTACAGTGCATGCGTTTACACTCCATGTTGCATCTATGTATATACTTCACATGTAAAAACATAATTCAATTAACAACTTGACTTCAAAAATATATATTTTTGAAGTCTGTTATAACCAGATTAATTTTGATAACAAACTTGGTAGAATCAGGTCTCACTCAGAATACCACTATAACTTACATTTGGCACAACACCGCTGAAAGGTTGCCAACCTGTTCTAGAATATGTTAAATTTGATCACTTAAATTAATTATTATTATTTAACCATAATTTGGACTAAAGATATTATATATTATAGCTTGATAAAAATTCAGTGGTATTGTTTGTTGAGTTAAAATATGTTAGAGAATTGAATTGTCTCCTTAATTATTTAAATAAGAATCTGGATAATTTGAATAAATATATTAATCATACTATTTATGTAAAATACTTACTTTTATACTATCCATATTAGTATAATAATATCCTTCTCGAAATTATTATCTGCTATTACATATAGAAACATGACAGTTAAGAATCAATCAGTTTATTATTTAGTGATTCATCATATTACCTCTATTGATATTATATAAGTTAGACCAGTATTTCTCAAACTTTTTTACCTAGGGACTGATTTTTGAGGCATGTCATATATGTGGGAATTTTCATTGCATATAATTTTATGTAATAAGATATTTCATTTAACTAATATTGATGTATTGGAATGAATTTTTCATTAATTCTAAAGACTATTAATATTTAAGTTTTATTACATTTTTTATTCTAAGCAACTCATAAAAGTTTAAAAACCAGTTTCAGTGCAATTACTTTATTTTAATAGTGTTTTGAAAAAAGATTTTAATTAGGATTATTTTTGTATTGTAATTTTTTAAGCTTTCCACGAGCCAACTTTTTATAGTACTACAGTTAATACTGGGTGTGTGAAACAAGTGATAGAACAATAATGATATATATTGAAAATAAAAATAAAAGATTCTCTCTCTCTCTCTACAAATTAGAGATACTCAAAATATTTGTAGCATCTGTTTTCATTATGTTGCAATGAATGTGGTTAATATGTATAAACATTTGAAGAGGCTTTATCAGTACGTTTAAAATCATGCATTACAAAAGCATTTAAAGAGTTTAAATTCATCATTTATCCTTCATTTCAATCAAGGATATGAAATATTAACTAAAGAAATAAATTGCTGGCTGGATGGCTGAAGCAGTTAAGATATTAGCCGACTGCTCTGGTGGACCCAGGATTGAATCTGGGTGGTAGAGAAATTCCAGAAATTTTTTATGGGTATGTTGGGCCTCATCCCCACCCATAAAAAAAAGTCCTAGTGCACACAGAGTGGAGAGTCCAAAAATAAATAAATTTTATACATTTTTATTTACAATTTTTGTTAATACTGTTTAAACAATATTAACAGAAATTGTGATCTATAATTAAATCAGGAATAAAATAATAAGTTCTAAGGATTATTTGAATTAATTTCTTAGATTATGTTTTGATAGCTGTGAGTTTTGAACTCAGATAAAAATGAAAACAACCTCCAAACTTGATTTATTTCTTACATTATTTTTGTAATAAATATAAATATCGTATAACACTTATTTCTACGTATTTAAATGGATTAATTAAATTATTTTGTTAGAATAAGACATATTACCGATGATGTCGATTATCAAAAGAAAGTATTAAGACAATTAAAAGGGCGCTTAGGAGTTCTAGAGCGGATGATGGTTCAGTCACATATTTCCTTGGAAAATATCAGACACCTTGCAAAAAAGGATAAAGGTAAATCATATTATATTTTAATTTTATGTTATTAACATTGAGAAATTTAATGTATTATTTGATAAATGTACAAATTTTCATAAGTATGTGGTCAGTTAAATAATTATATTTTAAAATTTCTTAATCCCTTCATATTCCTTTTCAGACTTTTACGAAATATATAATAAATTTTCATATATTATTTTATAGAAAAATTATTTAAAAATCTGATATTATCATTTGATTATAAAAAAGTATTTATAGTTTCTAATTGAAAAGTACAGTACCATTAATTACACTGAAACAATTAAGGCTGTTATGTAACCATGTAATTAATGTTTCAGTAATCTAACTAATTCAGTTAACCTCATTTTGTGCAACAAGTAATGAATTATTTTGCAGGTATGTGCCACTCAACAATGGGGTTATGTTCCAAAAAATACATCATTAAGTGAATATTATAGGGTGTGCTTATATATAGACTATACCATATAAGTTTGTCTAAAACAATGATAAGTATTTATGTATTTAAGCATATCTAAACATGGAAAAGGTACAGGCAGCTATGAATTTTTCAACTCCATTGTAATCTTATGAGACATCCATCATATATGCAATTTATTGTTAAATGGTACATACCTATATTTAAGAAGTTTTATTAATTAGGGAATAGAAAGTATAAAACAGCTAGTAAACTTAAGTTATAGAACATATAAAGAAAATTATTTTTTAAATCTCGTTTTTAGCTTTTTTCATTTGTAAATGCTTGAATAAACACATTTTTTGGTTATTAATTTCACAAAACTAGTTTCAATGTTGATTTCAAATTTAAGTCAGTCAAGCATTATTTTCTTGATTTCTTTGAATCTGTAACTATTAATAATTCATTTGTGTATAGAATCAAAGAAATCAAGAATGAGAAGTACCATTTTTATTACAGTACTACCAAATATTGTTTTAGAGCCTCTATTTATTTCAATATACAATATTCACAATATGTAAACAAATAGCATTTTGTACAGGTTAATAATTTTTGAAAATTTCAAAATATCTATTAAATAAATGGTAGTAAATATATCATTAAATCTGTATTATTGATTACTGAAAAAATTTAGTTACAAAATAATTGAATTTTTTAATTCTTTTCTTCTTATTAACAGAAGCTTACTTATTTAATCTTTAAAAATAATTTAAAGATAATTTAAGACTCTTACTTATTAAATTCATAAATACTATTCTTTTTATAGAAGAAAGCTAATTTTTTTTAACCTAGAATGGAACTTTTTGCTACTTTACATTCTTAACAAGAAATTCTGTTCTCCTGAACATAATGTAAACGTACAATATATAGAAATATTAACTCTTAATGAATCATGTAATATATTAATGAAAAATTACAGATAAAGGTATTCACAGTCAACCTGTCCATGTGTTGTCGCGTCACTCGCCTTATCCTGGTACTATGGTAAATCGTTTCCCCGTTCCCGAAAAATATGTTCCGTGGGAAGTAATGTGGATAGATTACGATCCCGTGGCTTTTACTCATCCTCGAGAAGATTTTGTCATCAATCTTAGACCTCATGTAGATTTAGATTTACTTTTGTAAGTAATATAAATTCAATATAAATATTTTAAATTAACTGATAAAAACATTAAGTTACTTAATCGTACATCATAGAATTAGAGAAAAGGATGGTGAAGACAACCTACCAGTTTTTACGTGGAACAGTATATCGATCAGTCCGGCCGGTATCGGAATCGATCGACAATCTTGGATTAAAACAGAGGACGGAATGCCTTTAACTTATAAACTAGATAGTGAAAATGTGCCTCAGTTAGTATTATCTTAGCAGCTATTTTATAAGTATGCATTTAGATAATTATGTTTAAACTAATTCTGTGATTTGTAGAAATCCAAGAGGAAGAACTGGCCTCAGAGGAAAAGGATCTCTGCCACGTTGGGGACCAAATCATTATATAATTGTAATTATCACAAGGTATGTAAATTAATATAATATGTTCTACAATTAAAAGTATATAAATTAATATAATAATTTATTTATCTAATTTCATAATATAAACTAGATGGCAAAAATCAAAGTACACAATTTTTGGAGGGAAAGGAGTAGAATTTGTTGTTATGAGAGCAGAAAGACATGATCAAATTACCCTTCCTGGGGTATGTTAATTTATTAAATTTTTGTAGATGTGACAAAATTTAAATTTACAATATTGTTATTTGCTGCTGTTAAAGTTTTAAAATATCAATTCAGTGATAAGTTTACAAAAAACTTACATATTGATAATTAAAACAGGGATTTGTTCCTGATGAAAACAGATATGAAGTTGTTCGCTCTTTGTTTAAATCTGAAAAGATTAAGGATATTTGGAAAAACCAAGCAGCAATGATATCAGTATGTTTCATGTTCTGTTAAATTTTTAAAACTAATTTTTTAAATTGATTAATACTTCAAACTATTTTATCTAGTTTTTTAAAAGCTGTAGCATTTCTCAAGAAGAAGAGGATGACGAAAATGACATAAAAGTAGAATTAGTAATGCAAGGGTACATGGACGATCCTTGTAATACCGATCAAGCATGGAGAGAAGTTGAACTTTGGCATGTACACTATAATAAACAAGAATGTATCCAGGAGAATTTACAGGTTTGATATACGTATTGAAATACTTTAAAAGCTGCCATACAAAGCAGCATTTATTATTTGTGCGTTCAATGCCACTATTTTCAGGCAAAACTTGTTTGGATGAACTTCAGAAAATCAAATTTTGGTATTTATGATAGCACCGTTACATTACTGAACATTCTGAGTTAATAAATTGTTTTTGACAGTAAGATGTTTGTGTTAAAAGAAACCTATTAAAATCTGTTTGATAATGATTATAATAGTAGCCATTGGAGGCTTTTGGCAATATATCAGTCTTTCATTACAAATACCATTATTGTTACCGATTAATTCTGGTAAAAAATATGATTACATATAGATAACTTTATTCTTCTGAACCATAGACTCCATATTAAATTGCTTAAGTTAGCAGTAGTGATATCGCCACACCAGTCGTGCAAGAAGATTTAAGTAGAAACTATTCAATTGTTTATTAGACTGAATTATAAAACATTAATGTTTCAATGTGAAATCAAACAGATTCTGGAAACAAACCTACAAAACCAACATAAATAGAAACATTTTTCATTAGTTTTGTGTCAATAAATTTAATTTGATATTCTAAATGTTCATCCAAATTATATTTTGTAAATAATTTTCAAGATTTATACTCACTTTAAATTGTACAGTATTTAAAAGTATTATATAATTACCAACAGCCATTACTATGGTGGAGGATAATTAATGACGACGTCTTCATCAAACTACCCGCGGGACAAGCGGCCTTCCTTCAAGAGGTGACGCAACGAGTAGAGGCAATGTTGTTGTGAAGATCGCGTCGACCGACGCCAAAGCACAATTTTGTACATTTTATTTTTTCTATTTATTCGACATCGTCGAGATAAGTAAATTATCGTTAATTTATACATAAATATAAATACCGTATTTATACTATATACGACGAAGATTATAAAACGTGGAATTCGAATCTTCCCAAATCTCAACTCGACAATTCATATAGATTTTATTTTGATATATTATAATTAACTGTCTAAATAAAATTGCAACAACGACCATACTAATTATGCATGAAAATATTATTTTGTATACATAACTCAATTTGTTATCTTTAAAGAATATTAAATAAGTACAAACAATTTTACTTAGTCTTATTTCTGGAACATAAACAAACTGTAAAACGGGACGTTTCAAAACCACAAATTCAATAACCCCGAGAATTTACGAAGACGTTTCGTCCGCTTCCGCGGAAGTCTCTACGCCGGTACGGGCGCGACGTGCCATGACGACAGTCGCTCGCAAGCCAGAAATAGAAAAATCTACATTAACAACCAATTGAAAAGTGGCCCCCTTCCAGTAATGTCTTCAATTTGAGATAAAGAAACTCAGATAGAAAGTCCTTCAGCTTCTTCCAGATCTTGGCCCTACACCAAAATTACAACACATTACAATGATATAAAATGTTTTAACAAGTTAGTCAATGATTTCCACTATAAAAAAAACAAATTCTCTATTCTAATTAGACTTTTTTTTTTAAAGTATTCAAAACTTTAAAGGCAATAATTTATAAATAATTTAATTAAAACCTGTACTTTAATTACTTTCTTTAATTAGAATTAATATTTAATTCTATTGCAGTTTTTAGCAATAATAAATAATGCAATTTTTCAGTTTATAATTAATGGGTTAAATTTTTGTTTTCAAACCATAATTGTATTTATTTCAGTTTAAAATAAATTAAAACTTTCAACTTTTTTTTAACTTCAATTTGTAAATTATTAAATAATCTAGTTAAACGTTTGAAGATAGGCAGGAAATGCTTAATATTTGTGCTCGTGACATTATTTTGATTTAATATAACTGAGTAAATTATCTTATAAATTCTATTCACCTGATTAATTTTCTCTTCTAGAGTTTTAAAAAATTCGATTTGGCTCGGAGTTCGTTGCCTAAACAAACAAATAACATTAATAATTAATTATTTATCAATTTTTTTTTCTTTAAAATTGATAAAGTTTTCACAAGAAATAAAATCTCACATTTGCGCCACTAGAGGGCCCGGCATGGGACGTGTTGATTTTTCTCCAATTCTCCCTTTAGAACTGCCAGTTACTCGAATCGTCTAAAATTTATTTATTTATTTTTCGAATTTTTAATTAACTTTTTTGTTCAAGAACGATGCGCGCGATGACGGAATGCTCGTCAAATATTTTAGGAATTCTTTAAGGCGCGTGTAAACTATTTTTAGAAGTAACAATATCCAAGCCGCGCCGCGCGTCACGTGTCGTCGTCGCGGTTCACAAAGGACGAATACCGAAAACTTTTACCACAGTTTAATTAAACTACAAAGAAAACAATAAAAATAAAAACTTACCCGAACATCGCCGTGTTTCGAACCTGGAGACAGCGGATAATTTTTACCGGTTTCGTTCACCATGACTGTGTTTACTTCGTCGCCATCTTTAAAAACACGGTAACATATAACAGAGCGTCGTCGTGAATTTACGCATTCAATTTAAGATACGTACTCTGTCCGAACTCCTCCTCTTCGCAGAAAGATGTCCTTTGAGGTGAGACCCGGGAGGGTTTACTTGGTCCGCACCCCATGTGTTCATTGCAGCTTCGTAATGCCTCCAACAAGCTAACAAACTGTAACGATAAACCAAAGCGATCTTATATTTTAAATCTCGCGTAATTTAGGTAACATCGTAGCCCGTCTTAAGTTCACGGTTAGTATGTTAGGGTAACGTTTTGCATATTTAACGGCCGAATAAAAAAAGCAACAGAGGATGCGCATTATCCAATGAGTATTGTGCCAGTTGGACTATTCTTAGTCGTTTTTCTTTCTGGATCCGTTCCAAAATTGAATTTTATGTTATATATATAGGGAAAACAGTTTCGAAACTGTTCCAATGACGAAAATATAAAATTATCGTTTTTCGCTCCCTAAAAAATCTCAAATTACGTTCTACACTTTAAAAAAATTATTATTATTTTCTAGACTTAAATGTCAAGGCGTCACTCGTCGGGGAAAAACTAATTAACTATTACGTCAAACCGTACGTAATCAGCAAACAAAACGTCACATTTCAGCAATTTCTTGGATAAAATTACGGATAAACACGAAACGGGAGGAAAAATAAAATAGAATTATAAATTAAAACGCTTCAAAAATTTTGTTTTGCGCTTCTTACCGGAAGAAAGAAAACAAAAGAATATTTTACCTTTTTCTAACGCACGATATCTTACCTAAAAGCATCGCGTGCCGCGTTAATATTGAACAGGATGCTTTATTGCATTTCCTATTAAAAAACCTCTACTCGTTGCGCGGGAGTAATTGCATAATTCCAACATTAAAAATTTCCTGCTTCTTTTAAAATTATCGCTCTATCGTTTTTAATGGGAAAAATAAAAACCAAAATAATGACGTTCGGCGGCAGAAAACTGTAAATTATTTTCCGAATAATTTAGTAATAATCGTTAAATACTTTTAAGATTTTAAATTACATATTCAGCAATATTTTTGGATGTTTTTAAACGTTTTAATTTGTTTATTTTTATTTATCGATCGACCGCCTATCGCTTACAAAACAATACCAAAGAATTGAAAAGGATAATTACCGATCGAATTTAAATACTTAAAAAACAAATAACAACAAGAAAACGTCTTACCTTCTTTTAATTTTCGTTTTAAATCCATTTTTCTGACGTCGGCGGCTTTAATAAAATTCTCTCTCTCTCCTTTCGACTTTCGAATATTGTATTTACGATGTTTCTAAATAGCCATGTGTTCAGTTACCTGAGCAACCAGACGGCGCTCGATCTTGTCACGTGACAAGAAGATATTTGTATTTATTTAGCTGCCTTTAAAAGTTTTTTCGGTAAATACGTTCGGAGTGCGAAGCAATTAAATGTCACATAAAAGGATCGAACATCGTTTAAAATTTCAAATAAATAGAAATAAATGACGTAAAGTTTCTTTAAAAAAATTAACCTAATTTATTCTAATTTATCTGAAAATTTGATCTCGATGCGTGTTTATAATGCGTTTCGTGTTGCCATCTTCGATCGTTTTTGTAATTATATTTAAAAAATATAATTGATAAATAAATATAAAAAAATATTTGTAATATCAATTATATCTTCGCTCTTCGGCTTCATTATTAATTTGTTTCGAAAAGTCAAAATTATCGTTATTTACATAATTTTTATATCGATTAACAAAAAAGTTTCTGGCAGGTGGCTGCGTGTTATTGGACGTTAAATAATTAAAATTCCAATAAAGTTTTACGTCGATTTTACTGTGATTTTTAATTTTAGGCGGACCTTTCTATAAATAATTATTGTTTAAGTAAAATTTCGAATAGGAAATAAAATTTCTTTACGTTTTGTACATTCAAAATTTTTAAATTAAAAATCGATACCACGTTATTAATTACGATGATTAACGATAGATGGCGCTAACTTAATTTTAAAACTCCCGTTTAAAATTAAGTTAGCGCCATCTGTTATTTAAAAATAGAGTTACGGAAGCTCTCCCTATACGTTAATTTGCAGATTTGACACGGTATCGACTGCTAAATATATTTTAAGTTTTGTAATTATTATTAAAATAGATTTTTAGCGAAATTCCCGACGATACTTTCGACGAGAGACGAAAGGATGTCGAGAGTAGTGTATCACGTGTTTCCAATATGGCGTCGGTGACGGAGCAGTTCCATAATAAAGCGGCGTTAGGAAACGAAGACGATATTCAAAGGAAGTTGCTAGTAACGCAGGTCAAGTTCGATCGCGTTTGTCGTCAGATCGTCTTACTCAGTCACCAGATTTCTTATCTTAAAAAATTATATCGAAGAGCGGAAAATAATAATAAATATGCCATCAGATACAACATCAGGATGAGGATGTCGATCATCAGCGGAATCAAGATGATGTATCATCACTACGCTACTATCAAAGCGGAAGAAATCAATCAGTTCAGGAATGTGCTGTCCGAATTAAGAAATTCCACTCAAAGAAATCAGTCGATTTCCATTCTGTAGTAATTGTTTGCACTACAATTGGCTGTTGTGTAAGACGCTCGCGGGATGCCAAGAATGAAAGGACTGTTACAGAAGCATTACGTTAAAAATTGTTATTAAAATACTTATCCAAGCGAATCATCTTAATTGTTCTGTCTGCAAACATTCATTTATATTCTTATTTACTTTGACATTTTTAAGACTGGTTAAAAATGTAATTTACTACTAAAAATGTGATAAACAGTAGTAAAAAATTGATAAATTATAGAAAGTTGTGTTATATTTTAACTCTTAATATTTGAGTGCACCAATTTATTTTATAAAAGCACTTTTTTGTTTTGCCGAAGACAGGAATAAATTGTTTTACCGAATGCCAAATGTTTTTCTAGAGAATCGTTTCCAGCGGCAAAAGTAAATTTCCCAGAACTCGAGATTATTAGAGCATTAATTTGCCAGGATATTGCCAACTGTTAAATCGTGACGTGGTACGAAATTATAAATGCTATATGTTTCTTTAATCAGTGTTAGGTATGTTAAACACAAAATACTTTCTTATAAATATTTTTGCTTGGTTACAAAAACATTTTGGATGTGGCGTCGCAAATTTGATCCCGGGTCCCCCTCCGAGTCTTGCTGCCTTCTGCAATTATGGCATCGCTTTTTTTTAGGGTGGAACGAAAGTTGAAAAGTTCTCCAAATGATTTTTTTATCAATAGCTAAACATTCTGTATATACTTTATAGATTTTGATCTAGAAATTATAAGATTTTCATGTTTATTATAAATATTTTAAATTCTAAATTGAAATTTTACAAATATTTAATGATAAACTGTAGCTTTTTATGGGAAAGGATATTGAATAACTAAGGATAGTCTTATGTTAAAATACAAAACGCGGGCGTCGAGAAACGAAATGAAAGGCCATCCGACGACCGTAGTAATTATTAAATGTAAGAATGAGACAATTAGTAATATACAATATTTTCATTATCACAAGTTAAATACAAAATATTAAAATCCAGTTTAACTGACATATTAACTATTAAACCTATCCATCCATTGAAGAAAAGAAAAATGGATGGATAGTTTAATAGTTAATATGTCAGACATAGAAATAGTTTGAGCCCAAGATTACATTACAATAAATATATATTAGTGTTAGGTATTTGAGACTAAGAAGAAAACAAACATTTAAGACTAATATTAACCTATAAGTTCAAAAAATGTTTAATATAATCAAGATGGGTTGATTGATGATGATGACGATGATGATTGTAGCAGAGCCCAAACGATTAAAAGTCGAAATTTGGTACACAGGGTACATCGTGAGAATATACACTAAAAAGGAATTTTTAGAAATACCTACGTGGGGGAGAAGGTTAAGGATTTTGCTAAAAAACTACTACTACTGTACTATTTTAAATGCAGTTTCTGTGGGAAATCAAACATATTTTTAGACCCATCTAAAAATTCTCTAATTAGACTTGGAAGAGGGGGGACTTAATTCTTGCACCCAATGAAAACGGGTAAGATCGGCAGTATAACTATAAGGGTTTATCACACCGAGCGACCAATCTGACACATTTTTAAAATTCTTTATTCTTCTGTACAATTTAGAGAATTTTTAAAATACCTTACAAGTTAGATTGGGCAGTCTGTGTGATAAACTCTTACATAAGACAACTTTTGTAAATATTGGGTTGATGCAAAAGTTCGTCCCGTTTTTTTTAAAAGAATCAAAGAAAAATTTTATTTACTAAAACTTACATTTAATCAATATAGTATGTGCCATTCTGTTCGATGACCTTTCTCCATCTTTCCGGTAGCTGCATAATCCCGTGCTCATAGAATTTCTGAGATTTCTGGCTAAAAAACTGATCCAAGTGATTTTTCAAGTCTTCCAAGGAAGTAAAGTTTTTACCATCTAAGCTGTTTTGAAGTGATCTAAATAAATGGTAGTCAGAGGGTGCAAGGTCAGGAGAGTATGGTGGATGGACCAAAACATCCCAATCAAGTTGTAAAAGTTTTTGTCGGGTGGCCAAAGACACGTGTGGTCTAGCGTTGTCTTGATGGAACACAATGCCCTTTCTGTTGGCTAATTCAGGTCGCTTCTGGTCAATTGCTCGCTTTAATTCACTTAGTTGTGAACAGTATTTCTCTGAATTAATGGTCTGATTTTCAGGTAACAGCTCATAATAAATGATTCCCCTCCAGTCCCACCAAATGCATAGCATAACCTTCTTTGGATGTAAACTGGCTTTTGCGCTGGTTGAAGGGGCATCTCCGTGCTTACACCATGATCTTTTACGCTTAACATTATTGTACACAATCCATTTTTCATCACCTGTAATGATTCGCTTTAAAAATGGGTCAATTTCATTGCGCTTCAATAGAGAATCGCAAGCAGAAATTCGGTCTATCAAATTTTTTTCTGTTAACTCGTGCGGCACCCATACATCGGCCTTGCTTACCATTCCAAGTTGATGTAATCGCCTTGACACTGTTGACTGATTGATTCCAAGAATTTCTCCAATCTCTCGAGTTGTTTTGTGTCGATCACTTTCAATTAGTGCCAATATTTTGTCGTCATCAGCCTCGGCTGGTCGTCCAGAACGTGGTGCATCGCTAAGGTTAAAATTGCTTTCACGAAACTTTCTAAACCACTTACGGCACGTGGAATCATCAATGGCTCCCTCACCATACACAGAACATATCTTTTTTTGTGTCTGCGAAGCATTCTTGCCTTTTCGGAAATAAAAAAGCATAATATGTCGAAAATGCTCCTTATTTTCTGCCATTTGTAATGCTTAACAAAATTTTAAAAACACAACTAAGTAAGACAACTTTATTCTCAAATACTAGCTGAGATCCCTTCTGTCAAACAACGTCGAAATTTTACACATGTGAAAGAAATAACACTTCAGTGTTGCGCTTTTAGCCAGTTAGTGTTAAAAACGGGACGAACTTTTGCATCAACCCAATATAAATCAAATACTATAATATAATAGAAGGGTTAGAAATACGAAATAATCTTTGCAGTTATTTTTTGCCCCAGCAATGTTGGGCTCGTCTGCTAGTTCTGTATAAAAATAATTGAGTCTATGTTCTTGTTAAGTTTCATTGCTAAAATGTTTTAATTAGACACGCTTCTTTGTTTTTTTTTCATTAACCTAAAGTAATTTCATATTGTGAAACTTATTTGCTCACAAAAAATAATTATTACATTTACCAATCTTACCTTTGATTCTATGTCAGTAAGTCTTCTTTTCTCTTCTTGTAAAAAAATGTTGCAATTCTTTTTCCTTCTTTTTGTTCAGCTTTTGTAAATTTTGGATTTGTTCAGCTTGTCTTCTGATTTGATTTAAACTAACTTGATTCTAGGAAGAGAAAATTATTGCAAAACCTGCTCAAAGCTTCAAAATTCATAATAAAATAAAATGATCAAATATTACTTGTGTTTTAAGTTTTCAGAGAATTATTGCTTGTAATGTTTCATTATCTGTAGTAGTAATTGTTTAAAGTGTATCAATTTCAAAAATTTTCAGGTTTTATAGCATGGAAAAGCACTGATCAGCAAGATGCTAAAATATAAAACTCATCTGCAAGAAAAAATAAGTTTAATAATTTATAGATTTTTAAATAATGAAATCTTAAAAAATGATGAAAATGGCAAAACTAATATAATGTAGAAACTCTAAGTAATAGTCTATAGGAATTCTAATAGTAGTAACCATTTATAAAAATAATTTACCAGAAATTTTAAAATAGATGGTATTTTTTGATTTTACAATTTGCTTGTAATCAATCTATTTTAAGAAATTCCAGAAAACAGGCTTTTTGATTTGTAATATACAGGGTGTATCAGAATGATGTTCTAAAAATGTGGGGGATTGTAGAGGATGACATTTTGAACATTTTGATATAAAGAACCTATGGCCGTAAATGCGATATAACATTTCTACAGCACTTTGCACGTTCTATGCGGTCGGTATGCTGAATGAAACAGCAGAATATAGTATTTATGACAAGTTTTATTGACAAAAACAGTAGAGTACCATCAAACTGTACAGTACATCGAATCAGTGGCTGCACTACTTTAGAGTAAATGTTCGATGTGACGACCACCAACTTCCACTCGTATTGACTAGCTGTGTGTTTGAGCACAGCACCAGTGGATGCAAGGGGTGACCTGAAGGACAACAAGCACTAAGTACACAACGTCCTGTACAGTACGCAGGCTCAGTTAGACCACTGTAGTTGTGTGTTTACAGTCTTCCATCAGCAGCAATAACATGGCATCAACGGATGGAAGGGTAGCTACCAAAGTGAAGGGTGGTCAAGCATTTCCTACTGCTGTAGACACTGCAGTTTCCTTATATCAAAATGTTCAAAATTTCATCCTCTACAATCCCCCAAATTTTTAAAATGTTATTCTGATAAAAAAATGTATAAAAAATGCTTTAAGCATCCAATAAAATGTAGCTTGACATTTTTCAATTTAAATTTTATTTAAAAACTACAATATCATCTTTTAATTTTAAATGCAACATTAATTATAAGGTTTAATATATGCACACTACCTAAAATAGAATGCATTGCTAATGATAAACATTTTTATTTTATGTATGCAATACAAATATTTACATACTTTGTGTAAGTACTACATTTAGTAAGACCCCAATATGACTAATTGAGGTAGGAATGGGGTGTCCACTATTGCTGAGTCTTAAATCATACAAGTTTTAAAAACATATTAATGACAATTAAAAGAGGTATTAAAAAATGTTATAATATATAAGCACAAATAAATTATTATAATAATGTACCTTGAGTAATTTATACTCTGATTCATCTACCCAATCTTTTGGTGTGCTCTGTTGGCAAAAAGAAAAAAACGACAAATTTCTTGTCTTAAATTGTGGGTCTACTGTAAATTTTTTATTAAAAAAACATTATATAATTTAGAAACTTGTTAAAAACTGCAACACATTAAAGTTTTTAACATGTTTCTAAATAGAAGTAAATACATACCCTATAATGCATATTACAGGATATTTAGTTCTAAGAAAATTAAGTTTCATAGCAGAAGAATTAAAATTGGGAGTTGATTTCTATCTTTATGCAGAAAATGTAATGAAATTATTTTTGTAATTGGAATGGGTTTTTTCCCCTTAGAAAAATACTAAATTTAAGGATATAAAAATTATTTGCATAGTTAATTTGTCATTAAAAACCATTATTTACTACAAAATAATCAGAAATTTTAAAATGAAAATAGAAGAGCCTTCAAGCATGTTTGTAAATGGTTAAAAACAATTTAGTTTATGAAAACTTCTAGTCAATACCTCAGATTAAAAGAAAATGAAAATGTTATTTTCAGTATTTGATAACTCAAAACAATTTCCTAATTGTTAAAAAATTTAGTTTGTATCAAATTATTTTTGTTCAGCTTAAAATATTTTTATAAAATTGACATAAACAAGCATTTATTTATAATTCTCTTTATTTCCCAACACAAACAGTGAAATTATATAACAGAAGTATCTTTGCAATTGTTATACAAATCTCAACAAAAATCTTTTGGATTTTTCTTGCACATTCATTTATAACCAAACAATTCTTGAGATTATTACATTTAACACAAATGTTGGGCATGATTTTGAATAGTAGATATGTACAATATCTTTCTTGGGGCAATTATTTATCCCCTTCACTTCCAATGACGATTCCTGATCGAGATTCTCGTCTACAAAAACCCACGTGTGGATTCGAATCGTCGTCAAAAAGGTCTCGTAGGTGTCAATCAAGAAATGTCCTCCACATACATATACACTATATATATATATATAATTTTTTCATAAATATTTATATTGTAAAACATACAACATAATACTTGAAATCTGGTAATAAATCTATTGCCTCAGAGAGCATCTTCCAAAAGGACGAACGCCCAATCACACTTTCCTGGAACTTCTGTGGTAAAAATTGTGACCTGTGTCAACTATTTACACTGATACGGCATGCGCAAACACGTGCATACACACAATATTTACAGTAATGATAAAATATTAGAAATAAATAAACAAAGAGTACATAGAATATATATATATATGTATATATGTATATATATATTCTTATATATATAGTATTTTTTTTAAAAGCAGAAGAATTTTACAAACAGTATATCTTGCCTCTCCCTGAAGTTCGACAATGCGATCTTGTAATTCTTTTACTTCGTCATTCTCTACACCTCCTCGTAGCTGTCTAGCAGTCATGATTTCTTGATTCTGTAAGAAAATACATTATATAAGAATAGTAAAAATAATTTAATAAGCTATACAAAAAGTAAAAATAGTTTTATAAGAAACCTTTATTTCTAATGCAGATATTTTTTGTCTCATTTCTGCAATTATTTGTTCTTGTTCCACTTCTCTTATTCGTGACATCATTTGCTGTTCCTTCTCCTTAAAAGAAATTACTTTTTTCAATATCTTTTGGTTTTTTAAATCAATTTAAATTACATAAAAGTATTTTATATTTGATAAAATATATATTAGAATAAAATAATGTAACAAATTCCATCTCCTAAACTGAAATTTTAACACTGCACAGCCTTTTATATTGCATTCAAAATTATTGGATCACAAATTATTGCAAAAAGCTAAATTTCTGTGGACACTGTATGAATTGTATGCCACAAGGCAGCCTTTTACCTTCAAAATTAAGAAAGTCTGCCTAAATGAGTACCCGATAGCTACCAAAAAAAAAAAAAAAATTAAACTCACAACTTAAGTTACTGTTTTATAATTAAATATTGCTTTTATATTAGAATAATTTTTATGCAAATAATTAAGTATATTTAAAAACAATGGTATTAAGCATTTATCTAAAAACAAATTCACGATCTTGCATAGAATATGCATATATTACACACTTAAAAATTATTGCTTTCAGCATTAATGATAATTTTTGATAAATTCTCTCTCCACACAATTACATATTTCAGATACAATTACTTATTTTAATTTTTGCTCTGTGTTTCTAGATTTCTGAAAAATTAAAATCAGAGAACAAAAATTTTTAAACAGTGTAACAGTAAAATTATTAATTGGTCCCTTTCAAAAGTTTCAATATCACAAAGCAGATACACTGTAGATGGACGGATGTAGCTGTCATACGACTTATACTTATGTAACAAATGCTACAGTTTTTGAGTTTTGTTGTTACCAAGGGCATTCGAGCAAAGCTATTTGATTGGAAGCAAACAGTATAGTACATTAATCCCCTTAAAAAACTACGTGTATCGTTATTACACTTCTCCATTAACAGTTTTAATTAGTCCTTTCTGATTGAGTTGTAATAGTAAATGTTCATTTGTTACATCGTCACCTGTACCGTTATTTCTGCTATATATTAGATGATTGTCTAATAAATTCGTCAGTCTGTTGATGGAGTTGTTTCCTCTATTTTCATTGCTGCCGGAAGTCATGCCATCATTCTGATATGTGTTGTAGGCAATGGCCGAAGTCAATTGCTTATTCAGGTTTTCTAATCTTGTTATCTAAATTTATAATTGTTGTATTTTAAATAAACTATATATTTTTTTTAAAAGCAGAAGAATTTTACAAACAGTATATCTTGCCTCTCCCTGAAGTTCGACAATGCGATCTTGTAATTCTTTTACTTCGTCATTCTCTACACCTCCTCGTAGCTGTCTAGCAGTCATGATTTCTTGATTCTGTAAGAAAATACATTATATAAGAATAGTAAAAATAATTTAATAAGCTATACAAAAAGTAAAAATAGTTTTATAAGAAACCTTTATTTCTAATGCAGATATTTTTTGTCTCATTTCTGCAATTATTTGTTCTTGTTCCACTTCTCTTATTCGTGACATCATTTGCTGTTCCTTCTCCTTAAAAGAAATTACTTTTTTCAATATCTTTTGGTTTTTTAAATCAATTTAAATTACATAAAAGTATTTTATATTTGATAAAATATATATTAGAAGAAATGGCATAGCCTGAGAATTTTTGTTACAAGTTCTCTGATAAATTATTTTCTTGTTTATGTAATGTCATAAAATGAATCCATAGCAATAGCAAAAAGTCAAAAATGAAAATATATTTTCATTCATTTTCAGTCAAATGATAAAAGGTGGAGTCAAACATAATATGAATCAATCAATCCATTAAAATTTAACATTCTCAAATGAATAGACACGATTTCACAGATTAAATAATGATAATTTCTCTCATAACTAAAAAGATAATTATCTCCAGTTAATCGAAACATTTCATGAAATTCTAATTTTAATCCTTCGCCATTAATTTCAGATGCATGACAATGTGGCCCACACCGAATTGTTTCTAAAGTCATTGAAGCCATATCTGTTATCTTTCACAATTCTAGATAAAATATATTCTTTATTTCATTTCTCAATTTGTCAATAAAGTTAATATTAATTATAGATAAATGCTCGTAAATAAGGATAACTCCCTCCTCTCCATACTATGCCACACTATTGAGAAAGGACTTAAAGCCTTTAATCTGAATTTTTCAAATATCAGTATTTTAATCACTACTAATAAATAAATACTTAAAAAAGTTGCTAATAAATCTTAATAAATTTGTTATAAAAGTTTCATTAGTCTAATAACACCTAAATGTTACACAATTTTTTTTTTTGAAATATGGAAGCAATATTATAATTAACTATCCAAAATTATATAAGTTATCAAATTATTATTTCAACAACCCAATAGTGCTGTTTTTTCCCAAAACTTATGTATGTCTGTCATGTAATACTACTATATGTCATAACTAACATACAGTAGTTTGATAAGTTTGGGAAGAAACAACACTATTGGGTTGCTGAAACAATAATTTGATACAAATCCGAACAAGAAGTTAAATGAAGTATATGAGTTATTCTAGGCCAAGTACTTAAATATAGATAATTATTCTAATAGGGTTCAAGGTTATATATATACTAGCTGCAAGGACCCACTTCGCTGGGTTTTTATTTCTATGTAATATAGTTTTTTTATATATAAAAGACTGTTTTTCTATGTAATCTAGAATCTAGCTGCAAGGACCCGCTTCTCTGGGCAAAAAGTAACACTAGTGAAGATTAAGATAAGTACATTATAGCCAATCTTACCCGTTTTCACAGAATGCAAGAATTAGGTCCTTTGTTTCCAGACTAATTAGAGAATTTTTATGTCCAGTCAAACGAACTATTTTCAATTTGATCAATTTTCTGGAACGTTTACAATCGTTCTATAATCGAACCAATTCGAATTCGAATATTGTTCGAATTAAATTCGAACAAATTCGAATATAACATTCAAAATAGAAAACCACTTTCAACCACTTTCAGCCCCATATCTCCCGCACCCTTATAGCTATCGAGACGCAACCACCATAGTGCACGAATGGAGACTTGGGGCTACCACCACATACAAACAGCATTCATGTGCGATGTGTAGTTTTTGTGGAAAAGTGAAATATAGGGACACACACGTCCATTTTTATATATATTCAAGTTTATAATAATCTTATGTTTTTAAGACAATTTCTGCATCTTTGAAAGTCACAAAAATAGTAAAAATCATATATTCACATCTAGGCCATCTAAATGATCAATGATAGATGTTGATAAGTAATTAAGGACAAGAAGCATCTACATGCACTTTGGACACAGATGCTACTTGTCCTTAATATTAATTATCAAACTATCCATCCATTTTTATTTTTCTTCAATGGATGGAGATGGACAGTTTAATAGTTAATATGTCAGACATAGAAATACCATTAACAATTTTGAATGTGGGCCCAAGATTACATTACAGTAAACATATTTTAATTAGAAATGGTGTGCTCTCTTCCCTCAGTATAACAAGTCCTAGTTCATAAGAACATCGAAAGTGGACACAAGTATATGATCAAAGATAGAGTTGGGGAAGAAAACAAAAATCTTTTGTTACAGCAAATACAGTTGAGTTGCAATCAATTAGTTTGCAGAAATAATATATAGTGTGGCAAGTCTACAAAAAAAGTGGGGTGTGGCTGTGTCGGGGACACGGCCGTGTGTTTTACGTGAATACGTGTATGTTAACGGGTAATATTTTCTTTGAGCGTATCATATGAATGTCATAATCATTCCTTAACAGTAAGAAGTCCTTCAGATCTCCACGTTTTTTTAAGTTCCTGGCACCGCTTCACTCTATCATATGGTGTTTTATGGGTATCACTGGATTGCTCAAGAAGCCCTTTCCAACTGTATATGATTTCTATATTTTGATTTGGCTTTTCGACGAGTATAGGCCAACATTGTATTAAGTTTTCTTAATTTTTAACTTTAACACCATATACATTCACCATAACTATTCCACACTAAGGTTTTGTGTATGCAATCGATAAATATTGACGAGAGCTGTAAATTGAAACTCAGCGTCATAGCTTCTCAGAGTCAAAATGTATACTAAACGGAAAGTATGTGACATGGAGAAACGACCTCAAAATGGTGGCACTACCCCCTCTGCCGCACGCGATGTGTCACAGTCCCCACTCAAAGTAATGAATTCTTTTATCCTTTAACTATCGAGTAGTGTAATAAAATTTTGGATGTAGATGATGATATGTAGCTGCAATGCCAAACTGTATCCCCCAATTTTGTTATCATCAGTTTTCTGAATTGCCTCCCACTATTGAAGCAAATTTAAAGGCACATTCACGTCAAAAGTAAAACTGAAAGTACAAGCTTTCCAAGTTCTTCAATAATCTCACTTGTTGGATTTTCCAGAAAGTAGAGTAAAGTAATTATCTTTGTACAACTTTATATATTGAAAATAAGAAATGGATATTCAAACTGTATTATCTGATCTTAGTATTTGAGACTAAGAAGAAAAAAACACACATTTAAGACTAATATTAATCTATAACTTCAAAAATGTTTAAATAATATAAATCTGTATAAAAATAATTGAGTCTATGTTCTTGTTAAGTTTCATTGCTAAAATGTTTTAATTAGACACGCTTCTTTGTTTTTTTTTCATTAACCTAAAGTAATTTCATATTGTGAAACTTATTTGCTCACAAAAAATAATTATTACATTTACCAATCTTACCTTTGATTCTATGTCAGTAAGTCTTCTTTTCTCTTCTTGTAAAAAAATGTTGCAATTCTTTTTCCTTCTTTTTGTTCAGCTTTTGTAAATTTTGGATTTGTTCAGCTTGTCTTCTGATTTGATTTAAACTAACTTGATTCTAGGAAGAGAAAATTATTGCAAAACCTGCTCAAAGCTTCAAAATTCATAATAAAATAAAATGATCAAATATTACTTGTGTTTTAAGTTTTCAGAGAATTATTGCTTGTAATGTTTCATTATCTGTAGTAGTAATTGTTTAAAGTGTATCAATTTCAAAAATTTTCAGGTTTTATAGCATGGAAAAGCACTGATCAGCAAGATGCTAAAATATAAAACTCATCTGCAAGAAAAAATAAGTTTAATAATTTATAGATTTTTAAATAATGAAATCTTAAAAAATGATGAAAATGGCAAAACNTTATTCTCAAATACTAGCTGAGATCCCTTCTGTCAAACAACGTCGAAATTTTACACATGTGAAAGAAATAACACTTCAGTGTTGCGCTTTTAGCCAGTTAGTGTTAAAAACGGGACGAACTTTTGCATCAACCCAATATAAATCAAATACTATAATATAATAGAAGGGTTAGAAATACGAAATAATCTTTGCAGTTATTTTTTGCCCCAGCAATGTTGGGCTCGTCTGCTAGTTCTGTATAAAAATAATTGAGTCTATGTTCTTGTTAAGTTTCATTGCTAAAATGTTTTAATTAGACACGCTTCTTTGTTTTTTTTTCATTAACCCAAAATAAAACTGTAAAATATTGTAAAATTTATTTGTCCATAAAAAACAAATATTACATTTACCAATCTTACCTTTGATTCTATGTCAGTAAGTCTTCTTTTCTCTTCTTGTAAGAGATGTTGCAATTCTCTTTCCCTTTCTTCTTTTTGTTCAGCTCTTTGTTGTAAATTTTGGATTTGTTCAGCTTGTCTTCTGATTTGATTTAAACTAACTTGATTCTAGGAAAAGAAAATTATTGCAAAACCAGCTCAAAGCTTCAAAATTTAATAAAAAATAAAATTATCAAATATTACTTGTGTTTCAAGTTCCATGACTTTTTGCCTAAGTTCCTTTAATTCTGCCACTGCTTCTGTCTCAGATAACTTGGCTGACATGAGTTCTTCTTGAAGTTGAGACACTGTTGTCTTATCCTTTTTCTTATTATTGCTGGCATCAGCTTGGGATTCCTCCAAATGTTTCTACAATTTTGATTAAATCAATGAAAATTGAATGGAACTTACAATTTTTTAAAAATTTATTTAAAACATTAAGCCTAATTAATTGGCTACTTATGGGCTCCAATAAGAATAATAAAGTTTGATCTAAAATAGTCTAAACTAACAAATTTGGTCTAAAGCTAATCATTCTCATTATTGTCTAAAATAACCCAATTAATAAGACTTAAGGTAATTGAAATACTATATCCATTACAAATATTTTTACCTCCCACATGGCCTTGAGATCTGCCACCTTTTGTCGTAGTTCCTTTACAAATAATTTAGCTTCGGCTTCCCTCAGTTTAACAACAATTAGCTCTTCTTGAAGATTTGCAATATCATTATCCGGTTTCATTTCACGAAGCTGCTTATTTGTCTAATAAAACAAAGAATGAGATGAGATTGGAATTCACTCAAAAATTAATTTTTGATAAACAAATGTCTCAAAGTTCTCAAGACTTTTGTCTTTTTTAAATTTAAATTTTATTAGGATCTTTTTCTTAATCATAAAAATAAAGTATCTTCAATATAGCTTTTATAGTATAAATTAATGATATTATAGTATTCCCCAGAATAAGAATGGAGTTGATGTGCTGGATCTTAAATGTGTATCACTTTGTTACTGTAACTAAACGATGAGTAGAGCAAGTTGAATAAAACAGAACACAGTAAAAATTTCAAAAATTCAATCATGTCATATGGCATTGCAAGACTTTTTAAATAATTTTTCATAATCTCAAATTTCTTGCAAAAATGTTGAAAACTTCAAATAAATTATATAAACATACATGTATATATAATAAATATTGACTCCATTCTTATTCTGGGAAAGACTGTTTCAGCAAAAAACTAGTTTGATGAGAATAATCTTAAAGATTAAATTTGAATAATTAATCTTCCATTAAAGAATTCTATTGACAAATAACTATATAAATGACATATTTTCATATTTTAAAAATAAATATTGTAAATTGAATCAATCAAATTTCAGCATGACAAGAAAAAAATCCCAATATAATAAAGATCAATATAAAAACTAAATTTGAGAAAAAAAAAATCATTAATATGACATTCTTGAAAATCATTATTACTGCATACTTCTTCTAATTCCTGTATTCTCTGTTTTATTTCTTTCATTGTTTCTTGAGTTTCGGCTTCTTTCAACTTCACTGCAACCAATTCATCCTGTAGAGACTGAACTAGTCTCTCTGTTTCTTCATCTAAAGAGGGAGGTTGGGAATTTATCTGTTTGATAAATTAATACACAGTTAAAATATTTGAATTTAAATCAACTGAAAGATGATAAAATGCATTAAAATTTCTCATTTCCATAAAATGTCCAAACATATTGTATACATATAAATATTTAAATACACAGATTAATAATAATAATAACCTCATTTAAATGTTTTATTTCTTTCTTCGCTTCTTCTAATTTTTGTTGAACATCAAGCTCTTGTTGCTTCAGAAGAACTAGTTCTCGTTTAATAGTAAAATTGTCTTCGGCCTCTTGAGCTCGACTCACCTGACCCTGAATGAGTTTGTCTGCCAATGCTGAACTTTCCTAAATATCGAAACCAATAATAATTTGCCAAAAATCTTAAATACAAGAAGCAAAAAAATATAGTTCTTCATAATTATACAAAAAAGTATTTTACATTTTGATAATTTGATATAAATTCAAATAAAATCTTAAAATATTAAACAATTTTTAAGATAATATATGAAATTTCATATATCTAAGAAAAATATGCCCAATTCTGTTCATTTTTTTGGGCTGCAATTTGAAAAAATTGTAGATCTATAAATTTCCACTGTCATCTGTCTGTCTGTCCTTTATTCTCAAGAATTGTATTAAATAGATGAAAGACCAGATCAGGAAAGCTTAGGGGCAGGAAGTCCTGATTAACTATATACAAACTTCTGCTTCAGGACAGAAGTCACATTATTTCAATTCAAAAATTTTCTCCTGAATTGGCTTGACTGTGTTGCTATCAGGAAAGTATAATGTACAGGGACAAGACACTACTAAAGTGTATTATGACAAAAAATTGCATCCTGGTATTGTGCCAATGTCACAATAAATAATTGCTCATATAATTTAAATTATTATTAATATTTAGTAAAATATAAAATTATAGCCTGTTTGCTAATTTAAAAATCTGCAATGCATTGTATAAAGTTATGTAAACTAGTCAAAATTAAAGTAAACAATTGTTATAATTCAACAGAGTTATGATAAACAAATAGTAGTAGTGGAATTCAAGAATGAAATATTTGATTACTTAACAAAATACTATTTATTAAACTTTTAAAAAATATTTTAATAAAATGTTAATCTATAAGTCAAATTTATGACATGGCTAACTTAAAACTTCAGTAATTTTAAATTTTACTTTTGAAAACTATGACCAAGTTTGTGTGTAGAGTGGCCAAAAGTTAATTAACTGAAACATTTTAAGAATTCTAACAACCAGTCTGATATATAGTTACATGTTATTTTTTATGATTATTTGTGATTCATTCACTTCACTGAAGTGAATGAATCACAAATAATAAGATGCAATTATTCCAAACCAGTTTTAGCTGTATATGATATCAAAGTTTTACAAAATTTAAAAATTTCTAAGTTATTACTTAATTATAAAGTTTTAATCTTGGTCATAAGTAAAAATAATTCTTTAAACTGTACACATCTGTTGAAATGAGAATAACTATATAAAATAACTAAAAATGTAATATCCAGTGTATTTAGAAAGTAACAAAAAAGAAAAAATGCATAAAAATTTATTAAAAGTTTGAATTGATATTTCACTTTGATTGCTGATATGCAATAAGAATGGACTTTAATGAAGTTTAATAATCAAGATACATACTGTATGAATTAAACCTAAATAACTAATCATTGTTAATTTTAAAATTAAACTTTATACCTGCTCAAGATTTTCTATTCTTTGCCTTAATATTTTATTTTCAGTTCTTAATCTCTGAAAAATATAGATTTAAATAAATGTACAATAAATTTTAACTAAGTTTATTATCAATATGATCACAAAACTCAGTTATAGTTACCCTTAATTCAACCATTTCTTCTTGCTCTTTTACTTTTAATAGAGTGTATTCTTTCTCCATTCTAAACAACAGGAAATTGAAAAAAAATCATGTTCAATTCACACTAATACTATATTAGTTAAAATGAGAAAAACAATTTATAATGAGGAAAGGTAATAACTGAAATTTGAAAAAATATCTTTTCAAAGTCTTTAAAACAGCATTAATATACAACCGATATAATGAAGATTTTAAATATGTTTTGTTTTAAAAGTTACTTTAAATCTAATACATGTAAATGCAATTTAAAAAACATTTCCAAAATATATTTTTTTGCTGTTAACTATTATATCAATAATAATAATAATGATGATAATAAATAAGAAACATCAAAATTATTGATACATAAGGCTATAACTATATACATATACATACACACATACATAAGGCAAATAGTAACCACACACATTTAAACTTACATTCTGAACATGTGGAATAGCTCAACACAAATAACAGATACCATTAAGCAGTCATGGGCCCAAAAGGGACTTTCATGGCAGGCATCCCTATGACCTAGCTCAGGATTAGGTTCACAAAACTGTGTCAAACTACTGGCTGACTAGGGACTGCCTGTTTAGAGAGACTGAGGGGTTTTATGGTTACCATTCAAGACCAGATCATAAACACTAAACTACAGAAAACACATTCTGAAGGTTACACCACTCACAAATGACTCTTACAGAAAGTGCTACATTCTGTAACATATTACTTCTGGTTGCAAACTCTTAGCACAGACTATTAAACACCCAAGCACCATACTACAAATTATTCCACAGGCATTATTAGAAAATGACATGCAAAATATACAATTACAGGACTATAATCGTAGATAAAACAATTCATCACAACAGACCTGATACCACTTCTATCGACAAATGTAATAAGACCAATTATATAATAGACATTTCCATTCAAAACATGAAAAATACCCACACAAAAAAAAATCAAGTACACTCCAATATCCTAAGAAATAAAGACAACTATAGAAGATGGACAGGGTATTTATTGTACCTATTTGTCCTCTCTTCTACTAGTGGCATACCAAATACACTACACAAAAATCAAGAAACTTTAAACCTTAATAAAAACATACACAGCACTACAGAAAGTTGCAATACTGAACACACATTACACTGTTAGGAAGTTTCTAGACATGGACACATAACAATAATACAGAAGCTTAATGTTAACTTATTTGGGTAGCTTTGCCTTGACTTTAGTCCTGCATAATACGTGGCACCAGCATCAGCTGAGCATGACATTTGAAATATATTTCAATAATAATTATTATTATTATTATATTATAAATCATTATTATTATGGTTATGTTTTTAAATGGAATTTGATATAATTTAGGTATTCTCAAAATTGATTACTTAAGTAAAAACTACCAAATAGATTACAAAACCACAAATTTTAAAAATAGTTGACTGTAATCATAAGTAATCATGATCAGCTTTTTTAACATTTGAGAAAGTGAGAACAACAAACTAGAATTTAATTTTATAGAATAAGTGAAAACAAAATGCTTTAAAATAATTTAATATTGTCTATGTTTAAATACTGCTTACAAAATAAGCAAATAAAAATTTTAAAAATTTTTTGTAAACATTAAATAAAATGTAGAATTCAAATCCAAATCTTTAACTATTTTCTACTAGTTATTTATAGAAAAAAGAGCCCTATTTGATTAAAAGAAACTATAGTCATAGTAATTTATCATATCAAATATTTTCTAACTTCCATTTCAAACTCAGATGTTTACCAAAAAAACAATTTCCAAATTTCTGAAATAATTGGTAAGAGTATCGTGTCACTTTCCTAGGGACATAACAGATTACACTGAATCTTTCTGTGTATAAGACAACCCTGTACTATGTGGACCACCTTGTTTTTTTTGTACCTCTACTGTGTATACTGTATGCTACTCTAAACTCTATTCCAACCAAGAAATTCCTTTGTTTACCTCACTACTACACTCTGCACCAGCTACAATAATAATAATAAAGTACTGACTAAATTTCAGTGTGTTCTGTTTTGTTTATTTCACATTATATACTTGTCACTGCAAATTCAATGTGTAATTCTGACAAAGATAAAATATGTTTCAAATAAACTGTTTTTATCTTCTTTGAAATCAATTTGTATCATAAATTACTTTACAGTTTTATTCATGTAAATTTCTTTCAAAAGAGAAAAAAATGAAAATCATTATATCATCAGAAACTATGAAGATAAGATTTGAACTGTATGATAATTTTAATACCGAAATTGGAAGTAAATAATTAAATATGAATGTATTTCAATGGAATGCTTTTTGAAAATAAAACAGGTTTCATTTACAAATTATTCAACCATTAAATATTTTATTTTAATTTATATAAAAGATCTGCATTTTGGAGGTCAGTTAATTCAGTCATAACAGGAATGGCAGAATATGACTCACTTTGTTGTTTTTATAATTTATTAAAGTAGACAAACTAATAGTCATGCTTTAATTTGGTAAATTTTTATTACATTAACATTTTTTATCATAGATTTTAATATCTCTTTCAGTATCAAAAATAATTCATACTTTGAAAAAATACTTTCCTTTCTTTGTAAAACTAATATAAGATGTTTACATTTTATAAATTATTTACACTTATAGTTTTCTTATATGAAAACTTTCATTATACAATTTTTTCATTAACATGAAAAATAATTTTCCATATAAACATTTTATTGTATCAATACTTAATAAATAAAATTACACAAGAAAAATGTGCAAAAATTTAATATCTATATAAAATTTAAACATGATCCAATATAAATCATACTGTATAACTTTAAGAATAAAATAATTTAATATAGTATTAGAATTTAAGCTTTGGAAATTACAGATTTAAATTCAAAATTCTTATCAATTTTGATCTTAAAGTGGGCATAGAAGTAGCCATTAGACTACTTAAGGTGTTTAAAAATGAAGAAAATTTGTATGCAAAAACTCAGATATTAAATTCAGAGCTACTGTTCAAATTTGTTTCTATATCTTAAGCATATATTGTTTTTGTGCTTGGGATTTTAAAATCAGTCTAAGAGTGGTGATAACTTTTTGTGATAGAAAATAGGAAAAAATCATCATCAGATTAAAGTATATTTTATAACAAACTTTTATGTATTAGTTATTCTTAGTTGTATTTAATATTAAGTTTCCTTTTTTGTATGATATATTGACCCACTTAGATCATGACAACAATACTATTCAGTTGCTGATTATTTTCTAAACTTAATTTTCAGTAACTATGAGCAAGTTTAGAAAATCAGCATTATTATACTGTGTATATATATACATACACTTTCATTGTGATATTTAATAATAAATTTCAACATTATAAATGTTTATATTCAATTACAAACACAGTTTTGAAAATTTTATATCTTTTCTATTATTCTGTCATTGAAAAGTACAGATTAAAAACCCTAACTACATAACATTACTGTTCTTTGATGACACATTTTATTAGATGTTACTAATCTGTTTTGTCAATTAGACAATTATTATGTATAGAATATTATAGCAATAATAAATGTATTTATTATTTCTGTAATAATATATTATTATTATAATACTGAATCACTAAATATAAAAATTTTTGCAATTATTTAAAAATAATTTTTCTTTCAAATTTTATAGTATATAACAGACTAATTAAACATAAAGCAATAATTTTAAAAATTAATATTACTTTTTTAATTTCTTTCCATTAAACTTCACTTGAAGGGCCAAATTAATAAGAAAATCTGGATCAATTTCACATTTAGCAGGCATTTCCTTTTGAAAGTACTGAAAATATAGATTTAAGAATTCAATTATAAGATATAAAAATTTGTAAATTATTAGTTATTGAAAATTAAGTTCTACCTTAAGCATTCCTTCCATATCAAGTTGCAATAGATCTTCTTTACAAAACTGAAGAATAGCTACAGCAATTCTAAATATCATTTCCATTCCCTTTGTAAAAAGTAAATTTGATAAATTGTCAAATTTAAGACTATTACACAGTGAATAAAAAAATTATTTCGTTATAGAATTAAATATATATATATATAGAGCAGAGTCCTGCAAACTCAACTTAATCTTAATGTGAACTGAGAAGGCAACAAGTTAATGAAAATAACAAGTTTTATAGACTTTGCAGTGGATTATTCACAATTCATAATACATTGCTACAAATTAATCTTTTAAAAATCTTTTAACACATTCACAGCTAAAGAAAATCTACAGTACAATCTAACAAAATAATTACTGTACTACAAATGAAGTAATAATAAAATTATCTGGAGGTAAATTTTTATATGTGTATTTCAAGATGATATATGTGCAAATTAACTAAATACCAACAGTGACTATTTCTATTTGGAGGAAGTTAAATTTTAATTTAAAAAACATTTGAAAATAACAACTGAATAGACAATTAGGAACATTTGTGTCATGGCATTTTTGCAATGGCACTTTGATAAAAGGGTTATATCCTTTGTTAACATAGGGAATTGATGCTATTATTAAGGGTGCGTTTACTTCTGAGTTAGCAGTGCTAATTCTGATAACCGGATGTGACGTCATTAGCACGTGTATTCGTGCTTGCTTGTCCAATTCGAAAGTGAACACATACGCTAACAAGAAATATGGCTGGAAACCGCCATATTTCTTGTTAGCGTATGTGTTCACTTTCGAATTGACTTTTAATGACGTCACATCCAGTTATCAGAATTAGCACTGCTAACTCAGAAGTAAACGCACCCTAAGTGTCACCAGTGAAAAATAACAACTTATTTGAAACTACTTTGTTAGTTTCTAGAGGTATAAATTAGATTACATATATTTTTTTGAATGACACAATGAGTTATACAGAATGTCAAGTTACTGACAGTTGAGTTTCTGGGACTCTACTGTATTACATATATATTATTTTATTTAAACAGATTGATATAAAAGTGTAAAACAATGAATTTAAGATTTTAAATAAAAAAACAAGTGCTGTTTTTCTTAGTCTAATTTTATGTATTTACAATTTAGCAAAATTGATTTTCCTATTCTATTTTAACATATTACTTTTAATGAATCCTATAAATTACCTCAGAAAGAAATAAATCCATCACCCTTGATGCTAGTGACAATGGAAGCGTGGAGGTAAATAGTGTAAGGAACCATGATGATGCATACATTGACGTGTGAAAACTCTGATTTTGAAAATGTCTATATAATTCTGTATTTTGTTCCTATAACAGATTTAAATATAACTTTTAGAAATAAGCTAATATCAGCTATATGAATAATTTTAATTTGGATCTGTACAAGCATAAATTTAACATTTCTTATTTATCTTACTTGCAAAATACATTCAAGTTGATACATGCTTAAACCCAATTCTGCCATACTTGGTTTATACATGTCCCTTAATTTATAATCTTGCATTAATCTTACAAAAACTGTAAAAGCTTCCTCTTCTGGCATCTGTAATTTGATATAATTTTATTTTTAAAAATAAAATTAAATTAATTAAGGACAAAATTGGTACCTGAAGGAGAAGCAAGCCAACAATAAAAGCACTTCCTTGACAATATCCAACTTCACTATCATATAAGGAATAAGCTTTCATAACATTAAACAGGCTCTCTTGACCCGGACCATTTTTCTCTCTAAAGTACTCGTGTTCAGGATAAGTACGAGCAATGTCCCTCAAGATCACCTTCTCACATGGAGATACATTTTTCATGTAATCTGCATATAAATCTTTAGCAGAGCATGTTTGAGCATTACATAATAGTTGCCAGATGATGCTACGAAAATGCTGAGGAATACCTTTACGTACCATTTCCTATAACACAGGAAAAACATCTTTCAGTAATTTTGAAAATCTTATAAAAATTAAATGAACAATTAAAATAATGCCAAACTACACGAATTAGAAACAATAAAATGCATATCAAGTATCATAAAGAATTGTCAATGCACTGAAATTTGGTGATATAGCATTACAATAGTATTTAAAATGATAAAAAAAATGGTAAGAACAATTACATAATCAAATATAATAAAAGTTTGTGTTGATCAGTTACTTTTTTAGCATTATTACTATTCATATAATTTGGAAGTTGATTGTCTTCATACTTGTTTACTAATTAATCACAAAAATGCTTATATAAAAATAAAATACTTTAAATTTTAATTTATTATTGAAGTGTAAGAAAATATGCATTAAAAAGCAGATAATTTCATCATAAGGACAATTTATATAAACACTATTTTGTAAAATGCTTTGCTTAAATAAAATTTTATAATCAATGGATGCAACCATTATATGACAAGCACATATTTTGTTTTTAATTTAACAATCAAAGATTTATTTTAAAACTGAAGAAATAATCAAAATATACTTTTTTAAGCAACCAACATTCATTCAAAATAAATATTTTTGTTTTTCACAGCTGATAAAAATCACTGACAATACTTGCTACAATGATTACAACAGCCATTAGCACTTGCAATTATCCTAATTTTCTAATTACTTATAATCACTACCAATTATTTCAAAGATGACCAAACAATTCAGACCTATTAATTATATAATAGGATGTTTGTATGATATATCATCATTGAAGATGTTATGAAAACATTTCAGGTCAATAAAATCTAGCTTTTTAAGTCAAGTTTATGTTAATCATTAATTCTAAAAACTAATAAACTTTTTCAATTATTGAGATTAGGAAAAGTTTGGATCTAATTTTGGAAGTAAGCCATGTGTATGAAACTATACTTTATAATTTTTAAAATAATAATTCAGTTCTAAGACGTTTGTCTTCTGTAGCAAATATTTGTGTCCCAAATATAATTTAAGTATGCCCTTTTATTGATTAGAGGGTGCTGAATCTGATAAAAATAATCATTTATATAATACTAAAATTAAAAATTTACTTACTTAGAAAATTTATAGATATACAGTACATGCATGTATATATTATATACAAGATAGAATACCATTTAAAAGTTGTGATTGCATCTTATCGTTTACATAATTCTTTTCTTAAAGACCTTACACTATTAATTAATATCAGATTTCAATCCATAATATTGGGAGCAAGAAAGAATAATTTATAAAATTAACTAATTATTTACTTTTAGTTATCTATAAGAAAATTAGAATTACAAATGATATTACATTTTAAAAAAACTTCAATAATTTCAACTGCAGAATTCTTCATAAAATATTCAAAATATTCTTCTTGAAGTGCTATTCAACATTCTTTCAATATATTTATTATTAGACTTAATATAATATTAAATTAATAATATTGAATTAACTTTATTATTATTATTTTATTAAACATTATTTAAATGATTTGTTTAAACAAATCATTTAAATAATATCAATCTTTCTATTAAATAAACACTCTCAAACTATTTGTAAAATCATAATATACTATAATGAAATTATTTCTAAAAATTATATAATTAAACTTTAAAAAACATCAAAAATTGACTAATTATTCACTAAGAAATACAAAAAACATTTTAAATTTGTTCCTATCTTTACTGTACCTTAACATATGAACTCTTCTTTTTGATATATGTATCCCATTCATTGGCAATTCTTCCCCACATAATCCAAACATCTTCTGTCTCGTCTTCTTGACCATTGCTATGTATGCTTGTCCCTGAAGTAACCGATACCTGACTGGTATCAGAGGATCGTCTCGAATGCCCAGATGTTAATGAATTTAAAGATTTGGTATCCGATTCCAAAAGCCTGTTTTACAGAAATATTGAAGTTAATTAGGTAAAATTACTATAAATAACAAAATTGAACTGCTCGGGAGAGCAAAATGGTAAACACCAAAATAAAATTACAAGAAAAAAATACAGAAAATCTTTAGAATACAGAAAAAATTATATATAGCTTTAATTTTATTAAACTGTTTTAATATATCCTTTTAATGTCAGAGTTAATAAAACTAAGAATTTTCACTAATCATAATCTTATTTACTTAACCAATCGATAACATTTAAATGGAGTATCATCATCATCATCAATATAAGAGGCCCAAAGTGATTACAATAAGTGAATTCTACTGTATTGTATTTTTCAAAATTTTAAGTTTTCATATCATAAGTAAAAATGTATTTTATTAAGATGCTCATTTAAAATTCAACTACATTACTCAGTTTTTCCTCATAATAAAATAAAAGTTCATTTAAAATTACTTTCATTATTTCTTGTTACAGTTTCATATTCTAAGCTATATTCATCTAATAGTCAAATTTTTAATAGTTTGTTAAATACTTTACATTATTTCATTTGTTTCCTAAATGAACAACATAATGCAAGACAGAACTATATGAATTAAAACTTCTAAAAAAGTATTTTTTCACAGATCAATAATAAATTTCACTATATTTCTTTCATTGTATGTCTAATGACAATTCATTTATAATATACTAATTGACATGATCTAATAACCAAATATTAAAAATTTTTTGTTCTAAGAATTCTTTTTTCCTAAGAAATAAGACCAATAAAAGTTTTGATATGTAAATTTTACAGATAACACTATTGCTCTAAATGTAATGTCAAGCCACAGTTTCATCATATACAAGCAGGGAAAAAACTATAATTGCTACATGTATTTTTATACAAATTAATTAATATTCTGCTTATTTTTTGAATTTGAATACTTGTATATTTAATTTTTATAAAATAATGCATGAAAAGAGTTTTTAATTAGCATTAATTGTACATAAAATTATGGCTTGTCAATGAATAACTGCAGCTAGTAATTATGTTGTCAATTATGGATAAAATCTGAAAAAATTTGTAAGAATTCTTCAAAGTATCTCTCTTGCAAATTTTATTTATAAGTACAAAGCTGATAGCATTTACAATGTGTAAAGCATCCATTTATTTTATTTTATTGTAGAATTTAATTATAACAATTTTTTTAATTTGAAAGTTTTAGAAAGTATAATTTTCATTCTTTAATTAGATTTTTATATATTACATACACACACACACACCTTAAAATTTGATATCAGTCAAGCTTGTAAAAAAATTCTTATGTAAAATGATTCAAAATTTTGGGAGGAGTCATTTTACTCCTCCCAAAATTCTGATTTTATTGACTCCTCCCAAGAAACTTTTAGCCTTGTCTAACAAATATACTACTTTTGATATTCCAATTTCTTATCCATTGTTTTTATTATTTATAAACAAATTGACTAAGTCGTATATTAGTATAATTTTTAATATTTTTTTTTCTAAGCTGGAAAATTACATATATATTTTTAAAATATATTTATCCACAAATTAAAAATAAAGATTAAATAGGGAAACAAATTATTTAAAAAAATATTTATCATACAAAAAAACTTTTATTTAAATTTATTAAATAAACTAAAAATAACAATCCACAAAACGTTTTTATAACAGTGTTGTGTCCATAACAAACTAATCTAAAAATATTAATATTTTTTTTCATTTAAGAAATATTGATGAGATATTCTAAAATTAAATAAAAGACAAACTAACAAGTAACATTAAATCTAACAAGTAACAAGTAAATTAAACAGATTACAGGTATCCCTTGTACAACTCAGTTTTGTTCTAACATGATTTGAGAATTGGAGACATCTCCGTACAAAACATCACAATTTTTAAGTGCAAACACTGTCATTCAATATTTTTTTTATTCAAGCAAGCATGCATGCATGTCTTATATTTGTCCATGGATTTTAGAATATTGAAAATTTCAATGTTGTTTTGTGCCTTTTGTTCAGTTTTCTTTAATGAGAACTGATTATACAATTTTTCTTCTTCCCTGTCCTAGCTTTATTCTAGCTTTCCTATAAACCAGGCATTGCTATTGTTGGTGATATTAATCTAAATAAACCTGAAAGACTGTTGTGTTTTGTTTTTATAAAATAAATTAAAAATTTATAAAGTTATCTCAGGCATAAATACAAGCAAATGAAAATATCAGATTTTACGAAAGAAGTAGAAAAAAATTGAGTTAATATTTCTGATCAAGGTCAACAAGAAAGCTCAAATGATGATATTTTGCAAAAAAAAACCTTCCTCATTTAACAATGTTTAGCAGTGAATAAAAAAATTTATATTAATGTGCAATACTTTTGATTATGAATGTTTGTTAAAGCAATCAATAATTAACTAATGTATTTATCTTAATTACAAAAAAGACTAGTATATTTTTTCTAATTTTTGAAACCTAATCCTATGTTTTGTATAGCATGGATTTGCATGGCAGCAGTTGTTCAGAACCTAACTACAGTGTTATACAGGGATATCTGTATTTTATCATAATATATTAAAAATTCTGAAATATAGAAAGTAACTTTAAAATGGTATAATTTAGTTTAATATTAATCATTAAAATTAACAACTTTCTTACTTATTCTTATAAGAATTATTAAAATCCTTTCAAAAATTTAAAATTTATGTAATATTCATGCACATACAAATGTATTGTATATATTAAGTCTAATGTTGAAATTCTCAGAGAACATTAAAAAATATTAAAATTCCATAAATAGACTTTTAATAAACTCATCAGCTTTAATACATTTTTATTTTAAAGTATACAAAGAAACAATTATCTAAACCACATTAAAAATATTTTGAAATTAAAAAAGAAGTGTAAATTTGACTGAATTCTTAATTATTTTTTACTAGAAATCAATAAAGATATAGAGTAATCAATAAATCAACAATTTAAATAGGGCTTCATACATTTCTTAATGTATCATCATTCATTACATGTTCAAGTAAAGGAAGGGTTTATAAAGTAATTAAAAAAAACTAAATGATAAGAGAAACAAGAAACAAGGAAACAGATAATTGCACATTATTCCATTCAAAGTATTAAAACGTCAATGATGCATAAAGTATGAGAAATTTAAGAGACAGATTTGACATAGCAGCTATATAATAATGCAATATTTTTTAAATACAACATAACTGACTAAACTGAAGGTCAAAATTTTACAATTTAATTCAAGAATAAGTTAAAACTTCATATTTATTATTATTTTTTTAAAATTACATTTTAAAACTTAAAAATTTAAGTATATAAAATTTTAATAATTAGTTGTTATGTTTCCATGAAAATAGTTAGTTTAAAAATGGTTATAAATACTATTTCTTAGATGAAGACATAAAAAATTCCTTCATTAATCACAATTTATGGGTGGCAAAGTGCTTTACAATGGGCAATTATTTCCAAATGAATGAACATAATTGGTCTACCTAAAAATTAACATTATTTTGCCAATTAGCCATCATGTTTTATAAAGAAAGTTAATTTGTTTTCTCTCAAATGAAATTCTAAATTTTAAAAACTTTAAAATCTAATTTTAAGTATTTTAGAAATTTTTTTCCATATTTGTTATACTGAATAATAAATAATCATCATGTTATGAAATATTATATCCATAAACTATACGTAAACAATAGAATATTTTAAAATATTATCAATCCAATCTATCTTTTACTTATATATATATTTATTATTATTATTTTTTTTTTTTTAAGGTAAGATTAAAAATCACAACAAAATTTCTATGACATGAGAAAAATTTTTAAACAACTTGAACATTTTCATTAGACAAACAGCAGGTGGCTATTTATATTATTAGTGGTGCATACAATAGATTTCTTTATGAAATTTCTTTTAGTTTACTTCTACAAAAAGTCTAGCTCTTATCTGATTTAAGTATTAATTCCAAAATTGCGTAAGTCAAAAAATGCACTATAAACTTTTTATTACTACATATTTAAATTTTTATATTTACACAAGTTTAAAAATATACATTTAATAATGCCTACTATAATACATCATTCTTTATTTGCTATCAAGTACAGTATTTTATAAAACAAAATGATAAATGAATATGAGCAATTACCGTATAAAAATAATAAAAACTGTACTACTACTACTTATTCTAAACCGATTCACTGTACCATATGCTCAAGCCATTTTTAAATTCCATACAGTACTTTTGTTAGTAATTGGGTTCACTACCTGTTTGCTGCTTGTTCCACTTCTTTTTGCTAATAGCTAATGTTATGTTATGAATTAAGTTCATATAAAAATGGCATATCTAAAGACAAGAATAATAAAGAATGAAATTCTTAATTTTTTTCTCTTGGGATAATATTCTAAGAGTATAACAAAAAACATCTTAAATGACAAATCAAATGAAAAACAGAAATATGAACTTAAATTAAGAAATAAACATGCATCTTTCCTTCTTACATGTTTCACTAAATCATAATAAGTAAGTATGAGTAATATTTTAAAAATTAAAGTAACAGATATATCAAGTTAATAATCTTTATATAATATATAAAAAAAATTAACATCACAAAATACACTAATCTATTCTTTATATCAAACTTTAACTTTCCTTTTAATTTTATAAATTTACAAAGTATATTCATATTTATATACTTAATCATAAAAAATATATAATTTTTGATATTTAATTATATGCCAACTAAATTTTTCTTTTAAGGTAATTATCATTACAGAATCTACTCAAAATTTAATTATCTCATTATTTTTACTATCAGTCAGTGTTTCATTTCAAGGGCATTTTAAATTTAGCATTCTTAAAGTGGAAAATTTTCAAGAACAACTTCACTATATAATTGAATTTGTAATCATACAAAATTTCTTCTAAGTAATATTTAAAGTCATAACAGACCAATTTATTGTCACAAATGATTTAAAAAATTATTATTATTAATTAATAAGTTGTAATTTCACTCAATCTCCGAGATCTACATCAATAGCAAATTGATATATTAAGCTAACAACTGCATCTACTTATTATTAAATTTCAAATACAACAAAGAGTGATTATTTAATAGAGCTTAAAATAATTACAAAACCAAATAAAACTTATTTCTTTAAACAAATCCTGTATTTAAAAATCAATCTTTGTAAATGGTTCAAATTTTATTTATAGAAGTTGTCTTTCCTGCTTCTACACCCCTGCAATACAGATTCTTCACCCCCTTTTATTTATTTTTAAATCAAATAAGAAAAAAATAATTGATTCCCATAAAATAATTTTTATGAGACTTAATCTAAAATTATAGGCAAAGCACAAAGCTAAATGTTGGAAACTTGTTTCAAGGACTCATCCCACTTTAAACAGTAATGAGGACAATTTATTTAGTAAATAAGTACAGACTAAACCCTGTAATATAATTTGTGTCTGACTTTCCCATTATTTAATATTAAATTTGTTCCCTTTCCAACAGATGTTGACGACCTAAGATTACATTTTTTAAATGCCCACAATAAATAAACAAAATGTTCCGTGACCAATTCATCAGTTTAATAATAAATTTAAAATATTTAATTTATCTCAGTGAAAGTATTTAATAAACGAATTTCTCATTCAATATATTTTCATGTTAAATTTGTTTTCAACATAGAAAAGCAATAGACAAAAGAGGAAGACGGCAATTATGGGGCCAAGGTCTGTAAATGTTCAAAATTTGCATATTTCCTTCCCAAAGCCGCTTTATCCACACAAAACATTATTATATTTCTGAATTTGTTAAACGAGTATATAATCAAAATAATACTAAATAAAAATGTATATGTATTATTCTATAAAAGTAAAAATATATGAATGCATCTTATTGTGACCACAGATGGAAAGATGTACATATTAACATATTTATAAAAAAGGAAACTGAATTATATATATATATCTATTATATATAAATCTATTGTTGAAACTGACACAAGTATCAGGCTTCACAGCACGAACAAAATATTGAATAGACCAAAATACAGCACATGAATCGAACTCAGACCTAGATAAAATTCCGAAAACAAAGCACAGGTGTTTTCCTGTCGGGTCTTACAAAATTATCAATGAATGTATGAGGTCAACAGACTTATATGGCTGTTATGGGGTTAACCAACCTGGTTCTACCAACGTTAATTCCGTTTCCAGTCCACCACGCCTCTCACTCGTCAACGAGTGGGTTTAAGTCTGTAATTTTTCCAAAGTGTCATTACCCGATCGATACTAACGATATATTATTCTTACCTTCGACCAAAATCCCAAATGATTTCATTGACTGTCGCTCTTCTTCTCCTAGTAACGTTGGCAGTATCATCCATGTTCGGAGTCATTCGGATTTTGAGATGATAAACACGGCACCGGTCGGTTTAAAAACTGTTATCTTAATGACATATTATAGCAGGTAATTTGTACATTTACAGCCACGTTATACTATCGATAACTACCGTAACTAGATAGACAGCGAGCGAGATGAGCAGATGATTGCATTCGGATGACACAGGAAAAGTCAACATTCCTGCAAACCCACACGAGTTCGGTGAAGCGTTAAGATAAACGACCATTTATTGTGTTGTCGATCGATAATCCAAACTGTAAACAGTCGCAGACTAAAGTAAACGGGCTAAGCCATTGTCTGTACGCGACTGTATCCAAGAAAGCAAGTTATCTCAGTGTACGAGCGGCTCTTCTCGCTCGCGCTCTAACGAACCATTTCCGACTAGATCCGGATTTTCCCGAACACTTTACGAAGTTTATTTTACGTGAGACGAAATTTAAAACGACGTTTAAACTTTCATAAAGTATTTTAACGTTATTTTAAAGAAAAAAAAAATACTATTTGACAAACGGAGATTATACCGATTATTCAATTTTCAATAAGATTATAAATATTTTAAGAAAAAAAAAGAAATATTTTTAACTTATTAAAAGAATTGTATAAAGAACTTTTACGCGCAAAATTCTTATAAAAATCCAAATTGCCGCAACTAATACTAAGACAGAGAAGCTCTTATAACATAATTAAATTTTGCCCGGAGGTTCTTCCATCCAGTCCGCCCTCATCTCTATTAGCATATGTCATTAAAGAAACTTGATAATAGCCTCTACGCAGTCAAAATGACCCAAACCTACGCCTAAAATTGTCCTTGATATTTCAGAATACAAAAAGACTTCTGTTCGTAACTAAAGTCTGTGAGGTGTTAGACACGACGACAATGTTTACAATACTTAAAAGTTGTTCAATAATATTCACGTGATAATACAATAAAATCACGCTTTATCATCAATCGTGGCTTTTGTATAATGGACAATACTCATACAAAACTCTTGTCAAAAACATTAATTTTCCTCTTCATCTACCGATTGGTAGAATAAATTAAAAGAAAAGCGAAAAACAATAGAAGCAATACATTAGAAACGAGATTTACGTTTTTACTTAAAAACAAAGGCTGATATAACATCATATTATCGAGCTGTTTACAATAAATAAGATCGTCCAAGGTTGCGTGTCTTTTCTATAGTGTTCGATAAACAGTTTAATTCATATAGAAAACACGGTCAGTATCTATCAGAAACCAATTAATGATTTTTTAAAGATTATATCGAACAATAGATAAGTTTTTAATAGTAACAAAACTAAAATATCTTCCTACAATTCCTAACCAGTCTAGATAATGGAAAGAGCATTATGCAAACAAAAAAAGGCCATCAGAAAAATTCTGTATAGTCAACACGCAAATAGTGTTCATTTACACAGGATGCGTCTTTTATGTGTGGTTATTTTAGTATATTTTATAATAGAAAATACACAGGAACATATTTTATCATAGCTACTGAATTTGTTATAAAATATATACGAAATTGTTTTCTACATTTGTGATTGCAACAACAGAAATTAAATTTGTTCTTTTATTTACTTTACACATACTACTAAAGTGCCAACACATTATACTCAACAACTTCGACCCCTACAGAGAAAGCAACTATCGTTAGTGGGAGACACGCAGCTATTAATTAAAAACTTTATATTGTTGAGACGTCACGTAGGTATAAACTCGTTTTTTTCGATTTATTTATTTATTTTTAAATATATTACCAGTCGCGGATAGTATTATGCCCGCGGGCAATTTTAAAGTCTGGTGATACTCACAGTTTAATTATACCTATTATACGAGAAAAAATACCAGACACCTAAAGAGGACACAGGAAATGACATCACGATATGTTTTTGGAGAATGACGTCAAGGTTAGTAAAAAAACTGAATTTTTGTCAATTTATCCGTGAGATTTAAATATTATTTAATATTTAGTTAATGGATCGATAAGTAAGCGACTCGTAGTCGATGTAGAAAAGGAATTTGGATCGAATCTACTCCAAGACCTGGCTTAAAAAAAGTTAGCAATACATTTTCATAAAAGCTTTTAATTAATCTAAACAATTATTTCACATTAAAATTTGTAATTTTAATACCTTTTCGCGTAACTAATTAAAAATTTTTAGATTAAAAATAATGATTAACAATATGTTAAACATAAAAACAAGTTAATACACTAAAATATAGAAAATTTTAACATTGAAAAGTTTGCGCTGTATGCATTTTAACTTCTCATAACAAACGTCTCGCGGCAAAGTACAGAATTTCTACTTTTTTATTAAGCTATTTGTTATTTACTAATAAAAATAAAACGCCAGCCCTCATGACTCAAAACAGGCTACTTTTTTTTAATAGACTTTAGTTCTTTTGTTGTCATTAATTAGTTCTTTTAACAGTTAAGCCCTTTGGCACGATTAATCTAAGCGCTCTTTCTTTTTTTCTTTTATGTATAGGCCTATATATATATATATATATTACAGTAATGTAATAATTTTTTCTTTCTTAGATTTCAATAAATATCAAGAACTAATTTTTATTAGTATCGTAACTTTTTAAGTAACGCAATAGTAATAAAAGGGTCCCTATAAGTCAATTACATAGTTTTATTCCTATTTCGGAAGCTCTAAGTTAACCTATTTACGGGAGACTGTTAAATAATATATATAGGCCCTATATAGCTTGGAGTCGATACATTTTCTGCTAGTCAGATCCCATTATCGAGGCATCAATGTAGAATTTTATTCTAAATGCACCACGTTATTCACGAAGATGTGACCTATTTCTATTTTTACTTTAATCACAAAATATTTAAATTATACACTGTAGCTGAATCATTCGACTGTTTACTCTTGCGCTAGATATCAACCGATTCTTATTTTGAAATTTTAAACATAATTTCGTTCAGTTTATCTTAAAGGGGAATTCAAAACAGACCTACAAGTATAAGCGTGTACATATANATTAGCATTTACAATTTTTTATAAAACTCAAAATTAAGCTTTTTGCCATTTTATGATAGTTAAAAATATAAAAATGTTTTTTAAAAAATATGATAACAGATGGCGCCACCAAATGTCGCCTAGAAAGTTAAACAACTCGCTGCTGGAATTTTTATCGAGTCATGTTACAAATTCGAAGTTTTCAATATCATTGAAATTAGACGATACAGTTTGATGTATATAAAGCAATTTAGTCAAGTTGAAAGTCATAGCACATATTTTTTTAAATAGCAGCTGTTAATTTCCATTTAATGTCACTGTGGCGCAATAGTATAACATTAATTATTTCTATATTATTTTCTATAAATGCAAATAATAGTCAAATAAACGTTACACACAACAGAAAAAAAAGAAAAAGAATAGGAAGTCAATACCTACGATTTTCACATCAACAGCATCAATACCAATCAAATTGAGAGTGATTGTTTCCGGGAACAAATATTGCCAATAGATTCAGACCATAAAATTCGCTTTTAAACACTAAGAATGAGGATTCTATCTTTTGTTGTTTGATAACCATTACAGTCTTGAAGATTTAGTTCACCTCATTTCAACCTCTTTCTTATTTTCACTCTGATTATTTCAGTACTTTTCACGTTAAATAGAAGAAAATCAATAAATGTTTCCTTAATTTCTACAAAACTACGATGAAATTCACTTGATATATTGCAGTACTTATTTTATATTGTAAACATTTATTCCATGAAATAATAAATATTATAATCTGATATTAATCTGCAATTTCTAATTTTTTCAACATTTTAAGATATATTTCAGCATTTAAATCATTGAAAACTTCTGAATAATAGATGAAGCTTCTTAAAGAAGTCCATGGACTTCATCTCGTCTGTAAAAGTCTTTAAATTTTACCTGTAAGGGTTGTTCAAATAAAACATAAACTGGACCATGAGGTCACGATCACTCTAGCAGGATTACAGTATATACAACATAATGACAAAGCTGTATTAGTTGCTATAGAAAATCACACCTAATGCGTTCAGACACGTGTCCCGAGTGACACAAATTTGAAAGAGGATGAACCATTCAGTTACAGATGTTTAGACTTACAGAAATCTGTGACCTTTAAAAAACTTATTCAAAAATCCGAAAGTATGGAAGTTGGAAGAAGAAGTGAAGCTGTAAAGAGAATACCTATCTATTCAGATAGAACAAAATTATTATTTCTTACCTACGAGTAATCAATCTAATTTTCTACGATCTGTTTTGTAGGTATATTTAATAAGATTTTTAAATTATAATAGGATCTATGCTATTTTTAAATATATATTACCCTTTTAAGAGGCTTTACGGACTCTTCTAGACAATAGAAATAACCGCACACTAATAGGATTCAAACTTGGATCCTTTTGTTTACACTACTTTCTATGTCACAGATAAAACTACTTACAAACAATTGTATTCGAACCCAAAGTCTAACGGATATCATATTTTGTAACAAGTTTAAAAATTATTTAAAAGATTAAAATTGATTTTGATCCCTTAAACCGGAAGGTTAAAAGAGGGTCAAACGTATGACGGATCATTTGCGAAACGTTATCGATTTTGATGGTAATTCATTCGATGAGAAAGAAGTTCGATGTTTTACATTTAAAATTTACATAATAAGTTACGACACGCGATACTACTAAGATTTTCTTTCCAGTATTAATACTAATAAAATTATCCGATTTCGCCACGATAAACACTCCTTTAAATTAAAAATACTTAAAACCATGCATGACATCACGTAATGTTAGATTACACAATCAAATTTTCTTAATAAAAAACACGAGGATTATGGATATTATAAATTATTTTAGTACTTTTATTTATTAAGTAATTAAAAATATAATTAAAAATACATAATCTTGGGGGGAAGAATAATAGTAAATCAAAAAATTCACGAAGCAACAACTCTTTCAAAGCGTATCTATTTTATGATGTCGCTTATCCTTGTAAATTTTAACATTTTTCACATCAAATGATGCTAAACTTACAGTACAGTATATGTAACGTTATTGTGTTTTCTCATTCAACTATTCAATGAGGAGGATACTTTTTAAAAGTGTAGTAGAGGAACAAAAATATACCAGCTATTATGCTCTAGATTTATATCAATAAAAACATATTTATTATAATTTTCATAATAATAATTTAATTTACTTACAATTAACCATATAATTAGTTGCCTTAAATAGATGCCAACTTCTTGCAAATATTATGAATTCTACTAATGTGAGTTAGATCATAAGGACTTATCACACCAGTGATAATCACTGATAAACATAAGACACAGGATGAGAGACTAATTTAGAAACTTAGTTTTTAATTTCAGAATGTCTTCTATTAAATCTAAAATGTATATAATATTAATACAACCAATTTAAGTTTTAGGATCAATGTGGAATTTTTATAAAAAAAGAAAATACTGATAGTCAATCAATAAAATACTGAATTTCAACTTGCAAAAATATACAGAATCACTATGAATCACCAAATACTAAAATCAGTTCTTCCTTTCATTATTACATTTATTAATCCTTACAGTAAAATCAAATGCCTTTAAACATAATTATATAATTTATCAATTCCCTTATTAACATTTGTAACATTTTGATTTAATTGCATATCAACTTTAAAAAGTATCCAATTTTTTAATGTTTTTTTTTATTTCTCAGCATTTTTAGTTCTATTGATTACTTAATCCTCCTTTAGAAAATTATTAAAATTATTTTCAATTTAGATATAAAATGTCAATAACTTCACTTTTTCCATGTTGAGAACATTTTTTCTAAATTCAATATTTTATTTAAATATNTGCTGGTACATTCATAATAATA